TTCCGATCGGTGAGTGGAATAACTACAGCTACCTTCAACCAAGGTGCGTTGGGGCACCCGGCTGTGAGACCTACTACTACGGCGGCCACCTACCCGGAAGTGCTTGAGCTTGATGGTGACTTTGACTACGATGATGGTTGCCTACCAACTTCGTTGCTGAATCGGGAAGCGCTAAGGAAATGGTCTCCCTACTTCGAGGCCCTGATAGCCAAGTCCATTGTGAACTATGTCCCTCAGTCAGCCATGGACGAAGAGGAGGCGGTGAGCTGTGGAGCAAGGCTGAGCAAGTTGACAAAGGAGCAAAGAGATGCATGGATGCTGCATTTACTCAACGATCATCAACCATATCGGGCAGACTGCTCCGTTTGCTTGAATGCCCAGGCCACTGGCTATCAGCACAGAAGAAGAAAGCAGCCACAACTTTACGCTTTGGCGCTAGACCTTGCCGGACCATACAAGGTTCGTGGCAGGGACATGGACTTTGATGATTACAAGTACATCATGGTTGCTGCCTGCAAGTGCCCCAAGGAGTACATGGATACAAAGGCTCTCGAGGCTGTGCAAAAGGAGTTCTCCATGGATGAGTATGAGCCATCGGATGGTGAAGATGAGTTTGGTTTGGTTGAGGATGACAAGGACGGTGTGGATCCAGTTTCAGGAGGAGAAGATGAAGTGAAGGAGCCAGCAGGCCCCGTTACATTGGACGAGGCTGTTGAGGAGCTCACTGATGCCCCTGAGTGTGTGACCATGTACCTCACGAGACCTTTGAGGAGGAGAACAAAAGCAGAGGCACTCCGAGCCTCAAAAGAGATACTGTTACAGCTCAGGCAAGCGGGCCTACATGTTGCTACCGTTCATACCGACCGAGCTCGTGAGTTTTCATCTTTGGTTTACAAAGAGTGGCTAGCAGATTGCGGCTTGAGGCATTCAAGAACAGCTGGTGGTGATCCGGCTGGAAATAGCACTGCTGAGCTGGGAGTGAAGTGGGCAAAGTCAAGGGTCAGGGCGTTGTTGAAAAGCGCTCAAGCAGAACCTAGAGATTGGCCAATGGCAATACAGCATGCTACCTCTTCGGCATGGGCGAAGGCATTTCCCTATGCCCCCACGACAAGAACTCCGGCGACTCCTTTTGGACATGAGGTTTGGTTCCGTGCAAAGAACTACAAGGGTGCAGGCGAGAAAAAGCATGATCCTACTGGAGCCAGATGGAAGCGTGGATGGTACCGAGGACCCTCCTACGACGTGAACCGGGGCCACATCATCATCAGGGAGGACGGCGGGCTCACGATTGCAAAGAGTGTCAAGTTCAATGTGGTGGACCCGGTGAAGGAGCTACCTGATCTACTACAACCAGGAGTTACAGAGGATCTTCTGCCTGAGCCAGATGGGGCGGATGTGCTGGTGCCAAAAGAAAGCTTGGAAGCGGAGATTGAGTTCATTGGTAAGATGCTCCTTGAAAAACGGGCGTTCGAGGCAAAGGATGCTATGTACCTCTTTGAGAAACTCGAGGAGCTCGGCAACACTGACTTTCGAGTGGGGAAGAAGACTCCTATGACAAGTTGGTTTACGGGGGCCTTCGTTCATGGTGGTGTTGCTGGCCTGAGAACAAATGCGAGGAAGTTCCCGAATGCCACAAAGTACTTGACCCAGTTTGCCAAGGAGAAGATTGGTGATAAGGAGTTCACGGCCTTGGGTGTGACGAGAAACTCAGCGCTTGGTCTTCATCGGGATGTTCACAACAGCCGGTGTACTATGAACACGGTTATCCCCTTGACTAAGTTTGAGGGAGGAGGACTGTGGGTTGAAAACGACGAGCCGGGGATCAAGCATGCCGTCACCAATAAGGTGCCAAAGAAGGGTGAGGTGGAAGGAAGTGTTTTATCGTTCGAAGGAGACAACCCTGTGAGTTTCAAGCCTAACCTATGGCATGAAGTTCAACCTTGGAAGGGCGACAGAGTTGTTATGCTCTTATACACACCCCGAGCCCACAAGTTGAAGGAAACGGAGATCACCGAGCTCAACGATTTGGGTTTCAAGTTGGCAGCTGAAGCTCTAAAAGAACCGGAGCATGATGTTCAGGAGGAGTACAATGATGATGAGAACATCGAAATAAAAAGGGCCTTCTTAAAGACCAACGAGGGTGAGAACCAGGCTTTTGTTGAAGTTGGGGATGATGATCTGTTTTCCGGAAAAGACCGGGGTGGATCTATGCCAGCAATCGAAGACCCGGGTGAAAGAGCACGCTTGAGGAAGATGATTAAGAAGTCCGAGGTGCAATACACAGAGGGCATTGAGGAAATCCTCCAGAACCACATTGACAACAAGAAGCCCCTAGAGGTGACCCACACTGTGAGCTTGGCGGAGGTTCGGAATGCGCTATCGAAATGGGCTCCCTCAGCGAAGAAGGAGTACAACAACTTAGTTGAAAGCAAGAAGGCGTTCCGACCGACCAAGTTCAAGGACCTTCCCCAAGGTTGCCGTATCGTCCCTTGTAAGGGTGTCTTCACTGTGAAACCGGACTCCAGTGAAGAAGGTTTTAGGCGCAAAACGCGCTTTGTTGCTTGTGGAAACTACCTCGAGGAGGGTGCGTTGACTGGTCAGGACTTCGAGCTCTACGCGGCTGGTTTAGATTCTACGTCACTGAGAACTATGTTGGCGTACCGAACAATACACCCCAAATGGGGAGCCGCCGTCACGGACATTCGACAGGCCTTTGTCCTGGCGCCTTGGATTGGGAAGGCTGTGGCTTTGAAGCCGCCAGCTTTGGCGGTTGAGATGGGTTTGGCAGAACCTGACGACTACTGGCTGGTTCTTCAGTCTATCTATGGACTACGAGAGGCTCCAGCGGCATGGGCTAGCTTCAGAGACCTTGAGCTTAAGGCGGCCAGATGGGAAACGGAGATTGAGGGTGAGAATGTGGAACTCAAACTACAACAATTGGAGTCCGACAATCAGGTATGGAAGATCCTGCGCTCCGACGGCAGCTCCCAAGAAGCACTGGGATATCTCCTCGTGTACGTGGACGACTTGATGGTAATGAGCACAGATGGCGTCATGAAGTCCTTCTTTGGATGGTTGTCAAACAAATGGGAGTGTGATGATCTTAACGTCCTGACGGAAAAGAACTCGATCAAGTTTTTGGGAATGGAGCTTCACTTTGTCAACGGTGGCATTGAGGTTTCCCAAGTAGGATTTATAAGGGAGCTACTACGTTCTCACCAACACTCTGGAGGAAGAGCGAAAACACAGGGCCCAAAAGAGACCTTGATCATGTCAGCGGAGGAAGAAGCGAGCTTGCTTGAGGCCGTACCGGTGGATCTCAAGGGCAAGGAGCATATTGTCAAGGAGGCTCAAAGGCGAGTTGGAGAGATGCTATGGTTGTCTTCTCGATCGAGGCCGGATATTCAATATGCTACCTCGATAATGTCATCGCGTATAACGAGGTGCCCGGAGGCGGTGATCACAATCGGCGACCGGTTGTTAGACTACCTCAATGAGACGATGTACGAGCGACTACGGTTTGCCAATGACAAGGGCGAGGAGCCTTTCTTGCGGACCTACACGGACTCAAGCTTCGCGCCTTCTTCTGGAAAAAGCCATGGCTCGGTAGCTGTGTTCTTTGGATCATGCCCTTTGTCGTGGAGAAGTTCGAGGCAACCACTTATAGCTTTATCGACGGCAGAAACAGAGCTTATGGAGGGTGTGGAGGGGGCCGTTATGACCTTTTCCGTGAAATGCCTCCTTGAAGAGATCATTGGCAAGATTATGGCTGTTCATTTACATATCGACAACCAGGCAGCGATCTCATTGATGACAACTGCTTCTGGAAGTTGGAGGACGCGACACTTGCGTCTACGTGCTAATTGGATTAAGCAAAGGATCCAAGAACGAGATCTCTTCATCAAGCATGAGCCGGGAGTCACCCAGAGGGCGGATTTGGGGACAAAGCCGCTACCAAAGGACCGACTTGCGGAGCTCAAGAAGCTTTGGGACTTCAGGGACCGCAGACCCACAAGGAGCGCAACGATTAAGTCCCTGAATGTGACCCCCTGGTTAAGCAAGCTTATGTTGGTGTGCCAGATGTGCGGTACTATGGGCATGAAAGAGGGCATACAGCCGGAAGTTCCATGGGACTTGTACGTTGTCATCATCATTATGGCCATTGCGGTGATTGGAGTTTGGGAAGCCATGAAACACTGCCTTGGACAGGGCACAGTTCGTGTTCGAGCTTTGAGGGCCCAAGCCAACCAAAGTGCATCTACCAGGCTTACAAGAAATGAGTTAAAGGAGCTGCAGGTGCTGATGTCGATGGAACCCGAGGACTTGAGCAACGAGCAGAAGGTTCGATTGGTGGACCTTAAGTGCTTGTTCGAGCGTACGATGCCGGCGGGCACGTCTCCAGTGCCTACGATAACCACCCCGACGGAAAGACCCTTGGCGTCTACACCAGCTTCATCCTCTACCCCTCCTTCATCCTCTACGGCTGTTCCGAGTGCTATGTCAACGATGTTTTCTACGAAGGCCAACAAGCAGCCAAAGGGTAAGCCACCAACTAAGGATCAAGAGACGCAAACGAATCCTCCGGTGTTTCAACGAGTGGAATCTCCACCGCCCGCGCAGACGAGAGTTGTTGCTGGCCCCTTTCATCAAGTCGAGGGACGTGATGTGGTTCATGTATTCGAGAACTGTTGGGGACTGAGGAACGCCGGAAGAAAGAGGCTCGTCCACTTATGCCGATGCTGTGTAGAGAACGGTGGAAACCGCATCTACTGAAATGGGTGGTGCGGAACTATCGTTTGGGCACCAAGGAGGAGTGTGGAACATGCGTTTCCACCTTGTGTGCACCACATGTGTTTGTTTTGACTCAAGTGACGTCAAGCTTAGCGGACATGAGGCATAGAACAAAAGCAGTGCAGAACTTGTACAATACGAGCACAGCTTTAACCAAGAGCCATTGTCCTTGCTTGTCAAAAAGAAGAGACGCGCCCGTGTGCTGCTGCATGGTTGGCGCTGCAGTAAGGCAGCATAAGCCCTTCCTTCAGAACTGCCGGGCTTCAAATTCGGAGTGAAGAAGATCAATACTCAAAGAAGCCCCCACCCCACACCCTAAAGCCCTCAAGCCTTAACTCCTAAAGCCCTAAACCCTAAAACCCTAAACCCTGAACCCTAACTCCTCAAGCCCTAAACCCTGAACCCAACTTCTACGCCCCAAGCCCCTTAATTGTAGAATCTTCACTCGAGAAACCCTACCTCTCCCCCCCCTCAAACCCTAAAGCCTTCAAGCCTTAACTCCTAAAGCCCTAGCTGCTAAAATCCTAAACCCTAAAACCCTCAAGCTCTAAAGCCTTCAAACCTTAAACTCTAAACCCTCAAAAGAGCCGCTCCAGGTGCATGCATCGCCTGGAGACTGTGAAGCTGTTGGAGCTGGACGGAGACCAGGTTGGATTCTGCTGTTGGGTTTGGGTTTTAGGGTTTAGGGGTTCAGGGTTTAGGGCCGTTTAGGGTTCAGTGTTTCGGGTTCAGGGTTTAGGGTTTAGGTTTCGGGTTTTGGGATTCAGGGTTTAGGCTTTAGAGTCTAGATTCTGGGGTTCAGGGTTCGGCGTTTCGGGGTTCAGGGTTCCGCCACCAATTCTCACATGGTTGGAAGCAGTTTAGAAGGTTCATGTCGACTTGTTTCACTTGAACGGAACCGACATCATCAACATATTGATATCTGTCCCTGGCAGAAATTTCCGATGCCTCGTGAAACTTTCACAAGGATTTGGGTCATGTTTTGATTTCCCTTGTCGGGTGAAGATAGAACCGGGCACCTAATCGCTCCACCTTAAACCCTAAACCCGAAATCTTAAACCCTAAACCAGGGTTCTTGGCAGGATGCCTTATCCGGCATTCCCGCATCCTGGCTGCGGGCCGCCCACGCCGAGATCGCCTTCGGCGAACAGGTGGGGATTGGAATTCACCATTATCATTATTGTGCCTTGTTGTTGTTGCAGTTGCTCTTGCTATTGGCATGATCATTGTAATGGTTATCGTTGCTATTGTTGTGATTAGTTAATGCTGTTACTGTTCTGAATTTTGGAGCTGAGGCTTAACGGTTCAGGGCAGGTATTGCGGGGTGCTGATCAGCGGCCTAAGCTCCTAAACCCAGATCCTAAATCTTATGCGTCAACCCTTCGCGACTCAAGTCCGGCTTCCCTTCATGCCACCGCCTGGTTGTTGCCCTGCAGGGAAACCAGCTTAAGACCTAACACAAGGGTAGGAATGATTAGTAGTAGCATTAATGATTTCCCCCTATCGTCCCTGGATAAGTCCACGTCAAAATGCCCCACGAGTTTAGCGTTAAGGTCGGGCTTAAACGCGTTTTAGGGTTTATTTTCGTTCAGGGTATGTGTCTTCTTAATGTAGACATCTCCATCATATTTGGCCGTATTGAGGCTTTGTCTACCCATACCAACGAGTCTTTGTAATATAGGTGCTTTAGTAATATGCATATGGTAGTATTGTTGGTGTGCATAATCCACTTACATAGGGACTGTAAGGATATTGTGACTGATATTCTCATACATTTTATTAATATTCTCAGAACAACGACAGTACTAATAATAATTATAACAATAGTCATAATTTACAGTAGCTACTATAACTGTCGTTCATATCGCGAGTATCCCTAAACCCTAAATCCTAAACCCTAAACCCTAAACCCTAAGTCCTAAACCCTAAACAAACCCTAAGCCCACTGAGGCTGCCATCGCCGGCAGCGCTGTGTGGACGCCGGGGCCGGACGTCGAAGAGCCGGATGGCCTGGAGTTTGCAGCCTTCGGAGGCGCCTTGTCCTTTTTCACCCTAAACCGTAAAATCTTGGCGTTCTTCTGGTTGGCTCTTTAGACTTTAACTTTTTGGGTTTCTATATGAGCTATAATAAGGAGGCTAAAAGTTTAACTTTTAGGAGGGGTTCAGAAGTCCGCCAAGAAATCCTAAACACGGAAGCCGAAAGCCCTCAACCCCGAACTCAGAGTCTGATATTGAGCAAACCAGGTTAACTTCAGTTAGGGACCCAAAAAGGCACATAAGCATAAGCAATTTATAGGGATATCCCTACCTTATTGGGCTTCCTTATAGGGGGGTTTATTAGGCTTCGGGCAATGTTTGGGGTTTAAGGTGTACCCAGAGAGCCCAATACCCCTTAATTAAGGAATATAGCTTACATCATAATATGAAGCCCTATATAATTTAAGCTATATTCTGTAATTAAGGGCTATTGGGCTCTCTGGGGCCTTAATCCAGCCTTGTCCTTTTTCATGGTTCCCCCAAAAGAATAAACAGACCGGCTAGTAGACCTTCTTAAATAATTCCTACTAACGGATGTAGGTATAGGGATCTGTCTATTATTTCTAAAAGGACAAGGGGGCCTTAATCAGTATCTATACTGTTGGTGTGGGGTTCCTCTAAAGGGGTCTATAAAGGCTACTATAAGGGCTCTTATAAGGATTTAGTACATCCGGGCCTTAATCATTGTCTATACTATTTTGGAGGGTTTGTTCTTATTATCAGTGTTATTATTATTACTATTATTATTATTATGTTTATAGTTATAAATACTGTCATTATTGTTCTTATATAATATACCCCCAAACCCTATTCTAAGTATTGTGTCATGTCCCTTGTATTCGACCCGAAACCCTCATATCCAAAACCCCAAAACCCGCCCTTCTGCGGTGCAGGCTCTTAGGGTCAGGGGTTTGCTGTTCAGGGTTTCATGAGTTTAGGGTTTAGGGTTTAGGTTTGGTGTTCAGGGTTTCATGAGTTTAGGGTTTAGGGTTTAGGTTTGCTGTTCAGGGTTTCATGAGTTTAGGGTTTAGGGTTTAGGTTTGGTGTTCAGGGTTTCATGAGTTTGGGGTCGAGGGTTGGTAGTTCCAAAACTATGTGCCCCTAAACCCATGAATCTGGACGCTGTGAGACACGCAGGGTTTGCGTGGGGTCTTAAGGTTGCGGGGTTAGGGGTTTAGATTTAGGGGTTGAGGGGTGTAGGGTTTAGGGGCTTTGGGTTTAGGTTGAGGGTTTAGGGCCAGGGAGGTCCCAGTTCATGAGGCAGCCAGAGACTCCAATATCCCTTAATTAAGGAATATGCCTTAAATCATATAAGGGATCCTACTCTGATTTAAGGTATATTCCTTAATTAAGGGATATTGGAGTCTCTGGGCAGCACGCTGGAGTCGGAATGCCATAGGCTGCAAAGACATGCCTAAGGCCTGAATCCCTGAACTGAGCCCTACATCTTCCCTACTACTGATTCGCAGGTTCTTAGTATAAACCTTGAATAACTATGGAATTATAGGGACCCTACAAAAACGTAGGGTTTAGCAGGTTAAGGTTTACATCCCCACACCAGAAGCCACGCTGAACCCGAAGTCCCAGCTGCAGAGCCCTACCCTCCGGCGACCCAGATCTCTTATAGGGAACTCCAGAATGTTGGAATATGGTTCCATGGTAGGATACCCTACAATTTACCATAGAAGGGTTAGGATAATCATATTCCAACTTTCTGGCTTCTACCTTAGTAGCTGAGGAGGTAACCTTCAACCTGTTGGGGTTTATATGGAAGTTTCCGAAAATTAGGGGTGCCTTATTTTGGGGTCCTCATAATAAGGATCCTACTATTTAGAGTATTACATTGGGGTCCCCTATTTTCGGAAACTCCCTTTAATCCTACCATAACTGAAAAGGGTTAACCTTTTCTGAGCTAGAGTATTCAGCCCCATAAGATCTACAAATCAAGGTTTCTACGCGATTTTCGAGAAGGGTTTGTCACAGGGTTCAACACAGATTCCATTCCTATCTGGCCAGCTCAGCTGAAGTATGCTGCTTAAAGTTCAGCGGGTGGAATCTTATCAACGTGCTCACCCGAATTCAGGGTTCAGGGTTGCGCGGTTCCGGGTTCAAGGTTGGGGGAGTTAAACCCTAAACCCTAAACTCAAACTCTGTACTTGCAGTTGGAAAAGGGCCCTTAGCAAAAAACAATCTCTAGGATGCCCAGAAGTACGCTTATTCCCTTTTTTTGTGGTCCTAGGTTCCTTATACAGTTACCCAATACCAAAAAGGGAGCCCTTTTCATTCCTAGGTTACTGGGCTTCCTCGAGCTCTAAACCCCTAAAGGGAACTCCAGAAAGTTGGAATATGGATTAATGGTAGGATCCCCTGTAATTTACCTTAAAGGGGTTACGATACTGATATTCCAACTTTCTGGCTTCTATTGTAACCCTAAACCCTAAACCCTAAACCCTAAACCCTAGTAAGATTGTTTCAGGGTTTCGGACCAGGCGCCGACTTCGTGATTGAGATCCCCCACACTCGCTTTGACCTGCAAGAGTGGCCGGAGCCTGAGAAGTGCAGTTTGGTCTAGGGTTTAGGGTTGGGGTTCACCGTTCAGGGTTGGGGCTTAGGGTTTAGGAGTTTAGGGTTTAAGGTTTAGGGTTTGGGGTTTGGGGTTTGGGGTTCAGGGTTTGGGCAGGGTTTAGTTTAGAGGTTAGGGCATCCTTGTCCATCCTAAGCCCTAAAAAGCTAAACCCTTGAAGCCTAGACCAGAACCTACACCCTCAAATCCTAGACCATCCTAGACCGTAAGCCCGCAATCCCTTAAATCCTGGACCTTAAGCCGTAAAAGAAAGCCTGAAGCCCGCGGAGCATCCTCAGCTCTAAAGCCGACCCAGAGCCTCCAAAACCGCTTAATTAAGGAATATACCTTAAATTATAATAGGATCCCTTATATGATTCAAGGTATATTCCCTAATTAAGGGGTTTTGGGGGCTCTGGGGAAAATACGAAATCCCCTATACTTAGAGGATCAGGGGAGTTATAACTAAGGTTATAAGCAAGGTAACTATAGTTATATCTACTTATAACGTTAGTTAAGGTACTTATAGCCCCACTTACTAAGTCCCATGATCCTCTAGGTAAACCCTAGAGCCCAAAATACGAAATCCCCTATGTGAATCAATAACTGTGAGCACTATGAGTGGTTGATCGTTTTTCCGTACCCAACGCTTAGTTGAGGACAAGGGTTGAGGATTCAAGGTTTAAGGTTTAGAGGTTTAGGATTTAAGGCTTGAAGTTTCTAAAGTCTAGGGCTTATGTGCTACACATACATCTTGCATGAAGCAAGCTTGAGGTTGCCGGCCTGGGCGTCTGATGAACGTGTGCCCAAGGTGGACTCCGGCATTTCTTCAAAGTCGCTTATGCGCACTCGCAAGGCGATTGACTTTGAGGAAAAGCTCACGGACACCAAGGGTGCGACGCCGTATGTCTTCTTTCGTTTCGCCAGTTCCACAGCCTCAAGCACGGCGGTCCTTGCGTCGGTCGTGATTGTACCGAGGCGCTGTCTCAGACAAGGACCTGTGACGACGTGCGGAAGCAGTGCTTCCGGATGAGATTGAGGCTACGGGTGCGCCTTCTCGCATTTTGCAGCATGCACGAGATTCGAGTGAGCTTCGCCCCTGTGCATGTCAGCCAGGCGCCTGCTCAACCGAACAGGGGGGCATCCCCCCCTTGAGACAGCAGACGCCTTTGGATTTCCCAGCCCGGCCTAGCAGCCCAGCGCCCATGCCCAGTGCCCAGCCCGCCACCCTGAACCAGCCTGCTACCCTGCCCCAGTCAAGTCCCAAACACGACATCAAAAGAAAAAAGAACATCGCTCAACACCCCGGACTCTAACCCTATACCTTTTCGGTAGCCCCAAACCCCTGAACCCTAAAGCCCAAACTCTCTACAGCCCTAAAGCCCTTGTGTTGCTTGACCGTGCTGCGCCGCCCTCGGTCCATTCGGGTTTGCAGGAACCTCGAGCCCTAAACCAAACCCCGAACACATCCCAAACCCCAAGCCCAACCGCCCAAGGCCCACACCCAGAAGCCTGAATCCTTAAATCCTAAACCTCCGAATCTCACACCATCACAAACCGTCGCAGACCTTGAGCTCAGAGCTCTGGAATTTCGTACGTAGTATCAATGCAGGATATAATGATTCTTCATACGGGTTAGAAGGTATTTTCTTTGTGCGGCTTTGTAGCCGCTGATTTTCGGGTTATGCTGCCAGGCTCACTGTGGAGGACGCAGGGCTGAGAGAAACTCGTGCAAGGGTTTGGGGGCGTGTTGCGGCATGGTCATCTTACCGGTAGTATTTATATTCAGACCCCCTGCATTGCTTGGGGTTGTGGGGTCTGCAACATTGCCTCTCATTTAGAAGCAAGGCCTCTCGCTCGGGCCTTGTGGTGAGGAGTAACTGCGTAACGAAGTAAATGCAAGGTTGTCTTAGTAAGGGTTTTAGGGGAAGTTTAGGTTTAATGGCTTATGGTTTAAGGTTATGTAAACGGCTACAGTGAACAGGTCAGCTCAATGTGCCGAGTTCATGAGAGTTCATCTGATTTCGAGGCCCCCGTCCCCTCCGTCAAAACTAAGGAAACGACCCGACACCCAAAACTTGCTTCTTTCCAAATTGCTGAACTGTCGCAAAGCATATAGCTGTCAGCTTCGTTGCGGAGATTTGACGACCTGATATTTGCAACAAGAATTTCTTCTTCCGCGCACCCTCGTAGATGTGTATAGAGCCCGGGAGCAATGGGGTTTAAAGCGTGTGGAGCTCCCTCCAGCCTTGCCTGTTGAAGGGGCATCGAGCCGTCAGGCTTGCTTAGAGGATCAGGGGACTTAGTAAGTGGGCTTATAAGTAAGGAAACTATAGTTTACTTCTACTTATATCCATGATTGGGTACTTTTCGCCCGAATCAATGAGTCCCGACCCTTCAGTAGGGTGAAGCATCCTTGCCCTCGGGTTTGCAGGAGCACGATGAGCAGAAAATGTACTGCAGGCGAGGCGCTTGGGTGTAAGCGTAAGATTCCAGGGGCTTAGGGAGGGGTGGGGGGCTTCAGGGTGGAAGGGCGATTGTGGATAGACCACCCCAAACCGTAAACCCTGTACCACTTCAGCTTGAGGGCTTTGAGCTTCAGACTTGCAAGTCGGTCTGGTTCTAGGGTGTACCCAGAGGGTCACACAAGACTTTGTGATTCATGTTTGGTTGGCTTGCAAGACCAGCCGAAGCAGCTCAGTCATTCAACTGCCCCTAACAGCACCAACAGGTGTTGGGTTTAAGTTTAGGGTTTAGGGTTTAGGGGGAAGCCATCTAGCTGTCAGCGACATGTTTTCACCTTACAGCCATGCTTGCCAAGTCCCCAGATCCTCCAACCTCTACGCCCTGCAAGCCTTAGAGCTCTAACCCCCTAGACTCTAGGTCCTGTAATCCTTCATTCAAGTGCCCCTGAATCCTAAAGACCCAAAACCCCGGCCCCACACTCTAAACCCCTATACCCCGGAATGCAAAACCGAAAGTTCCAAAACCCTTCAGCCCTCAACCATACAATTCTCAAAGGCGCAGAGGACATTAAGACTCACTTAGAGGATCATGGGACTTAGTAAGTAGGGTTATAAGTACCTTAATTAGAGTTATAAATAGATATAACTATAGTTACCTTACTTATAACCCTAGTTACTTACTCCCCTGATCCTCTAAGCAGTGTGCCATGAGCGGTTTAACATTTAGGCTTTGGAGGCTTCAGATTTTCGGTGGCTTGAACGTTTCGTGTTTTCCTTTGGTTTCACTTTTGGGGGCTCGGGTGGCCGACTGGAGAAGAGCGCGTGAGCACATCCCAACGACTTTTTGCTGCATGGCATACCTAAACCTTAAACCCCTAAACATTTAAACCCTAAAGCCCTAAAGCCCTCGACCCTAAACCTTAAGCCCAAGCCTCCAGAGATCCCAGTACGCCTTAGTTAAGGATTATACCTGGATTTCTAGGGGGTTATCCGCTACCTTAAACCCTAAACCCTATACCCTCAACCCTAGACCCTATACCCTGGTCCTTGTAAATCCATGTCCCCCCGTGTCCTCGAAGCTGAGCTGCAAAACCCCGGATCCTCACGGCAACCAAGGTCCCCGGACCTAGACAGATGATACATAGATAGGCAGATAGACAGATAGGCAGATAGATACCAAGGACCAATGGTTGTCATCCATTCTCTGCGCTGCAGAGTGAACCCCCAACCCTAAACCCGAATTCCCACCCGAGACCCTAAACCCTAAACCCTAGACCCTAAAGCCTGAACCCTCAACCTTAAGCCCCAGGCACGGCACCTTCGTGGATGGCGCGGACATGTTCGATCACAAGTTTTTCGGCATTGCGGAGAAGCAGGCGAAGAGAAGGTTTAAGAGGAGGTTCTATTGTGGCTTAAGGGGTTCCAGTTTAGTAATGATGGATTCACGAGTTTCAGAGGGTTTTTACAAGAGATACAGGGTTTTCAAAATTTTTCCGCAGCTTTAAAGGGGCTTAGAGGGTCTGTATACGGGTTAAAAGCATTTGGGGAGCTTTTGTATGTCGCAGTGGCAGTCAGGGACGTGCCGGCGTTGGCAACCTTTAGATACAGGTCCCCGTCACTTTGACACTGGCTCACGCCATGAAGTTGGTGGCCAGTGAGACGGCTGAGAGACAGGCCGCGATCCCCATCTCGGAATGGAGCTTCCACGCATCCAGCTGTATTCAACAAGCCGGTGGCGGAGTTCTGCCTCCCGGTGTGGAGAAGCTTGCCCCAGGCAATCCGGCGGTCCCCAGTCCCGGTCTCTCCCCACTCCCCCAATCCAATTTGTGAAGACCAAAGCGCAGAAGAAAGCCAGAAGACCAACCCTTAAAATTCATCTGGCGCGAGTGCCCGACCAGTTACAAAGCAGCGCACCCGTGATGCCTGCTCGATGGGGCGCGAGGTTTTGGAGAGTTTTGACAAAGGCTCCACAATGTTCTGATGCCGGTCCTACTAGGGTAGTTATTGCACGCTGTTACGGGGACAAGGGCATTGAAGGTTTATAAGAGTTCGATCATATGGGCTATGTTAAAGGTGCTATCTGCGACCCGTAAGCTGCAAACACCGGAGCCAAGATAGGGTTTAGGGGCTTGGAGGATCAGGGGAATTTGGTAACTAGGGTTAGAAGTATGATAACTATAGGTATATCCCCCCAAACCCTAAGCCCCAAACCCTAAACCCGTAAATGAGTTTCTCCGGCCGTTGAGTCGCTCCCGCACCTGGGTCCAGGAGAGGCTTTCCGAGAAGGGTGCTTCAAACAACGTAGTAGAGGGGCCTGAATAATTACCTGCACTATCGTGGGGGCCCCTGTAGTACATACCTCAAAACCAAAGTTTATGTACATATAGCCCTGTTGCTAAGTCGTCTGCACCTCTGAGTTGGCTCCGCACCTCGACTCGGGCTTTCCGAATTCGGATATCTTGTAACGGTCCATGTGTGGTTGCGATGGTTGAGGAATTAGATCAGGTGTCATAGGGATCCTTAAGGGGGGAAAGGGGGAGGGGGCAGTACCCGCCCTCGCCCTACCCCACGAAGGGTCCCAAGGTGGTTTAGGGTTTAGGACGTCCTCAACCCTAAATCTCCGAAAGGTTTGGAGCGACGTAGCCAAAGCTTGGAGCCCAGGCCATCCTCTGAAAGCCAGGCGCTGAAAGCCAAGGGCCTTAAAGCCAACAGCCCTGAACCCCAAACCTCAAGCCGTAAAACCAACAGGAGTAAGCCCTACACCTTGAGCCTTAAAACCAACCGCAAAAAAACCCAAACCTTAACCCTGCAGGGTTTAAAGTTTAGGTGTTTAGGGGTTTAAGGTTTGGCGTTCAGGGCCACTTCTAAAGCCTAAGCTCCAGACCTTAAGCCTGCAAGCCGAAGACCTCAATCCTGCGCCCCAATCCTAAACCGTGAAGACGGCAATCCCTACGCCGAGAGGTTCGCACCATGCCTCTTTCGGAAAGGCGCGGCGTACTTGGGGGCTTTTCGTTTTGCTTCCTTCCTGGGGTTAGGGCTTAGTTTAGGGTCTGGTTTACAGTTAGGGTTCAGAGTATGCCAGAAAAGGAAGGGGTACACGCATTGTGTTGCGGATTGCGACTTGGGAGTTTCCGAAAAGTAGGGGCAACACATTTTGGGGTCCCTATAATAAGTATCCTATTATTTAGGGTACTATATGAGGATCTCCTATGTTCGGAAACTTCCATTTCAGGATTAGGGCTTGCTGTCTTGAGTTTGGTGGGCCGACTTCGGCTCCCAATGCAAGGCCCCAACACTCTGAACCAGGAGATGCCAACACCCTAAACCCAGAGAGCCCCTAATCCCGTTAACTAAGGCACATTGCTTAGGGCCTAGGGGTTCCTTGAAGGGTTGCTCAAAGCGATCTATAAGGGTTCGACAAGGGAGTTAAGGAGTATGGCTTCAATTATATAGGGCTTCATGTTTGGATTTAAGCTATATTCCTTAATTAAGGGGTATCGGGCTCTCTGGGATGGAAACCCTAAGCCCTCCTAAACCCTCAGCTCCAAACCCTGAACTGTTCTGATTATTAAAGTCCATGTGTTGGGTCCTGTAGTCTCGCCATCCAGCATCCCATGCAGTGAGGAGTGTGTAGTAAGTCCTAGTAGTAGAGTAGGTAATCTGTAGCCTTTTTGGGGTAGTATAGTCCCTATATAATCCCTATATAGCCAAAAGGTTAACCGTTAGTTCCTCATCATGCCCGACAAGTAGGAAGTGTAGTGCTTGAAATGTCAGGCTACACCTGAACCCTAAATCCCAACCTCATGGAAGGTGGGGGCTCGAGGTCGGCTATGAAGCTCTTTTTCGCGCAGGCCGTGCGTCCACTGCAGACAGGGCGGCCTTATTGATTTCGCACTTTTTTCCAGCGAAACTTCTGTGTTTTTTGTGCGGTTTATGCGGCTTTGTAGTGTTGTTATCAGGGTTTCAGGGTTTACCTGGAGGATGAGGGCACTGAGTAAGTAGGCTACAGGTGAGCTTATGACTTATGGTCATTCAGCCTCATTCTATTTAATTATGACTCCGCTTAAAAGTTTGGGTTTCGGGTCTTGGAGAGTTGAGGCCGGTGGAGTGGTTACGAGTTCATGGCTTAGGATTCGGGTCAGGCTTTGACGGTGAAGCTTAACACTTACTGGTTCAGGGCCTCAAGTTTAGGGTTCGTGGTAATTGAGATCTTAAACTCCTAAGACCTAAGCCCCAAACCCTTGACCCTAAACCCGAATCCTTAAACTAACGGGAGAACTTTTCTTCGCGTTTTTCGGGGCCGGTGGCCTTGGAGCTTCAACCGCAGGCCTTGATTGGAGCTCGGGCAGCGGGCACGCAACAGTGTCCGAAACCCTAAACCCTAAACTTCAAAGTCCTTAAATTCCCTAAATTCCAAACCCTAGGCCCTAAACGCCCTAAACTTCCTAAACACCCTAAACCCTAAACCACCAAGAAAGAAAACCTAAACTAAACTCCAACTTTGAGCCTTGAGTACACCGAGCCGCGAGCCCCGAACTCCAAGGTGTTAAACCCCAACTCACTACAGCTCTAAACTGTAAAGCCCCAAACCATAAAACTTTCAACCAGCAAAACCTTACATTTACGTTGCAACGCCCCTGAAAAAGAATATAGTGGTCTGAAGAATTTACAAGCCTGTTCCTTCCAGCCGCTACCTCATTGTAATAGATTACCACAAGTTCAAGGCCCCGTTGACACTTTTAAGGTCACCCCTCAGCTGGTATTATGATTTATCGGACTGCTTAGTTTAGAGTTTGGTTGAGCGGTTCGTCGTAGAACTAGACTTCCCGGGTAAGGGCTCTAGGGTTTTGCGGTTCTAGGGTATAGTAAAACCCTAACCCGAAAGCAGATCTGTATGACATGATACTGAGGGACTGTCAGATCCTGAGTCAGACAGTGGACCGAGGCCACGACCGCCCAGACGCTGCCTTGGGCATCATGACGACGGGTGGAGAAGGGATTCATGACCAAGTCCGACTACCTGACGATGTGTGAACTCTCACAGGACTTTGCAAGGAGGGTGATAAGTACCTGAATTAGGGTTATGAGTAGGTATAACTATATAGTTACCTTGCTTATAGGCCTACTTACTAAGTCCCCTAAACCCTCAGCTCGTCGTATAGAACCCTCATCGAACCCTTAAAGGAACCCTACTTACTAAGTCCCCTGATCCTCCAAGTGTCGACTGCGTCCCGGTCTCACTTGGAGGCTCAGGGGACTTAATAAGTAGGGTTATAAGTAAGGTAAGTACAGCTATATCTACTTATAGCCTTAATTGAGGTACTTATAACCCTTTATAACCCTACTTACTAAGTTCCATGATCCTCTAAGCAGGCTACACCAAGCAGAGTCTCCGTCGGCTCAAGGGCGACGTGCTGGCACGCCCGGGTTTAGGGGTTCCGGTTTTGGGGCTTAGGGTTGGAAGCCCAACACCCTAGACCCTAAACCCTAAACCCTATCCCTAAACGCAAAATGGGGTTTTGGAGCTTTTGGTTTTAGGCCTAAGGCTTCGCCCTGAACGCGATTCTCAGACACCTTCTTTGACGGGGCTCAAACCCTTAAGCCCACAGGAAGTTTCGGCTTGGTAGCTGAGTAGGTAACCTTTCACTTTTTCGGGTTTAGATAAGAGGTTCCTTTGAGGGATCTCTGAGGGTACTATAAGGGTCTTTCTCTAAATAGTAGGTAGGATCCTTATTATAAGGCTCCCATAAGGTTCCCCTATTTTCGGAAACTTCCATATATTCCTGCCATACTTGAAAAGGTTGACCTCTCTTGGGCTGGGGTACTGAGGCCCTTCGTGCAGGATCCGGGATGCCGATTTCGGCTTAGGGCTGAGGGTTTGCCTTAACCCTAAATAACCTACCTTTTTAGGGATCCTTACTATGATTTCTTTATATAAGTCCTTACAAAGGTACGTTCTTCGGGGTTAAGGTAGGGTTTAGGGCTTCATGACAGGATCCCTCTGTAAGTTGAAATCCTGCAAAGATCTTAACAACAGGTAGACTGTTCTGAATAGGGAGCAGAAAAGGGTCAGGGTCCTAAACAGGGTTTGGAACACGGAGCTTTGCAAGGGTTCTAAGCAAGCTGGTTTCTACAAGTTTAGGGCATGGGAGCATGCTGCAGCCAGTTTGTTCAGGGCTCAGGGTTTCGGGTTCTTTCCCAGGGATTCTTAAGCATGCTTCTTTAAAGCGCAGCAGAGTTCCTGCAGCCAACCCCTAACCATACTTGAAGGGTCAGGTGACCTAACAAGCAGGTTAGGGATAGGGCTCTAGGTGTCAAGTTTCGGGTTATCCTACTGACGACTCTTCTTCTAATCAAAAAATGAGGGACCTAAAACATTGCCAATACTATGCGCAGTATTCCGCAGAGCTCTCAGTCAATATCATCATACTATATCATATGCCACCTCTAAACCCTAACCCCTAAAACCCCAAAGCCCTACTCCACTTAGCAATTCCCCCAGATCCTGTAAGTAGGTTTTTTGTGCCTTTGACTTAAGATGATATAGACAGTGAAGCTCGCAGATTCCTTACAGCTTCCGGAGACTTAATCAGTAGGGTTATGGTGAAGTTAGCTGTGGTGGTAAGCTGAAGCGTTCATAACATAGCCCTACTTGCTACGCCCCATGATCCTCCAAGGTATCGGTTTGGGGCCTTTACTTTCTAGCGTTTTGAGGGGTGGGGGTCTGTTGCTCTATGTGTGTGTTATTCTGTTTGTTTTGCTCTCCAGGGTTTGCTTCTACTGGGTTATTTGTGAAGACCATAATGAACAAAGCATCTGCTCTACTGCATAGCCGTAGCCCATAGCTGCAGCTTGGTGGTTGAAGCCCTTCCCCGGGTGTTGTACAAGCACTCGTTCAAGGCAAACTCCGTAAGTTTCGGTAGGGATCCTTGAGATGATGAATCCCCAGGACCAGGCGTAGCTTGTTGAGGAGTCCGTAGAACAAGGACCTTACCATTCTAGGATGAAGGTTTGGGTGCCGGGTAACCATAAGCCTATGTAACGTACGTTGCTCAATTCATGCGCTTTTTTCATCTGCAAATTCTAGTAGGGATCCTGATGCACAAGGTTTTCAGTTACCTGATATGGGAGTCTTTTGGCTTGTGCCCAAGCCCTCACACCCGCACCTGGACGGTTTAGGCTTTAGGGTGCTTCGGGTACCTCAGCGACTAAGTTTGCTTCCCCGCGAAGCCGTACTCAGAGTTCGTGAATCCCATAGATGTTTGCCGGTTCATGGTAGATCCTAAACCCGCACCTCTGCGATGTACAACCTCAGCTGAAACCAATGACAAAGTCCCAAGTACAAACTTAGGATAGTGGGACATAGTAAGTAGGGTTGGAAGTACTTTAATTGGGGTTATACGTAGGTGTAGCTATAGTTACCGTACTTACAACCCTACTTACTAAGTCCCCTAAGCCCTAAACCCTTAAAGAACCCTAATTCTAGAACCCCGAAAGGAACTTTTGAAGGAGCCCTACTTACTAGGTCCCCTGATCCTCCAAGCATTACAGGGAAGCCCAAGCCAGTGTTCATGGAAGACTGGCTGCCGCCCTGACTCTATCCAGCCATCCAGGCTTCCTGCTAGGATTTAGGACTATAGTAGGGATATGAGTTTTAGTGAGGCATCCCTAAACCCTAAGTCCCAAACCCTGAACCGTGAAGCCAAACTCTGACCGGTAAAGGGCAGACCAACCTTCGGGACCATCTAGTCAAGGGCCGCATATGGTAGATTATGGTGTATTAAGGTACATTATGGAATATTTTCGGTACATGATGGTATAAGGGCTTTCTAAGGTGATATGAAGGTAGTGGGATGAAGGATCCTTCATGTAAAGACCCTTACCTACCTTCACCCAAGCTGTGAAGCCGTTTTTAGTTTAGGATGTCTGTCGCGTTTTCCTTGCGATGTTTGCTTTACGTCAGCTGGGCGCTCCAGCTGATCTGTGCCGACTTGCGCCCGTCTTTTCGGCTCAGGGATGGTGACTTGAATCTAATTTAGGGGTTGGACTGGACCAGTAAGAGTATTCCCTTGCAGTTTCTTCACAGTCATAATATACCGCCAAACCTTCTTCTCATTCTCCAGTATTGGGCAATTGTCTCAAAGAAACTGAAAGGTCAAAGAAACTGAAAGGTTGGAGCCTTGTCGGGCCCCGAAAGTGTCAGGGGACTTAGTAGTTTTTTCGCTTATAATAGAGTCTTCTAGTTACAAGTATCATACCCGCACCTTTCCTAGGGTACGTATAGCTCTACTCCGTACCGCCTAAGTCCCCCGACTCTCCAAGTACGTTATTCTGCTACATGCGTCGGAGGTTACGAATTCTGGTCGGGAGTCTCGCTGTTTAGAACGTGAGTCAGGCTTCTGTCAATGCCCTTGAGAACCTGGCGGCTTCTTAGGGTAGCTAGGATGCCCAGTAGTACCCTTATTCCCTTTTTGTAGTCCTAGGTTCCTTATAAAGTTACCCAATACCAAAAAGAGAGGCCTTTTTATTCTTAGGTTACTGGGTATCCTAGGTAGATAAGAAATCCACAAGTTAAGATGACAACGAACTCAGATTTTGTATTGTTTGTCTGCATGCTGGCAACTTAAACTGAATACTATTTTCCCGGAAATCCTACAGGTCCTACTCCAGGAAAAGGACTGAGGTCCTACACCAGGAACAGAACTTTTCAGTCGCTATCGAGCCCTTGAAAAATCATGCAAGAGACTCTTACATGCCCCGCGCGAAGGGAATCTGAAACGTGATATGAACGTATTGACGCACATTCCAGAAGCAGCTGAGGTGAACCCTAAACCCTGAACCCTAAACCTTCAACCTTAAGCCCTAAACCCTCAACACTAAACCCTAAACCCTAAACCTTAAACCCTGAACCCAGCAGCTGAGGTGAGTTCATGCAACCCATGGGGACCGCCTCCTCCCGGGCCCAGGAACCCTCCACCATCACCTCCCAAGGCCCTCCCGAAGCTACTTGAAGGATCAGGGGACTTAGTAAGTAGAGTTCCTTAAAGGGCTCCTTAAAGGGATCTAGAGGGTTCCTTAAAGGGTCTACTTAGAGGATCAGGGGACTTAGTAAGTAGGGATATAAGTAAGGTAACTATAGTTATATCTACTTAAAAACCAAATTAAGGTACTTGGTTCAGGCTTTAGGGTTCCCTTTGATGGTAATGTACTAGGGCTTTAGGTAGGCTTTAGGCTTTCGGGCTTCAGGGTTTTGGGTTTCGGGGTTTAGCTTAGGTAGTGAACGGGGGAACTTTAAACTTTTTGGCCTTATATATTAGCTCTATCTTTCAAAGCTTGAACTTTTTGGGGCCCGGTTGTTGAAGAAGAGAGTGGTAATGTACTAGGGCTTTTCCGGTTTAGGGTTTAGGGTTCAGGCTTTAGGGTTTAAGGTTCAGGGTTTAGGAAATTAGTTTTAGGGTTGAGGGTTTAAGGTTTAGGGTTTAGGGATCGGATAAGGGTACGAGTAATGTAGGAGCCTGATTAAGAAACCTTGGCTCTTCGTATGAACCCTAATATTTTGGGGTCATAGGCCCAGGGTTTCTTAATCGGGTTCCTACATTAGTATGGTGTTCTATAATTATCGCCTTACAGAAATAGGGTTCTATAATCGGTTCCCGTTCAGGGTACAAAAATTAGGCGTACCGTTCCTTCGGTTGCCTGATGACCCTTGCAGTACAACAATATACCCCACAAATCCTTTCTAACTATCGAGGTCCCATATTGCGTTAGACCTTTGGTCCAGAAAGGAAAAGGGGGATCCGTGTACTCCTCCGTTAAGGGGCTTTCGATTCAGGCTTGAGTTGTTTGTTGGTTTACTCTTCGTGGTTTGGTAGAGATTCGGGTTGAGGCCTTAGGTTTTAGGGTTTAGGCTACAAGAGGTCTGGATAGTCCCTGATGGTACCTGTTTATTCACTTTAGAATGTATTCCGAATGCCGCCGTCAAACTACTACCGCACCTGTAGTAGGGTTTGGGTACTGCCTCCATGCTGCAACAGTTAGATATATAAGACCCTGAATAGTTGCCCTATTATCGACGGTTACAGTATGGGGGCAGTATCCAAACTTGTCCCTAAACCCTTAAACCTCTAAACCCCCAAACCCCTAAAACCCTGATTCCTAAACCCTTAAACCCCTAAACCCTAAGGGGATTAGGGGGCCCTTAAATCCCTCAACCCCAAACCAGAGTTTCGAAGGCCAGCTCGTCGCCGGTTCCCTGGCCACCAGCCTCGACAATTTGCAGAAGAAGCTCTCCTACAACCTCCCTGTGGGACAGTGGGAGAACAGGTGGGGACTTTGAATGTGTAGCGGTCAGGGTTTAAGGTTTAGGGTTTCAGTTTATATAGGGTTTAGGGTTAAAGGGTTTAGGGGTTTAATGAATCTCTAAACCCTAAAAACCCTGAAGCCATAAACCATCCTAAACCCTAAACCCTGAGAGCCTAAAGCCTTAAACCGTCCTAAACCCCAAACCGGAGCCCTAAACCATCCTAAACCTTATATAATCCCTAAACCCCAAACCCCAAACCCTAAAACCTGAAGCCCTGAACCATCCTAAGCCCTACAGCAGCCCAGCAGCCATTTGGGCTCAAGTGAGAAGAGAGTTTTCAGCCAAAGAAGCACGAAGCAGAGGTATGTTTCAAGCGCGATCCAGAGACGGTGTCCTGCTGCAGTCACGGCCGCCGCTATCGCACACCAACAGAGACGAAAACTTGCAGGAAGAACAGCGACAGCAACGTAGTCCGCGTTGAAGCCGAAGCACTGTAGCTTGGCCTTTTCCTTCTCGCGCCGTGGCGGGCAAGCGCTGCCTGTGCTTCGAAACTTTCGCTCACTCGACTGCCCTGTTTTCCAAACCTGTTTCATTGCTTGTAGTTGGACCGCGGGCCTTTGTGCTCGGCTTGGTCTTTCAATCCAATGGCACTGAGGTTGGTGCTTGGAATTAGTTCGGGGTGACTCTTGAGGTGCGTGTGGCAGGCATCCGAGCCCCCTCTGCGTTTCGAGCCTTATTCCTGCGGGCTCTTTCTTGAAACCGACTTGTACATAGTCAGTGACTTGCAGCGAGGTGGCTCTTATACCTGGGGTTCTCAGATGATCATGAGACTTAGTAAGTAGTGTTATAAGTAAGGTATCTACTTATGACCTTAATGAAAGTACTTATAACCCTACTTACACTAATTCCCATGATCCTCTAAGTAGGTAGAGGAACCTGTGGAGTCTGAGCCGGATGTCATGGACACCCTAGTAGCAGTTTAGGGTTTAGGGGTGTAGGGTTTAGGGTTTAGGAGTTAGCATCTACTAGTAGAGTAGGTAACCTTTAACCTTTCTTGGGTAGTAGAGTCCCTATAGAATCCCTATATACCCCAAAAGGCTAACCTTTAGTTCCCCATGATACCCGACAAGTAGGACACGGTGGAAAATGAGGGTCCCCAGAGACTCCAATATCACTTAATTAAGGAATATTCCTTAAATCATATTCGGAATCCTACCATAATTTAAGGTATATTCCGTAATTAAGGGATATTGGAGTCCCCTTGACCCTAAACCCTATAGATCCCTTAAAGGAACCCTAGGTATTCCGTAATTAAGGGATATTGGAGTCTCTGGGTCCGGCGGATGCCTAGCTGGGTTCCGAAGCGGTCCCAGCCTCCTCGTCGTGAGACCTCTCGAGACACTTGGCCTCGTAGAAAAGCAGCTCAAAGAAAACCCTAAACCCCAAACCCTAAACCCTTTAAAAGAAGCCCTAAACCCGAAAAGCTTGAAACCTTAAACCATCTTAAGCCCTACAAACCCTAAGCCCTACATCAACCAAGATTGCACATCCCACAATGGGATGGGCCGTCGTGCGAGCGAAGGGCCACTGCAGTAAAAGAAAACGGCAAACCCTAAAAGCCTGAAGCGCTCAACCCTCCTAAGCCCAAAACCCTAAAGCCCCAACCGTGGAGGTCGACGAGGCCCTGGGCTATCCGGCCCCTGAGGGACGGACGCGTTGCCTTGGTATCTGGGCTTCGGAGTACCATACTTTAATACTGTTGTGGGACTTGTTATGTAGTCTAAAGGCAACCCCAGAGACTCCAATATCCCTTAATGTAGGAATATTCCTTAAACCATGGTAGGATTCCTAATATGATTTAAGGAATATTCCTTAATTAAGGGATATTGGAGTCTCTGGGACCACTATGACATGAAAAGTCTATACTTTTTCTATCTGGTTGGATAATATTCATAATATAGCTATATAAGGCCCTTAATAGTAGCCCTATTGTAGACTGTATGGGGGCCCTACCCAATCTATCTGCTTACTTCAATTCCCAGGTTACTTTTTTGGCTATTATAATCCCTAAGAAACAGCCAAAATTATGTGTTTTGCTAAGGTCCTAAGTTCAGTATAGAAACGAAAAGTCAATTCCCAGGTTACTCATAATATGGATATATAAGGCCCTGAATAGTAGCCCTATTATAGACCGTACCCAATCTATCTGGTTACTGCAATTCCCAGGTTACTTGGTCCTCGAGGCAAAGATGCCACGCTGTTTTCATTTGCGGCTTGGATTGGGCAAAGTTACGGTTTGGGGTTTGGGGTTTGGGGTTTGGGGTTTAGGGTTTAGTTACGGTTTAGGGTTTGGGGTTTAGGGTTTAGGCTCGTAAATATCCTAAGCCTTCAACCCTAAGCCGATTAATTACAAGAGTTGCTAGGAGTTTTGTTTAGGGTTGAGGGCTGCCTGTACTGGCTGCTGTAAGGTTTCATAGTAGAGTTCGTTTAGGGGTGCAGGCTTTAGGGTTCCTGTGAGAAATTTTCGTAAGGCTTCCTACAAGGCATTAGGGTTACTACAAGGGTTTTTATCATGCATGATTTGGCCTTTTCCTGTCTTGTTCAAGTTTCTTTACTGGTTGTAAGGGGCTGTCTTCAACTTTGATATTTCGCTTGATTTACATGGGTGGTTGTCAAAATTAGGGTCCCTTTTTGGCTCATTATTATCATACGGCACCTAATATGTAGGGTACCCGAAGAGGGACCCTAATTTTGACAACCACCTACATAGGTTTTTGTTGGAGGCTAATTCTGGGGTTGTGAGCTACGCTGCTAGGGTCTTTCCAGGCGTTACTACGGTCTTCATTAAGGAACCATGTCGTTCTGATCTGGGTGCTGAGCGGGTTCTGGTTTAGGGTTGTTGGGTTTGGTGTCGAGGGTTAGGAAGTTTAACCGAAAAGCCAAAACCTTAAACCCTAAACGCACTTGGAACAGAATTGTTTGTGTTTTTTCAGGTGACGGCCCCGTAGCCGAGCAGTGCACCACCAATGCCCACGAGCTTCCAGTTGACTGTGCTTTGGAAGAGGAGTCGATTTACAACCTCAAGATCTGGGAGTTGAGCAACTCGCTGGCAATTTTGGCAGAACATCCAGCTTTTGGGGCTCTGCACCCCTAAACCCTAAACCCTAAAACATTTCGTGCCTCGGGATAGTTTCTACCTTCTCTTCTGGCCTGTGGGAGGTGTATATCGGCGGGCCCCTTTCAGCCGAGAGACCCCGAAACAATTTAAGTAAGGAGTATGCCTTAAGTCATATTGGGGTTCCTAGTACAATTCAATTGATATTCCTTGATCACGGGGTTTTGGAGTCTCTGGGTTCAGCTTTACCCTAAACCCCCAACCTCAAACCCTAGACCCTAAACCCCGCAGCCTAAACCGTAAGCACTAAACCCCATCCTAAACCCCAAACCCTCAGCCCTAGACCCTCAATCCTATTATAGATCCCTTTAAGGAACCCTTATAGGATCCCTGTGAGGAACGCTTATAGATCTCTTTCAGCACAGCCGAGGCAACGGGCTTGCTGTGGTCTCCCCAACGCAGGTGTTCCTCTGGAGCGCGGACGCAGTGCTTCGGGGTGAGCCTCCCGTTTCGCATCTAGGTTCCCCAGTAGTAGCCTTTGCAAGGCTTTTTGGATAGTTCTGTCAATTAGAACAGCACTCTTATGAGAAGAACCCTAAAAGGGGACTCTAATTTAGAGAACTACCTTTTTTTATTAAACCATAAACCCCTGAAGCAGCCCAGCCTCAGCCGGAGACCAAGCCAAACCTGCATGTTCTGATCTTCTGGGTTCCCCAGTAGCATCCTTCAGCCCTGTTCATTTTACGGTTTCCTGATTAAGACTGACGAGCAGGAAAAAGGAAACCCTCATTGTCAAGGGGGCGCTGGGGAACCCCCCAGAGAGCCCAATACCCCGTAATTAAGGAATGTGGCTTAAATTATATAGGGCTTAATATTATGATTTAAGCTATATTCCTTAATTCAGGGGTATTGGGCTCTCTGGGCCAGGCATTGGTCAGGAAACTTCACCGAGTCGCTAGCGCTCCACTCGGAAGGTCTTGCATTGAAGTGCTGCAACGGGACCTTGTCCTCGTGCCGCTTCTTTGTCCTGCACATGTCGGTCTCTTCGGGGTACCTAGAAACAATTTCTAGTCTTTGGTTATTATAACCCCTAAGAAACAGCTAAAATTCTGATTCCTGCTAGGGGTCTAAACCCTAAACCCTAAAGCCCTAAACCCTAAATCCTAAGTTCAGTATAGGTCTCCCACCTTGGCATGGACGTTTGGGTGCAAGCGCTTCAGCATGTCAGCCCCCCGGATCAACCCAACCTCTTGGAGCGGCCGGCATCGCTGCATGATGGCGGTTTGGCCATTGTCTCTTTGTCATAGGTGGGTAACATTTTACCTTCTATGGTTACTTAAACCTAAGAAGGAGTAAGAGGTTGTTTTTTTTTATCCTATCCCGACCATGAACTAGGTCTCCCGGTTTGGGAGGAGGGGTGCCTGTTCTCTTGAAGTGGTGGTGTTCCCAGCATCTACCCTGTCGAGTGGGACATCTGTGTCTGCAAACGCATCTGGACGTGCCCAAGTAGCGCTGCTTAGTAGCTGAGTGGATACACTTTATATACACTTTTTGGGATATCGCCCACTATAAAAACAATTGTTGGGGCGCATGAACTCAGCAACTAAGGCTGCCATCCGATCCTTGCCAGGAGGGGCTGGGGCAGGAGATGCTAGTGGACACTGTGGTTCCTGGGCTTTGGAGTACCATACTAAATAATTAAATGAAAGGAACCATAATGAAATGCAAGTTTAAACTTTTGTTAAGGAGCCGTTATGAAACACAAGTTTATACTTTTTCTCCCTGATTATTTAAAAGCCCAGGTTCACAACGGATCAGATCTCTTGCTCGTTTTCTCAGACACAGCCTTGCATCGGTTTCCGATTGTGCAAGGCACGGTGGGCCGGATGACCACCGAAGTGTTTCCGCCGTCAGACATGGCGGCTGCTGTGGTGGTTTTACCAGAGAATGTGCTGGCGGTGGCATTTGAGTATTCCATTCGCCTCGGGCGTTTCATGGATGGCAATTTTTCCTGGCTGGGAATGCCCCTGCAGGTGAGGGATGGTAGCCTTTCCGTTTTGGCCATGTTCCCCTGGGGCCTCAGTGGGCTTTGCGTGCTCGACGATACGTATTACTTCTTTAACTATTCGGCTGCGACAAGAGGTGGGGGCTTCCGAAAGTAGGGGACCCTAATAAAGCACCCTAAATAGTAGGATCCTTAGTATACCGACCCCCAATATGAGGTGCCCCTAATTTTCGGAAACTCTCAGGTGCTGCTTCCGTGTGGCAGACCACCGTTGTAGCACCTGCAAATCCGCAGCAGTCGACCCAAGTCACAAACCTGATACCGGATTCTTGTTAAGGAATTTTTTCATTTAAGCTACAATAATAGGGATCTATAAGGGTTCCATCACGGGATCTATTAGGGTTCCTTTAAGGGTATAGGGTTCAAGGTTTAAGTTACCATGATAGGGATCTACAGTAATTAATATGGTTCCCTTATTGTAGTAACTTAAATGAAGTTCCTAAACAAGAACCCAGGATAGGGATCGCTGGTGGTTTCGTTGCCCTGATTGAGACGGAGACTGGGATAGGGAGCACCATATACTTTACTTTTATACTTTTGTGTGGACTTTGGTTCTCTAGATTTCGACTTTAAACTTTCCGGCATGTTTACTTCAGAACCCAGAAATACCAGGAATATAGTCTGAATGCCAGCCTTGTGTTCCTGACGAATTCCACCCCCTATGGTGATTGGACGACAGCTGTGCTTGGAGTGGCCGTGCACGGCCGGCATTCCAACAGCATCGTTGCAGTATCTTGGTTTAACCGGACTACCAACTATTTTTTTATTCTACAACCCTCACTGCAACCCACATGTCGCCCCGGTGAGCCCTTCTAACACACTCATAAGCGCCATGTAAGATCCGTGTGACAGATGAAACGCACTCAGACATAAGTTAGAGAATCCCCCAAAGCAGCAACCCAGAGAGCCCAATACCGCTTAATTAAGGAATATGGCTTGAATTATACAGGGCACATTATGATTTGAGCTGTATTCCTTAAGGCATTAAGGGGTCTTGGGCTCTCTGGGGAAAGACCCAGGTTCCCTAAGCCACTAAGGTTTGGGGTGTAGGGTTTAGCGCTGAGGGTATAGCCTTCATTCATGAATCTCTGGAAGCAGAACTCTGAACGCTTGGGTTCCGGGATTTTGGGGTGAATGGCCCAAAACCCCCCCAAGAAGCGAAATCTTAAACCCCAAGCCTCAAATCCTTAGCTTTAGGGTTTAGGGTTTACTTAAGTCCGCGAACCCTAAGCCCGAAATCTCAATCGAGGTGTCCAGCACTATTCTGGCCTGTTCCGACGACAAGGAGGGGGACTCCTAACTCCTTGCTCCTTTCTTGCGAGGGCACTGAGGGTTTAGGGTTTATCTCGGTGTACATACCAATGTAGGGCTAAGAGTTCAAGGTTTATTTCACAAGTAGGATAACCCAGCCTACTTTTCGAGGAGCCCCTCAACCCAGAACCCTAAGCCCTAACCCTAAATCCTACGCCCTAAATCCTGAAACGCAAACCCTGAAACCCAAACCCTGAACTCCCGTGCCCGGTGGATCATGAGACTTCGTATGTAGGGTTTTAAGTCCGCCTGATGCCCCAAGTAGCCTTTAAACCCCCCGTAGAACCCATACAGAACCCTACAAGAACCCCTGCTTACCAAGTCCCCTGACCTTCTAAGGGCACCCAAGTAGTAGTCCTCATAGTAACCCAAAACCTAAACCCATATAGAACGGGTAGTTCTAAAGGCATGGTTTTTAGAACCAAACCCTCAACCCTTAAGCAAAACAAAGGAAGCCCTTTTTGTGCCCTTAATATAGGGGCATAAATAATGCTTATCGTATATGTACCCCCAAGCCCTGTTCTAATTATTAAGGCCCCCTTATATATATATATATATATATGTATATAGAACCCTATCATAGATCCATCATCAAACCCTTTAAAGGATTCTTAAAGGAACCCTTAAAGGAACCCTGTATTAGACCTAAAGCCCCTGATCCTGTAAGTAGCCAAACCCTAAACCCTGAACCCTAAACCCTAAACATCTCTGGCAAGGTCTGGAGTTTCTGGGACCTCTCCCAGCCTCGGCACAGATCAGAGGAGCCCTCACTTAGGGTTTTAGGGTTTGCGGTTTGAGGGTTTAGGGTTAGGGTTTAGGTTCTGGGGTTTTAGGGTTTAGGGTTTCGGGGTTTAGGGTTTGGGGTTGTAGGGTTTAGATTAGGTTCTAGGGTGTTAGGGTTGAGGGTTCTAGGGTTTAGGGTTTTTGGGTTTTGAGGGTTTAGGGTTGAAATGTTCTAGGGTTTAGGGGTTTGGGGGTTTAGGGTTTAGGGAGGAGTAGGGTTGATAGGTTTCCTTAAGGAATTCTTCAAGTTTTGGCGGGTATTTGAAGGATCGAGGACGTAGAAAGGAAGGCTCTAGTGAAGGTAGCTAGAGGTATATCAACTTGCTAGGATGCCCAGTAGTACCCTTATTCCCTTTTTGTAGTCCTAGGTTCCTTATAAAGTTACCCAATACCAAAAAGAGAGGCCTTTTTATTCTTAGGTTACTGGGTATCCTAGCTTGTGACCCTACACTGTACCTACAAACTTATGAAGCCCCCTACACCCACACGCCCTGGCGGCCCAAGCAGGGGATATGGGAGTTTCCGAAAATTAGGGCTACCTTACTTGGGGTCCTTACAATAAGGATCCTATTTCGGCTACTATATTAGGGTCCCCATATTCGGAAAGTCCCATATGGGAGTTTAGGATTTAGGGGGGTTCTTAGTAAAATGCATGGTTGGCCATGCGGGCACGCCAGACCAGTATTTGGATTCTGGATTTGTGATTACTGACGTATGGCGGCTGTCATTGTTGGCATTTACCCTCGCATTAGCAACATGAACCGTAAACCCTAAATCCTAAACTCCCATATGGGACTTTCCGAATATGGGGACCCTAATATAGTAGCCGAAATAGGATCCTTATTGTAAGGACCCCAAGTAAGGTAGCCCTAATTTTCGGAAACACCCATATCCTGAGCCTCAACCCCCAGCTTTCGAAGCCGAGAGCCTCCCAGATCGGGTTTACTAGGTAAGACTTTGGTATAATTTATATTTTCCCTTACTGGGCTGAAGAGGATCTTGGTTCTTAATACCTTTCAAAAGCTTTACAAGCCCCACCTAGGTATCGGTTTAGGGGTCTTGACACACCCCAACCCCCAAGACGCTTGCATTGTGCTCCCAAGTTCTAAACCCTATGCCGGTTTAGGGTTTAGGGTTTAGAGTTTAGGGTTTAGGGTTTAGAGGTTTAGGGGGAGTAAGAAAAGGGTCGGAGTCATTGGTGATAGTAGATCACTATAGTCATAACCATACTGTCATATACGCAGAAGACATAGTTGTTGGTGCCTGTATATGACGCCCCTATATTATATAAGACTTAAAGTAGTCCTTATACATTGTAAGGTTCCTCTTAAACAAACGCTATTCCACTTGATGAGGCCCCTATAATATGACTCTACCTTGGGTTATCCCTTCTGAACCCTGAAACACTAAAGTAAGCCGTATCTATAGTAGCCGCCCGGAACAGGAACCCATTTTGATGTTTAAGGTCGCTATTCTTACGCTACTTTGGGTCATCCCTTGAACCCTCAGTACTGTGAGGATGTCCTCAAGGCGTTCTGCACGCTTCCGGCGCCCTTCACAACCCCAGGTGTGGGGGTTTAGGGTTTAGGACTGTTTACGGCGTAGGGTTTAGGGCTTAGGGTTGTAGACTTCAGGCTCTCGGCGCATGAGGCTAAACTGAGGGTTGCCAGCATCGGCTAAGCCCGAAGCCCTAAACCCATCATGGATAGCATTGCTGAGTCCCAGCCTGGAACCCCACTGCGAATACTCGTTAAATCATATTAGGGATCTCACTATATTTTAAGGTATATTCCTTAATTAAGGGATATTGGAGTCTCTGGGCAGGTTCGGGCCAACTTCTCGGGAGCACTGGCCGGGGTGATTTGTGACTCGCCGCGGTCTAGAGTGTAGGGTTTAGGCTTCGGGGTTTGGGGTTTAGGGCTTGGGGTTTTAGGATTTGCTTTGGGGATTTAGGGTTTGGGGTTTAGGCTTTAGGGGTTAGTTGTTTTGTGGTGGTTTAGGGTTTGGAGTTTGCTTTGATGTCGGTTTGCGGAAGTCCAAGTTATGCGACAGAGGGCTAGCAATCGCCCGACTGTAGTGGGCGGTCTCTCTCTCCCTCTCTCTGTCTCTCTCGCACGCCCAGAGAGCCCCAAACCCTTTAATGAAGTAAGGAATAAATATAGCTTGAATCATAATATGAAGCACTTGATAATTTCAGCCATACTCCTTAGTTAAGAGGTATTGGGCTTTCTGGGCGACTAATTTCCACTACGACACTGGCCGCAACAGTCACAGTAACAGCAATTGTAGCTGCATCATTACCACGAACATTGCCACTAGCAGTAGCACTAGCACGTCACTAGCGCTATGAAACTACTAAACTACCAAACCACCAAACTACTAAACTACTCGACTACTAAACTAGTAAACTACCAGACGACCATAAACTACGAAACTACACGACCATGACGACCACGACGACCACGACGGCCACGATGACCACATCCACCACGGTCACCACGACCACCACAACCACCACGACCACCACGACCGGTCACCACGACCACGACGACCCTGACGAGTAAGGGCTTCAACAGTAATAGTAGTACTAACAATAACAGTACTAATCACAATAAGAAGAGGGCTTTAGGGCATACTTCAGACTAATTTCAATACGGAACCTCCGGAATTCTATTGTTATTTTTTGGAAGTAGGGTCTTTTGCTTTTCAATTTTCGACCCTAAGCCCTAAACCCTAAACCCTAGCGCGAGCCCAGGATCGTGGCCAACGCATCTGGGCTATTGATTCTTCCTGCCGCGGGCATTCGACTCTGCGACCTTTCGTTCCTGGTGCAGCTGCCTTCCCCAGATCCCTTGAGAGTCGCTGGTACGCAGGGTTTAGGCTTTAGGGTTGAGGGTTTACTATCACATGATGTTTTTTGAGGGTGGGGGTGTGATTACAGTGTCAGGGTTTTTGGTACGTCTCGCCGATTTCCTAGCTGCTTTGCTACTAAGTCCTTTTGCCCAGTCGTTCCGATTCATCGCGCGAGATAGGGGGATCGGGAGGTAGGACCGCATAGGAGGCAAACGGGGCTTTAGTACATCACACTCTTAGCGGGGATGAGGGCTAAACCGCGAGCCCTAAACCTGTACTACACATGTACAAGTATTAAGGAGTCCCGAACGCAATTGTCTTAAATGCAAGCACAGAGCCCTGAACCTAAGCCCAACACCCTCGAACTGGCGAGCTACCTGCAGAATTCCAAATGAGGGTTCTCGAAGCCGTTCTCTGAAGTAGGGTTTCTTGTTTCAGCACCAACCAAGAGAGCCCAATACCCCTCAATTAAGAAATATAGCTTAAATCATAATATGAAGCCTTATATAATTTAAGCCATATTCCTTGATTAAGGAGTATTGGGCTCTCTGGGAACGGGCTCAGGGGACTGAGTATCTAGGGTTATAAGTACTTTAACTAGGGTTGTAAGTATGTATATTTCTACTTGGCGTTCTTCTGGTTGGACCTTTAGACTTTAACTTTTTGGGTTTCTATATGAACTATGATAAGGAGCCTAAAAGTTAAACTTTTAGGAGGGGTTCAGAAGTCAGCCAAGTCTAGCTACCTTAAACGAATCCCCTTGAAAGGAACATGTGAAACCCTTCCCTACTTACTAAGCCAGCTGATCCTTTAGGTACCCCCCACAAGAACCCCAAAATCCTTAAAGGACCCTTTCAGGGAACCTGTAACCCTACTCCCTAAACCCTAAACCCTAGAATCCTTAAAAAGGAACCTATAACCCCTAGTCCCTAAACCCTAAACCCTAGAATCCTTCAAGGACCCTTTCAAGGAACATAAAAACCCCCTACTAAACCCTAAACCCCAAACCCTGGAATCCTTAAAGGACCCTTTAAAGGAACCTGAAACCACTACTAAACCCTAAACCCCAAACCCTAGAATCCTTAAAGGACCCTTTAAAGGAACCTAAAACCCCCACTAAACCCTAAAACCCTAAACCCTAGAAGCCTTAAAGGGCCCTTTAAAGGAACCTAAAACCGCTGCTTACCAAGTCCCCCGGTTCCCCCAGCACTGCTACCCAGCTTACGAGGCCCATGCCACACCTTTGGGACCTCACTTAGTAAGCAGGCGGTTAAGGGCCCCGTTAAGGGATCTATAGGGTACCCCTAAACCCTAAACCCTGTACTATAAGGGTTTAGGGTTCAGGGTCTACTTAAAAGATCAGGGGACTCCGTAGGATGTACCTACTTACCCTAATTTAGATACTTGTACCCCTAGTTACTAAGTTCCATGAACCTCGACGCAACTAAGCAAAAACCATCTAGTTCGAACTGCTCTTCAACAAGCGAATCTTAATTTTCGGGAGATTTTTTGTTTTTTTTGATGACCTTTTTTGTTTTGATGATTTCTCTGAGTTGCTTAGGTTGTCCCGTTCTACCTGCTGCGTCTGCTTGCTTTTAGCTTTCTGCTTGTTCGTGCTTTTGCTTTTCAGCTTCTCTGCTTTTCGGCTTCTCTGCTTCACTTCTGCCTGCGTATGATTCTCGTTTCAGACATATGATATGATGAACCGGAATCGCCAAATCCTTCCCTCCTCCCGCCCTTGCCTCCCCGCGCTTCCTCAGCCCTGTTCCAACCTCTCCTGCCCCCTGCCTCCCTGAGGGACACGGCAAGCCAAAAAACATAACAGAATGCAACATAAAAAACTTCAACAGACAGTTTTAGATCCTTTAGAATGCCGTGGGTTTAGGGTTCAGGACTCAGGGTTAGGGGTTTAGGTTCCGAAATCCCGACAGAAGCCCTAAAGCTGGCATCGCCAGTTGTTTTCTGAAGGCAAAATGCCTCATAAGAAACCCTAAACCCCAAACCCCTACACCCTAAATGCTAAACCCTAAACCCTAAACCCTAAGACCCCTAAGCCCGAAACCCCCTAAACCCTAAACAGCAGTACCGTTGTTGTCTGAAGGCTTACGCGCCGCTCACGAGGACGGGATCTCAGGTCCTGGCAGTTCCCTGCTGTGGCGGAGGGGCCGCCGTGGTTCCTTGGTTTTCTCGGACCTAGGGTGGACCCTTATTCCTTTTTTGAGGGTTCAGGTTCCCTTATAAGCCACTTTAAACCAAAAAGGGCATCCTTTCTATTCCTAGGTTACTCTTGGTTCTCAAACCCTGAACCCTACTAAGCCCGAAGCTACGGTTTAGAGTTTAGGGGTTGGAGGGTTTAGAGTTTAGAGTCTTAAGGTCTGGTGGTTACGGCTAGGGCTTTGGGGTTTTAGTATTTCCGTGGCTTAATGGATTATTTTGCTCGTGGGGGGAACTTCCGAATTAAACCGGAAGCTAAAAGATTCAGAGTTTGTGGCTCTGAAGCTCGGCTCCGGCATTAGGACTTCATGATTCCGATTGAATCCGTGAACTCTTGGCAGAAGTTGCGCAAGCAAAAGACATTTCAGTACTTGGAGGGGCAGGGGACTTAGTAAGTAGGTCAGAAGTGGAGTTAGAAGCATGATCAGAAAAATGGAGGGATCCTAGTTGGGGTTTTGATACTTCCAGCTTTATCAAAGTACTTACTACATCCCCCGACCTTCCAGGTATTGTTATAGGCTTGCAGGCTCCTTGTCATTTAGTCAGGGGCTCTTGGGCTTTCCGGTGATCAACCACAAATGCTCTTAGACTGCTGAACTCCAGATCTTGCCAGTGCAGTTAAACGCCAACATGCTTTCCCGAAGTGTCCAATGTCCTGGCTGAAACTCTCTATTCGACCTCTCTTGCTCGTCCGTCTGGTCCTCTTTCTTTCGCCGGTACATGGGGGGAACAATCTCGCGGCGCTGCTCAAATCCCTAAACTGGCACACGAAACCCCAAAACTAATTCGAAAAAAGACGAATAACGAGCCTAAGCAGAGCCAAGACGGATGTTGAAACCTGAGAATCCCATAGGCCGTAAACCCCAAACCACAGTCCCCGACCCTGTCCTCAAAGACAACAAACACGCCAAGGTTCATTCAGGCATCATATCCCATGTGCGTGTCTCTCCGGACCGGATCTCTTTGTTCAATGCCTCGGCGGTGGAGCGTGGGGGAGAGCCATTCGCTGATCTCCAGGCTGTGGTTTATTACGGGTTTAAAATTGCTAGGGTTTTTGCTAGGTATCGATGTGGGATTTCTTTTCAGGTAGAGCCCTTAGTATACACAAGTTGGGGGAACTGTTGAAATCGACACCTAGTATGAGGTTTTCGAAGGATTAGAAAGGGATCTGGGTTTCAACAACCAAGGTTTTTGACAGGCTTCGTTGGGCCAGGGGTTCACGGACTGTGATTTAGGATCTCAGTTTTGTGCTCGGGTTGACCATTGGTTGAGAGCTATGGGACGTTCTTTGTTCAAACCCTAAAACCTAAACCCTTTTGGGCTTTAGATTCAACTGCATTCGGGCTAAGCTGTTGTCGATACTTAGGGCCAGGACTGCATCATTCGTGAAATGTTTGATGGTTTTTCTATTCAAGGAAGGTACCCTGTGGTGGCTGTCTAGGTTGAAATCTACACGGGCTTTCGAACCGAGGTTTATTGCGAGTGTGCTATTGGCACCTACGAAATTTGCACACTTACCTGGTTTCTGACGTCAATGTTGAACGGTTAAGCTAAGACAAGAGCTTTGACAGTATGACTGTGCAAAGATGCCCCCTAAATCCTAAAGCCTAATGCCGAATTCCAAAGGCTCTTGCTTGCATGAGCGGAAGGCCTTAAGTCTCCAACTCATGCACTACCTAGAGCGATCCTTTCTTTTTTACTGGGCTCCTTAGAGGGATCTATAGGGCTCTTTAAAGGGATATATAGGGTTTAGGGTTTAGGGTTTATGGTCTACTTAGAGGATTATGGGACTTAGTTAGTAGGGTGACAAGTACCTTAATTAAGGTCATAAGTAGATATACTTTTAGTTACCTTACTTATATCCCTACTTACTAAGTCCCATAATCCTCTGAGTAAAGCTTAAGCCTCTGATGCTGGGATTACTTCAACCGCAAACAAGAGAGACTATGTTTAGGTGGACTAGGGTGCTAGCCGGGGCTAGTAGTACCTTACTCGGGTGTATCCTACTTGTAGCTCAGGGTGACAACCGATGGCTGAACCAACGTGCCGTCATCCTTTGAACATGCCCCACAGAACCCTAAACCCTAAACCCTGGATCCTAATCCCTAAACCCCGAACCCTAAACCCTAAACTCTAAACCCAAAACTCTAAACCTTCGACCTTAGACCCTAAACTCGAAACCCTAAACCTTAAACTCTAAACCCTAAACCCTAAATGCCGACCTTCAGCCCCCAAGACATCGAAGCTCTGAAGGTTTAGATAGCATTGAAACCTCTTGGGCCCCAGGCCCGTCTGATGCCTAAATCCCCAGACCCCCGGGAGGATCCAAAAAGTAGATCCCTTGATGACTTAATGGGGGTTCCTATAAAGTACCCTTAGTATAGGGCCCCAAGTCTGGGGATCTACTTTCTAGATCCTCCCGGGGGTCTGGATCCACAACCCGAAGCCCTCCGCCTCTGGACCTTGGATTCAGGGGTTTCGGGTTTGGGGTTTGGTTTTGATTAGTTTTCAGGGTTAAGAGCTTAGGGTTAAGGGTTCAGGAATTAGGCTCTCTAGTCTCGTTTATAGGGCTTAGGAGAGACACGACTCTCTTGTTTAGGGTTTAGGGTTTGTCTACCTTAACCTGCCGTAAGCTAATCAACTTTTTTCGAGGTTCTTGTTGTAAAACCTAATATCATGTTAATAGGGCCGCTACAAACAAGTAGGTTCTGGCAGAACCTACCATAACCCACATTGTTCCTAGGTTCTTCTTATAATTCATGAACCTTAATACGGGATTTACAGGGATCCTACAAACGTGTACTTAGAGGATCATGGGACTTAGTACGTAGGGGTACTAAGTACCTTAATTAAGGTCATAAGTCGATATAACTATAATTACCTTACACACAACCCTACTTACTAAGTCCCAGAATCCTCCAAGTGGACCCTAAAGCCCTTATAGTACCCTATAGATCCCTTCAAGGAGCCCATTAAGGAACCCTACTTACTACTTCCCCGGATCCTCCAAGTAGCCATGCAACCTGGCTTTTGGACCCAGAGACTTCGATATCCCTTATAGTAGAAGCCAGAAAGTTGGAACATGGATTTGGGAGGATAAGTGCTAGGATCCCTTATACTTTACCTTAAGGGCATGGGGATAATGATGTTCCAACTTTCTGGCATCTACTGTAATTAAGGAATATTCCCTGGGTGGACCAGGTCGATGCTCCCCAGTGGATTCTGATCACTTCCCTACTTCCGCTGGTCGCTGCTGGGACGTTACCCTAAACCCCCAAACCCTAAACCCCTAAACCCCTAAACCCTATAAACCCCTAAACCCTAAACCCCTAAACCCTAAACCCCTAAACCCTAAACCCCTAAAGCCCTAAACCTTAAACCCTAAACCCCTAAACCCTAAACCCCTAAACCCCTAAACCCTAAACCCCTAAGCCCCTAAACCCTAAACTGTGGCTCGAAGCCCAGACTTCGAAGCTTTCAAGAGCTGAGGGTGGGGGCTTCCTCGTGGGCACCACGGAGAAGAAAGTGTACAGATATGAGCCCGTCGAGGTCCATCTTGAGGGTTGGTTTAGGGTTTAGGGTTTAGGGGCTTAGGGTTTAGGTATATAGGGGTTTAGGGTTTAGGGGTTTAGGATTTGGGGTTTAGGGTTTAGGGGTTTAGGGGCGAGGTCCGTGTTGGGCTTTAGATGGGTTCTGCAACGGCTTAACAAGGCGGTTTAGGGGGGCTCTACAGTGTTCTATATCGAGTTTCGGGTTTAGGGCCATGGTTAATCCAAGGGTAAAAGGAGGGGCCGTTAATAAGGACCCCTAGGTATGTACCCTTAATATAGCTATTATATACCCATTATATAGCCCATTATAGGGTAGGGGTCCCCATTAAGGGTCCCTCCTTTTCCCCTTTGAGTTTAGAGAATTTGGTTGTCGAGTTTCGGGCTTCTTGGGTGTCGGGTGGATTAGCGGGTGGGGTCACATGGGTAGTTGTCAAAATTAGGGTCCCTTTTTGGGTCCCGAATATAGTACGGCACCTAACATTTAGGGTTCCCAAAAAGGGACCAGAATTTTGACAACCACCCACATGTTTTCCCATTGAAAGCGATAGGCTGAGGATTTATGACGATCGGGAAAAACGGACCCGGACATGCGCCGTAAGCAGCATGATTCTTTCATACGAACCGTTGAACATGGTAGTAACAGGCTCGGAATAATTCGTGATCGTAGTCGTATCTCTTTATCGTCCAACTAATATTATACTGCACTACTTAGTGGATCAGGGGACTTAGTAAGTAGAGTTACAAGTAAGGTAGCTATAGCTATATCTACTTACAGCCCCAACTAAGATACCGATGTCTATAACCCTACTTACTAAGTTCGGGTCCTCCAAGTATACCCCAAACCCAAACCCTAAACCCCTTAAACCCAGAACCCCTGAACCCCTTCAGCCCTCAACCCCTACACCCTGAGTCCCTAAACCAAACCCTCAAACCCTACCCCTAAACCCTAAACCCCCAAACCGTTGTCGAAGCTCCCAATTGGACTCTGAGCCCATGTGAGGCCAAGGGACTCGCCGCGCTCAATGCTTCCACCGTCTTCTGGCTGGGAATCGTTTCAGGGCTCCTTTGAAGGTTCCTTTAAAAAGAGCCCTTAAAGGGAACCTTACAAGAAAGGGGGCTTCCTTTTTTAAAGGAGCCCTTAGGGGAGGTTTAGGGTTTAGGGTTTCAATTTTCAGAGAACCCCAAACCCTAAACCGGCGCAGGGTTTCTTAGGGCTCAGGCCCCTGTCAGATAGGGGTTCGGGAAATTCATAATAGGGTCTGGGGTTTAGAGTTTTCCCCGCAGGGCTAACTGTAGACTAGTGCAACTAGTCAGCCCTCCCTAGACAGTGAAAGTGTGCTTAGCAGTCCAAGTCCCGCATAAACTTCCACTACCACCACCATGGGGGAGCGCGGTTGGCACCCCAGAATATGCACGGCGCTATGCTGCGCTGCGGCGGGAAGACGTTCCAGTCCAGAATGCGCCTCGCGCTGTGGCGGGCGCGCGATTCCGAAGCTCGTTGGGTGGGACTCCGGGACAACACCACTTGGAGGGTCCGGTGACTTAATAAGTAGGGTTATAAATAAGGTAACTATAGTTATATCTACTAAGACCCCTAATTAATGTACTTATAAGCCTACTTACTAAGTCCCCTGAACCTCCAGGCAGCGAGCTCGGAGGAGACGTAAAAGTGCGACCTTTCCACAGCATTAATTATATAGCAACTTTGGGGAAGACTGTGGCGGGAGCTTGCTGTGTGCTTTTGGCCGGCACAGTAGCCGCACCTTCTTTTCTGACGCAAGAACCACATAATTAACAAACAGTTTGGGAACTTGCTTACATTGACATGCTGATATGTGTATACTTGTATCTGTGTCCACCTACACTCATACTTCGCATATGGGAGTTTCCGAAAATAAGGGACCCTAATACAGTACCCTAAGTAGTAGGATTCTTCTTTTAAGGACCCCCAAATAAGGTACCGCGAATTTTCGGAAACTCCCTAAACCCTAAACCCTAAACCCTAAACCCTAAACCCTAACCAGGGTCGTTGCTCGACCCGGAGCCGCTACCCCGACAGCCCAATATCCCTTAATTGAGGAACATAGCTGAAGGCCTGGGGTTCCTTAAAGGGCTCCTTAAAAGGATCTATAAGGGAATTAAGGAACATGGCTTGAATTGTATAGGGCTTCATGTTATGATGTAAGCCATATTCCTGAAGCAAGGGGTATTGGGCTCTCCGGGTATCTCCCATGCCACTGAGCCAGAGACACCCATGTTCCTCAATTAGAGGTCCTTGAGTCGGAGTCCCCATTCCCCAGACCCCGGGAGGATCTAGAAAGTAGGGCTTAGGGTTTAGGGGTTTATGGGTTTAGGGGTTTAGGGGTTTAGGGTTTAGGATTTCAGAAAGTGGATCATCTAATTTGTGTACTACTGAGGGTACTTTATAGGAATCCCCATTCAGGGATCTACTTTTTGGATACTCCCGGGGGTCTGGGTCTATTCTATCAGCACTGGGCGTTTTTCCATGCTCTACCAAACACCCGGAACGCAAAGCAGTGAAGTATTGCCACCGGAAACCTACAGACCTCAACCCTAAGCCCTAATCCCGAGACCCTAAACCCTACTTGGAGGATCAAGACACTTAGTAAGTAGGATCGTTGGAGGTTCTTTGTTATGCTTCCGGCAGGCGTCAACAGTTGAATAGGGATTCTGGGAGACAGTTATAGCTTACTGAAGCGGAGATTACACGAGGATAATTTGCAGTAGTCCATCAGACAAAGGAGTTCTGAACAAATCCTAAACCCCAATGTCCAAGACCCTGAACCCCAAACCTTACACCCTGCACCCCAAAGCCTGTACCCTGAATCCTTTATTGGCTATAAACTCAACTTTTCAACTTTTGTGGTTCTTATAAGGTAGTCGGTTCTGAAAGTTTCAACCTCTACTTTCTTGGGTTTTGCGCCAGTGAGATCCTGAACTCTTCAAAAACCTCCGAGGCTTTCAGCGTCCCCGGGGTTCCCTGGTATCTCTCCTCCTGGTGCCTCGGCTGATTAAGGCTACTATTACTTAAAGCGCCCCTTAGGGTTTAGGGTCTACTTAGAGGATCATGAGACTTAGTAGGGTTCCTTGAAGGGTTTTAGTAAGGTTACTATCCCAGTCCTAGAGCAGATAACCTTTAACCTTTTTTGGGTAGCACGGTCCCTATATAATCCCTTTAGTTCCCCATGATATCCGACAAGTAGGCTATAGTTAGGCTATATTATTTACTTAGAACCTTAATTAAGGAACTTATAACCCTAAACCCTAAACCCTAAACCCTAAACCCTAAGTCCTCTGATCCTCTAAGTAGGAGCCTCGGACTTCAGGATGGTCGAGGAGTGCAGGACCTGAAGTCCGGGCCAAGCAAGGGACCACGATTAAGGACCCAAAAAGGGCATAAGCATAAGCTTTTATAGGGATATCCCTACCTTAAGGGGCTACATTATAAGGGGGTGTATATGGGATATCCCTATCCTAATTTTTGCTTGTGCTTTTTTAGGGCCCTACACAGCGACCAAAGCAACACTAGCTAGTCGAGTACGTTGCCGACGCAACCATGACCTCACAGTGAGTTAGTAGCTGAGTAGGTAACCTGTAACCTTTTGGGATTTACATATTGCTACCATAATTGGAAAGGTTAACCCTTTTTGAGCCAGGGTACCAGGAGACGTTTTTGCAAGCCAGCTAGGCAAGCAGCTTGCACGAAACAACAATACACCTTTGCGAAAGTGATGCTGCTGCCCATTGTCTTGCTCTTCGGAGAACGCGCTGAACCACCTTCAAGACTGATACCCTAAACCCTATATAGATCATCACCCCAGGTGACCACAGATCCATCGCCCAGGATTGCAGCAAATGCGCCAGCGGAAGCTTGGATCTGCTGCACATTCTTTAGTTGCTCCTGTACGGCACTGCTGTCGCCACCGTAGTCCTTCCCACCCCAGGCGACCACAGATCCATCGTCCTTGATTGCAGCAAATACACGATCAGAAGCTTGGATCTGCTGCACATTCCTCAGCTGCTCCTGTACAGCGCTGCTGTCGCCACCGCGACAATCATCACCCCAGGTGACCACAGATCCATCGCCAAGGATTGCAGCAAATGCGCCAGCAGAAGCTTGGATCTGCTGCACATTCTTTAGTTGCTCCTGTACGGCACTGCCGTCGCCACCGTAGTCTTGCCCACCCAAGGCGACCACAGATCCATCGTCCTTGATTGCAGCAAATGCGCCAGCAGAAGCTTGGATCTGCTGCACATTCTTTAGTTGCTCCTGTACGGCACTGCTGTCGCCACCGTGGTCTTGCCGACCCCTCTTGCTTGGCCTTGCAGAGCAGGCTGTCTGAGGGCAAAGTCGCCTTTCCCACGGAATCATGTTCGTCTACCGCAAGCTTTCCTGACTACATGGCACTCCTCAAACGCCTGATAATGAGCCTGAAGGCAGCCCATAGGCTAAGCACCTCATCCTCCGCATGACTGTGATGAACGGAAAAGTATCTTGGGTACCGAGCCTGACATACAAGACAAGACCAGCAAGCCCGAAAGCCTTATCCCTAAACACCCCAGTCTTAGCAGCACCCAAGCCCTCAAGGGCCAACCCTGCCAAACGTAAGCCCTTAATCCCTAAAACTTAAGATTTAACGCTCCAAGCCCTAAAAGCTTAAGCATCAAACCCCAAAAATGCTGAATTTCCCGAGCATTTAAGTCTAACACTTTAATTCAAATTCCCAAAGCCTTTCAACTTAAAAGTCCGGAGCCCTTAATGTCGACTGTTCTTGCGAGGGTTTTGGGTTACGGTTTAGGGTCTAATATAGAAGCCTGAACAGTCAGTGATACTATCCCTGACGGTTCCGTGCTATAGCAAGTATACGTTACACGTACATACATATGCCCTTAAAAAGTTCTTTCCCGGTGTGGTACCCAAAGATCCCAATACCCCTTAAAAAAAGGATCGTACCTTAAATTATAGTGGGCTTCATATTCTGATATAAGGTATGCTCCTTATTTCTGATACTAACCTTATAGAACCCTTTCTAGATCCCGTTAAGCAATCCTTTAATCATAGAGACCCTTTCGGGGGATAGGGGGGGGGGCACGGGGCTTGAATGCCCATAATAAGGACATACTAGGGCTTATTTGAGGAAGTGTAGCCCCCTACTCCCCCTTACCTCCCTTAAGGGTTCCTATGATTTAAGGTATATTCCTTGATTCTGATGCTAACCGTATAGAAACCTTTATAGATCTCTTTAAGCAATTCCTCGTAGAAAGTAGTACCTGTTTAAGGAACTTTACATAGAAACCATCATAGGGAACTCTAACAATGTAGGTCTTTCCGGCTCCCAGAGACTCCGATATCCCTGAATTTAGGAATATATAATAGGATCCCAAACATGATTTAAGGACTATTCCTTAAGGGATATTGGAGTCTTTTCGGCAACAGATATTCCTTAGCTACGAGGGTATTGTTGTCTCTGGGAGGGATACTGGAACCCGAAACCCTAAAGCCTAAACCCTAAACCCTAGAACCCTAAATCCTAAACCCTAGAACCCTAAACCCTAAACCCTAGAACCCTAAACCCTAAATCCTAAACCCTAAACCCTAAAACCCTAAACCCTAAACCCTAAACCCTAAACCCTAAACCCTAAAACCCTAAACCCTAAAACCCTAAACCCTGAACCCTTTGCAGATCCCTTTAAAGGAGCCCTAGGGGTCTCTGGGGCACGCTCCCAGGGCCGGGAGCCCTGGCAATCCGCATCCAGAGATCTTCGTTGCCGATCAGGTGCTTCTCATTTTCTCAAAGGGGAAAAGGAGGGACCCTTAATTTAGGGCTCTTAGGGTTCCGTTAAAGGGATCTTTAGGGTTCCTTTAAGGGGTCCTTAGGGGTTTGGGGTTTAGGGTTCCTTTAATCAAAGGGGAAAATGAGGGACCCTTAATGGGGACCCCTACCCGATAATGGGCTATATAATGGCTATATTAAGGGTATATATATATATATATATATATATATATATATATACCTAGGGCTCCAGAGACTCCAAAAAGCCTTAATTTAGGGCTCTTAGGGTTCCGTTAAAGGGATCTTTAGGGTTCCTTTAAGGGGTCCTTAGGGGTTTGGGGTTTAGGGTTCCTTTAATCAAAGGGGAAAATGAGGGACCCTTAATGGGGACCCCTACCCGATAATGGGCTATATAATGGGTATATAATGGCTATATTAAGGGTATATATATATATATATATATATACCTAGGGCTCCAGAGACTCCAAAAAGCCTTAGTTAGGAATACCTAGGGTTCCTTTAGGGGATCTATAGGGTTTAGGGTTAAGGGGACTCCAATACCCCTTAATTAAGGAATATGCTTTAAATTATGGTAGGATCTTTAATATGATTTAAGGAACATTCCTTAGTTAAGGGATATTGGAGTCTCTGGGTATAGGGTTTGGGTTCAGGGTGTAGGGTTTAGGGTATAGGGTTTAGGGTTAGGGTTTAGGGTTAGGGTTGGGGTATAGGGTTTAGGGCATAGGGTTTAGGGTTAAGGTTTGGGATTTAAGGAGTGGAGCTTAGTGATTACGGCCTCAGGGTTTGGGATGTAAGCGTTAAGGATTAGTGATTAGGGTTTAGGGTGCAGGAGTCAGGTTTGGGGATTTAGGGCGTCGGGCTTAGGGTATAGGCTTCAGGGAGGCTTCAGGGTTTGGGATTTCAGGTTGCGGGCTTCGGGTTTAGGGTATAGGGTTCAGGCTTTACGGTTCGGTGTAGGGTCCTATAGCTTGGGGTATTAAGGATTAGAGATTAGTGCCCTGCGTTTCGGATATGTGCTCTGCCACTGAACACAGCAGAGTTTTGACGTGCCTCTTGCAGTTATCAGTTGTTTAGCTTGCAATCCTAAACTCTAAACGGCTTCAACCCTAAACTCTAAATCTTATCGAAGACTGCAAGCGCCTTGAAGAAGATACCTTGCTGGAGGTTTGGTGCCCTCTGGTTCGGTAGGTTAAGGGTGAGGGTGTGCAAAAAAGAGAGAGTGTGTGTGTGTATATATATATATATATATACATATACACGTAGATATAGGCTGTAATGTTTAGTGTTTAGGGTTTAGGCCCTTTCTGTCCCTCTTGTACCATTGTACCTATACGGATAGTGATACAGTTGTTCGTTCCAAAACCCTCTTTGAACAGCGACGGCCCCTATAGTAGCCCTGACCCGAGAACACTACCTAATCTATAAGATTCAGATAAACCCGCAACGCCGAACGACCTCAAGCCCCAAAACACCAAAACTCCAGAACCCTCGACCCTACACCCTAAAGGCCCTCAAGCCCAGAAGCCTAAACCTGCGGCCGCACAGGTGGTCTACCGCGCTCAGCGATGTCCGGAAATGACGTGCCTCGAACGTGCTTAGAATCTTAGCCGTAGTAGGATTCAGGGTTTAGGCTTTTAGAGCTTCGGATTTGAGGTTCAGGCTACCTGCCCTTCTTTTCCTTATCTCGGTATGTTCCTGCCGCGGAGGTAGCCCCTCAAAACCCAGACCCAAAGCGCTACCTTGGCCACTAATCCCGCTGACGAGAAGCCAGCCAAAGCCCGGCACACCAGGACATCGCGAAGAATTGAACCTTGATTTAATCCCTCAACCCTTAAACCCTAAAGCCTAGAACCCTAAACCCTAGACCCTAAAACCTAAACCCTAAAACCCTAGACCCTAAACCGTAAAATCCTAAACACGAAAGCCGAAAGCCCTCAACCCCGAAATCAGAGTCTGATATTGAGCAAACCAGGTTAACTTAAGTTAGGACCCAAAAGGCACACAAGGATAAGCATTTTATAAGGATATCCCTACCTTGGTTGCCTTCCTTTTAAGGGGGTTTATATGGGATATCCCTATCCTTATTTTTGCTTATGTGCTTTTTTGGGGCCCTATTCAGCAGCCAGAAGTAGGGTGGAGACTCCAACATCCCCTAGTTAAGGAATATTCTTCAAAATATAACTGGATCCCTGATATGATTTAAGGAATACTCCTTAATTAAGGGATATTGGAGTCTCAAGTGTTCCGCACGTCGCGCCTTCAAGGTCAATCGTTGCTATAGGGTTTAGAGCTTTCTATAGGGTTGTATACATGAGTTTTGTATGATGCCCAGGAAGTTGGTTCAAACTACCACAAGCAGGCAAGTGGTTGATGACTATATGCGCTTATCGTGGTCTTATGTCAAGCTCCTGAACAAGAGCTCCGATACCCCTACAAGCTTCAGTGAGGTACGGTCACTTGGGCGAGTGCCTGGATTGCCCGGAGTCCTCCCTGTCTATCCAGGGCTCGACGTCCTGCGGATTCAGGTGGGGCTTTCTTCTAGCTAATCTCACGAAACCCTAAACCCAGAGAGCCCAATACCCCTTAATTCAGGAATATAGCGTAAATCGTAATATGAAGCCCTGTATAATTTAAACTATATTCCGTAATTGCGGGGCATTGGGCTCTCTGGGAACCCTGACGACTGAGGCGCAACAGGGTTTAAACGTACCTACCGGCTCCCCGTGGGCCTCCAACCCCATGCAGACGGAAAGCGGCCCTCTAAAAAAGCCAAACTAACCCATAAACCCTAAGCCCTAAAGGACTTTTGGGGCATTGCATGGTACGGCAAATTAAGGTTGATTGAATAGAGAAAGTCATTGGAGCTGGAATACAAAAAAGGACTAGGACCCAGAGTAGGCCCTTGTTCCCTGTTTTAGGAAATAGGTTCTCTTATAACTCTCTCTAACCCGAAAAGGGGACCCTGTTCATTCCTAGGTTACTCTTGTGTCTAGAGGATACTATAGGGCCTTAATAATCAGAACAGCGTGTTGGGACACATTCTGCTAAAACTAAAATAAGGAGCCCCCAAAATAGTGTAGGTATAGTAGTGCGCTTGTGGTCCTTTGCGTACGAAGACTAATCAGCTCCTACTTCTGGGTGGGAACTACCATCACGATCTTAGCAGCTTTTGCTATTTTACTTCAGGAAAGGGTGATTATGAAATCTTGGTCGTCACATCCTTTCTGGAAGCCCCAACTTGACAAATCGAAGGATCCACGAGATTACCTTCCTTAATGGGTTCCGATTGAAGGGACTGGGAAAGGGAACAGGGCCCTGCTTACCTTCTTAAACGGACGGCCCTTCCAGAGACTCCAAGAAGCCCTTAATTGGTTGCCGATGGGTCTTCAACTTCCCTAAACTTGAACCGGTTTTGCGTTTAGGGTTTAGGGTTATTAGCCAAACAGGTATGATTCAAGGGTTTCGCAGGCGTGTGTTTTCAAGGCGTGCAAGAAATGGGTCTCATTACTTCGCCATGGTGGTTGCTTGGTAGCCCCTATCTTCATATACCACAATATCCTCAAAAGCCCTACTCTAGTTACGGGAACTATATGGGTCCGTCTCTGGGCATGTACATAGGATCAGAATAATAGGTTGGGGCGCCTCTCAGGGGTCTTTGTTGTCGGAAACTCTTTGTTTTTTGCGTGTGTGACTTCAGGTTTCAGGGTACGACTTAGGGTTTAGAGTTTAGGATTTAGGGTTTAGGGTTAGGGTTTAGGGTTTAGGGTTTAGGGTTTAGGGTTTAGGGTTTAGGGTTTAGGGTTAGGGTTTAGAGTTTAGGAGTGTAGGAGCAAGAGTTCAGAGGCAAGGGCATGTAGAGGTTTGGAGTATAGAGTTTAGGGTTAAGAGTTTAGAGTGTAGGCTTTGCGGTTTGGCCGTAAAGAGTCGCACCCAGGCTAAGATGCCTGAGCCCTATCCAACACAACCCACGCAGTGAAAAAGCGCCTAGATTTACTTGACGTCCGGGTAATGGTAAGTTGGGTTAAGCCCCTCAATAGGAGTCCCCAAAAGGCCTCCGGACGTCATAGGTCTTGAATGTGAAGCTTTGCTGGTTTGATTTGCTGATGGAGAGCTTGCCCGCTTACATCCTTCACCTCGAAACCCTGAAACCAGGAAACCCAACATCCAAAATCTGATACTCCCAAGCCACAAAGGCCCCAAAGCGTGAAACCTGGACCCTCAAGGCCCTCCAAAGCGCAATTTCTGCGGCAAGGCCTGGAAATCGCATTGCCTTTTCCTTGTTCCTGGGCCTCGCAGTGGTTGCTATGGCACTCCTGGTGGGTAGGGGCAGCCTGTCTAAAGTAGGGTTTAGTTTAGGTGTTCGGGAGTCTCAAGAGTGTGGGAAAGGACTCATTGGAATGCTTGGTTAATTTAAGGGGTTATGTTTGCATGCGTGCATGCGTGCATGCGTGCGTGCGTGCATGCGTGCGTTCGTGCGTTCGTGCGTTCGTGCGTTCGTGCGTTCGTGCGTTCGTGCGTTCGTGCATTCGTGCGTTCGTGCGTTCTTGCGTTCGTGCGTTCGTGCGTTCAAGCGTTCGTGCGTTCGTGTGTGTGTGTGTGTGTGTGTGTGTGTGTGTGTGTGTGTGTGTGTGTGTGTGTGTGTGTGTGTGTGTGTGTTCGCGCGGGGCTTTCAAGCTGTCCGAAGACAGATTCCGATGGATGAGATGGCATCTATTTTGCTAGTTTTAGGGTGCTTTGTTTTCTGTAATTCTCAGCGCCTGAGATGGCGATGAACCTGCTTCTTATCCTTCTAAGACCCTTATGACCGCCTTCTTCAGACCCTGATACCAAAAACAAAGCCTGAGGCGAGCCATTGGCCCTAAACCCCAAAAGTCTAAAGCCCTAAAGCCTAAACCCTAAAACCCTTAAAGCCTTCAACTCTATCGATTCTAAACCCTAAACCCTTAAAGCCCTAAAGCCCCAGACTTTAAAGCAACAAAACCGCAAGGCCCTAACCTCAACCCTAGAACCCAAAAACGCCAAAAGCCCTAAACCGTAAACTCCTATAAACCCTAAACCCCTGTTAGACCCCTAAAACCCCAAGGGCCTAGAGCTGAAGTGTTGCTGTATGGGGGTAGTACCTTATACCCCTAAACTCCCAAACTTGCCCCAAACCCTAAACCCCCAAACCCCCAAACCCTAAACCCTAAATTCCTGAACCCTGAACCCCCCTTAAACCACTAAGCCCTAAACCCTATAGATCCCTTAAACGGACCCGTGGTATTTCAGGACCCTTCTACAGGACCCCTTCAAGGATCTCCCTTAACCCCAAAACACCCCCCAGGGAACCCCTATAAACGAACCCCTTAACCCTCAAAGCCCCTAAACCCTAAACCCTAAACCTAAACTCTAAACCCTAAACCCTAAACCCTAAACCCTAAACCCTAAACTCTAAACCCTAAACCCTAAACCCTAAACTCTAAACCCTAAACCCCTAAACACCCCCCCCGAGGCCTCGAGCCGAAGTTGCTACGCCTCGGGCCGTTGGGCCTCCAAAGCGCTCGCGCCCTCGCCTTCGCCAGCGCTCTTCTGCCCGTCTGCGCCGGACTCCTGGGCCTTGAAGGGTTCCTTTAAAAGGGATCCTTTAAGGGTTCCTTTAGGCCTTGAAGGGTTTAGGGTTTTAGTGTTTAGGGGTTTAGGGTTTAGGGGTTTAGGGCTTAGAGTTTTAGTGTTTAGGGTTTAGGGTTTAGAGTTTTAGTGTTTAGGGTTTAGGGTTTAGGGTTTAGGGTTTAGAGTTTAGAGTTTTTAGTGTTTAGGGTTTAGGGTTTAGGTAAAGGGATCCTTTAAGGGTTCCTTTAGGCTCCTCAAAGGGATCTATAACAGGATTTGTAGGGCTTTAGTGTTGTCTTCTGCCCGTCTGCTCTGTTCTTTAGCGTTTTATAGGTAGGGTTTAACATTTAGGGTTTTGGTATTATAGGGTTTATAAGGTTTAGGGTATAGATATTATATTATGGGGTTTAGGGTTTAGGGTATAGATATTATGGGGTTTACGGTTTAGGGTGTAGATATTATGGTTTTTGGGGTCTGGGGTATAGATGTTAATTATGGGGTTTGGGGTTAGTATGGGCCTTATGGGGTTTAGGGTATAGGATATAGGTATTACAGGGTTTGGAGTTTCGGGTATAGGAACTATGGGATTTAGGCTTTGTGGTTTGCGGGGAATTGCTTAGCACGGCGGCTTATTCGATTCAACGTTTGATGATGTTTCATGGGGTCTCTCCGGGGTTTTAATGGTTTTAGGGGTGTGACGTTGCGTTGTTCAGGGCTTGCGAGTATGGGTTACTCCACAACGAAAGGCATTGTTACGGATTTACGTGTTTACTTTCGCTTAAGGATGATGGTAGTGGTAGTGGTCGTGGCAGGGGAGGGGGAATGCAAAGCGGGACAGAACCCCCCCCCCCCAAAGCCCAAACCCTAAACCCTAAGCCCTGAATCCTAAACCCAAAACCCTCAACCCTAGACCCTAAAAACCCCTGAACCCCTAAACCCAAACCCTAAAAACCAAAGTTTCTCATTTGAGCGGTATCGGGCTCGTTGCGACGGCGACTCTCAGTGCTTTAGTGTTTAGGCTTCGCACCCGTAGTTTTCCTCGAACCTTGTTCCGTGAGAGTTTAGGATTTAGGGTTTAGGGTTTAGATGGAAACGTGTTTCAGCCAATGTAAGGGGTTTCATAATTTGAGCAAAGTTCTGGCGTGTCTAAACGAGCTTATCTAGGTGGCAATTTGGGATACTTTTTAATTTCCCTTATGGTTCCTATAGAGGTACCTATTCACAAATACTTTTCAGAGCCCCAAAACTACAACCCAGTTATATGAAGGAGCCCTAACAATAGCATTCCCAGTTAAAGGGTTCTGGAGGAGCGATCTAATCCTTCCTGGAGGTTCTTGAAGCTCTTTCCTTAAACGGTTTATGGGACTTAGTAAGTAGGGTTATAAGTACCTGAAATGGGTTATAATAAGTAGATATAACTATAGTTACCTTACTTATAAGCCTACTTCGTAAGTCCGGGGCTTCTCGGGGGTCTGAGGGGTTCAGGTCAAGGGGTTTTCGGGCTTCGCAGTCTCAAATTGTTTAAGGCTCCCAGAGCGGGGGATGCGACCGATCGTTTCTGAATGTGTGTCTTCTGGTGGAAGGGTTTCCAATAGGGTTCCTGGATGGATATCATAATTTTTAGTTCAGGATAAGTCTGATTGGGGTACTGCCAGCCCCCGCTTATGTGCAATACTTGCTAAAGTTAATTACTAGGCCCTCTGATTCTCCAAAGAAAGCCTCGGGTTCAGAGCTCTGGGCTTAAAATGTCGCTCAGGAACCCTTCAGTGATCCCATGTCAGTCCTTTTTCGGAAGATCTGCGTATCAAACGCGCAAGCCCTAAACTTGCAAACCCTCAACCCCAAATACCCGAAAGCCCGAAACGCCATGCACCTAAACCCTGGTTCAACGACAGTGGTGTTCCAGCTGTAACAGGGAGGGAAGAACCGTCAAAAACACATCAAAACCCCCAAAACCCTAAGCCCTCAACCCCGAAATCCCAAAACCCAGTAAACCTCAAAACCGCCTACGTACAGGATCACGGGACCTAGTAAGTAGGGTTATAAGTACCTAAAATGGGGTTATAAGTAGATATCACTATAAGTTACCTTACTTATAAGCCTACTCAGTAAGTCCCATGATCCTCTAAGTAGACCCTAAACCCTACAGAGACCTTTTCGGCGGACGGAAAAAGGCGTTCAAAAAAAAACCTATAGATCCCTTTAAGGAACCCTATAGATCCCTTGAAGGGACCCTTACTCAGTCCCATGATCTTCTAAGTAAACTAGGATGGGTCGATGGAATCTTCGGGCCTGCCTGGGCCTCAGCAGTTCTGGTCTTCTTGGCGCTGCTAGCCCTGGCTACTGAGCACCTTGGCAAGTGTTTTAAGGTTTAGGGTTGAGGGGGTTACGGAATTAGGGTTTAGGGTTTTAGGGTTTAGGAGGGTTTACAGTCAACCCCATAAAGTTGGAAACCGGATGAAGGCCAAATAGTGCTGGGGTTAAGGGTTTAGGGTTATTGAGGCTATTGGGTTCCCAATTTTTAGGCTTCTACTGTAGGGTTGAGGGTCTTCCTTGCCGATAGAACACCAAGACCTCTTCTTCCACGTTTTTTTCTCATTTTGTCTTAAGTGTTTGTTAAGGTTAGGGATTTCGAAAGGTTTGGTGTAGAGTTTAAGGACGTAGGGGTTCGGGGGTTCAGGGTTTAGGGCTTTCAAGGTTTCGTGACTTTAGAGTGTAGGGATGCAGGGGTCAAGCAAGAGTTGAGGCTTTCCTAGGGTTTAAATGTTCAGGGTCTCTACGGTGTAAGTCTCGGGCATATGGATGGTTGTCAAAATTATGGTCCCTTTTTGGGTCCCTAATCTAATACGGCACCTCATATTTAGGGGACCCAAAAAGGTACCCGAATTGTGACAACTACCCATACAGAGCTTACCGCCGAAACCTTACACCCGGAGTCGCTACAAAAGGGTTTCGGCAAGGCATCTACTTACTTGGAGGACCCTTGGACTTAGAAAGCAGGGCTATAAGTACCCCAACTAGGATTATAGGTAGACATAGCGATAGTTACCGTATAAAACCCTACGAGGAGCACCAGTTCTAAGAACAGCCGAGGCACTGGATGTGGCGGCGGCAGGGACTGGTCGAGATGCTGGCCATCACTGGCCCGCTCTTGTGGATGGCCTGCAACGCCCTCACGATCCCGGGCCGTTCTTTAACTTTGTTGGCGTTGAGTATACATGCGGGCATCTCTAAATTAGGGTCACGTTTGTGGTCCTAGAGCGCCGTACTAGTTTGGAGAAGGGACTCGTGGTTTGGAGAACTACCCACATGTAGTTCCCCAAGCAGAGGGGTAACGGATCATTGGTTCCACGAATTCCGGCTTCCGGCGGCAGGGTCATGCTATGCGGCTGCTGCGGTCTCTAAATTGCGCTGTTCTGAGGGGTTTCGGATATTGGCGAAAGTCGAAATCCTGCTACTACCACAATGCCACGCATGACTTGGATAGCGTCCGCGTTGCCGAAATCGGGCCATCGCGCACCGAAGTCTTCAAGTCGTGCCCCCACCACAAAGCTGAACCCTAAACCCTTAGTCGAAAACCCTAAACCCTTTGGGTTGGTTGGGGCGGGACTACATGCTGACGCAATCGCGCGATAAGTGGGTGCACCCCCCTTGTCTGAAGAAGCGCACCCACTACGGGCACTGTGTACGAACCTCATGTTTTCGTGTCTCTGCAGTTGTGTAGTGAAATTGTTGTTGTTCTTACTGTCGTTGTTGCTATCATTGTTTGCATCGGTTGCTACTATGTTGACCAGTTGTGATCGCCAAGATGATGACAATGACGAAGATGATGTTCATTTTGACTATACTTTGTATTCGTATCCGTCGTAAGCGAGCCGTAGTTGTGCTGGTCTTTTAACCTTAAAGGGGGTCCAAGAACAATCCACGATCAGCAAACAGCCATCCATCCTATACTAAACCCATAAACCCCCACACCCGAAAATCCAAAATCCTAAATACCTGAAAACTTATATAAACCCAAAGAAAGGCCCTTAGCTACCAGAAAAGCCCAGGATGAACAAGAAGCAAGCCCCTAAACCGCTTTAAAGCGAAACAAGAACAGCATACAAACAGAATACGCCCTAAACCCTTAAAGCCCTATAAACCCTAAGGAATCCAAAACCCCATAAGGCTTAATCCACCAAAGAAGAACCCAGAACCCGAGGACCGGCCCCAGAGCTACCTAGAGCACTTAGTAACTAGGGTTTTTTGAAGCTTAGTAGCTGAGTGGATACACTTTACACTTTTTTGGGATAGTATTACCCACTATACAACTAAAAGTGTACATTTTTTTGGGATGGTATTACCGACTATACAACTAGAAGTGTACACTTTTTGGGATAGTATTACCCACTATACAACTACAAGTGTCCACTTTTTTGGGGGCTTCTGAACTCAGGAACTAAGTAAGACCCCTTGTAACCGATCTATAGGGGTAGTATAAGGGTTTAGGGCTCAGGGTCCCTTTAAGGAATCTATAGGGATACTATGAGGGTTTGGGGTTTAGAGTCTGCTTGGGGGATCATAGGACTTAGCAAGCAGGATTAGATCTAATTAGGGATACCAGTGGATTTAACTATGGTTACCTTACTTGCAACCCTTACTAAGCCTCCCGATCCTCTACACAGGGTGCTGGAAGCTTTGAGGTGCTAAGGTGGGAGGCTCCTATGGTTGGAGTTTTAGTGAAGACTTTCCCTGAAACCCCAAACTCCTTACTCAAAAAAACACCCTGAAGCAGGAACCTGATCACGAAACCCTGGGCCTATAACCCCAAGATAGTAGGGTTCCTTTGACAAGAGGAACCCTAATAAAGGCCCAAGGTGTCTCAATCAGGTTCCTACATAACTCATATCCTTATCGGGTCCCTAAATCCTAAACCCTAAACCAAAGCGCAGCCAAGGATCAACTTCATGCTTCTACTGGACTACTCGGCCGAGCTTCGGGCTCTTCACCCGATGCTGGGTTCTTTTTAAAGTGTTTGATTTATGTGATATAGGGGTTCCTTTAAGGGATCTACATGGGTTCCTTTAAGGGTTTCAGGTTTAAGTTACCATAAATAAGGGTCTATAGTAATTAATATGGTTTCCTTATTATAGCAGCTTAAAATAAATCCCTTAACAAGAACCCAGGATGCTGACGCTTCTTGGGCGAGACCGAGGGGAGAGCAGCACGGGTGGCAATTTGCAGAGCTTCTGGGTTGTAGGATTAAGTGCTTGCAGGGTTTGTGCAACTCCCTCATTCAAGATGTAACTCTTCAAACCCTAAACTCGGAACCCTAAAGCACTAAACCCTAAGCCCTTGAAGCTGTACTTGAGGCCGGTGGTTCTGCATTGTGGTCCTGGCCAGCGAGGCCGTCGTGATCTCCGCTGCCACGGCGTGGCACCCAAAGGTCCAAAGAACCGCTCCAGGGCGCCCTCTTTCACGAGGGCTTCTCGGTTCTTCTTGAGGAACTTAGGTCAAGATACCACCATAGGCTAAGGGATCTGTAGTAACTATTCTGCTTCCCCATTGGTCTTCTAACTCAAATTCCCAAACCGGATCTATAGCAGATAGCATGGTTCACTTATTACTATAGGGGGCCTTAATAATCACCAACACTATTTTGGGGTTCCTTGTTGTACTTGCAATGTAGTGGGCCCCAAAACCCTTTTCGAATCATTAAGGAGCCTATGTTATGCTAAACTAGACCATGCTAAACTAGACCCCCGAGCAAGAACCCAGGCTTCTCTATACCGAGTCTTGGGATCCGGGCAGTCGCAACTTCTGGACGCGAGGCCGCTGCTTGCAGAGGTGCGGGGATTCCCTTACGGAGCCTTAATAAGGAAGCCCTGTTATTTACTATAGATATGAATGTGGCAACTGAAGCAAGAAATAAGCCAGCAAATTGTATCATTGTTACTTACTGTTTACTATAGATCCCTATCACGGCATTTCAAGTTATACAAACTTTCTAACAAGAGCCCAGGTGCTCCGGGTGCCTTGACGCCGTTTCCACGATCTGCGGAAGAGCGCGCAGGTACCTGAAGAGCTGGCAAGGCCGCCACTGCGTCATGGTCGTGACTTGGCCCTGGTCATACACCTTCTCTGCTCTGGTGACAGTATAACCTAGGATGCCCAGTAGTACCCTTATTCCCTTTTTGTAGTCCTAGGTTCCTTATAAAGTTACCAAATACCAAAAAGAGAGGCCTTTTTATTCTTAGGTTACTGGGTATCCTAGATAACATAATAGTTCTTAAGCAGGACCAAAAAATCCTGATTCAGGGGCCCCTTGAACCCAATCTGACTAGGTGAATGCCTGCATCAGTACGGCGGTGTGCATGTATCAGTATGTGAAGTCGGACTCCAGCCCACGGGAAACCTTGCTGGCTGTGGTGCTTTGCTTCGGGCTGCTTTCCATATTTACCAGCGCTTTCGCTTTGTCGTCGGATGCTCTCCAGTGGGAAGAGAAGCTGGATCGGCACTTTCGCTGGAGCGTCCTGTGGAAGGTCGATATGCTAGCCAGTAAGGTGGTGTTGCTGGCCATACCTCAAGCCAGCTCAGTGGTGCAGATGGACTCCATCATGAGCTGTGGTTTCGATGCTTTCTGTCCTGGTGACTGCGTGAATCAAGGTGGATACTGCACACGCTCCAACATTGCAGGCAGCCCGGTGTGCAAGTGCAGCAAGCGAGAGGTGAACTGGGCTGTATACGTCCTGACTGCCATTACCAGCTTCCTGCTGTGCATGCTCACGTTGCGACTCGGACTGGTCGTATGACCTGAGGATGAACCTTAAGCCGTAAACCTGCTATCCTCAACTCTCCACGTGGAAGAACAACTTGTCAGGTGAGTCTGTCGATATCTTTAGGACCAGCATTTCCGAAAGCCGCGAACAATGATAATGGCATCGGCAGCAGTGACATGACAGCTAGCGTAGTTTGCAACCGTCTAACAACGGGGCCCACACAACTACCTATACTATTTTGGGGGTTCCTTATTCTAGTTCTAATATACTATACCCCAAAACCCTATTCTAATTATTAAGGCTCCTATATCATACAACCCTACTGTAGTATCCCTTATAGAACCCTTTAAAGGACCCCTTTAAAGGAACCCTACTTTGATTAGTAGGATGGACCTGGCTGCATTTTGGTCGGCCCGCCTCACACCCTGGCGTGAGTCGGGGCTGCGTCGGCTGAGAGGCACTGAAGCCTCGACGAAACTTAGATCCCCAACACGTTGGCCTTTAAACTATTTGGGTTCTTATAGTTTGGTAGAAATCGGGAAGTTTAACCTGTCATTTTTGTGGCTTGTTGGGGTGGTAAGGAAAGGACTTTCTGAAGCTTCGGAGGTCCCATGCGGCCCCTAAACCCTAGACCTTAAACCCTGAACCTATAAACCCCAAACCTTAAAGCCTAAACCCTAAACCTTACAACCCTAAACCCTTAAACCCTAAACCCTACACTACCCCTTTAGGAAAACTCTAGACCGTTTCCGGGTTCACCTTTTTTTGCGCTTTGAGATCACGGGCTGAACGCTGCCAGAGCAAGACCTTTACTTCCTCTAGGAGTGTTGTACTGCTTATGTAGCCGAAGAGACCTACCGTTTCAGGGTTCCTTTTTAAGGTTTCTATATACAGTTCCTCAAGAAGGTAGGGCTACAGTTGAAGAGCCCGGGGGCCCTTAATATAAGGGCCTTACCCAGAGAGCCCAATACCCCTTAATTAAGTCCTTTGGCTTAAGGCCTAGGGTTCCTTGAAGGGCTCCTTAAAGGGATCTAGAAGGGTTCTACGAGGGAATTAAGGAGTATGGCTTAAATTATATAGAGCTTCATATTATGGTTTAAGCTATATGCCTTAATAAACGGGTCTTGGGCTCTCTGGGTAAGAATAAGAATAGGGTTCCTGTAAAGGGGTCCGAAAAAGGGCTAAAAAGGGATCTATCGTATTGTTCGAGAACATAGGGGCCTTGACAATTGGAAGAGGGTTCCCTTCAAAGGGGTCCTTTAAGGGCTACTCAAAGGGATCTATGACAAAGGATTCGATCATAAAAGGTGCCGAAATAGTTAGAACAGGGTTTGGGGCCCATTATACTATACTACAACTACAAGAAAATCGTATTGGTAATTATTTAGGCCCCTCTAGCAGGCCCTTAACCCAGAGACTCCGAAACACCTCAATTGAGGAATATCCCTTAATCTATAGTAGCAGCCCTGAATATGAACTAATCAAAAAGGCATGTTTCTCGATTGAGGGGTTGGGGAGTCTCCGGCAACTTTAGATGATGCAGATCTCGTAGGCAGTGGCATTGGCAAGCCCGCATTGAAGTGGAGCAGGGCTCCATGTGAAATTGGCGTTTAATAATAATGGTTGAGACGTTCAGCATGTGCAAGCTTTATAGCATTTCGGGTTGTGGGATTTCTGTTTTCGGCCCACAACCCGAAACCATGTGTCCAAACGCCTATATCCTTATCTAGGGGTCTGTTATGAAGGACCCTTATTCCCCTTTCAGAAAACCTCCATCCCAAACCTTCAACTCTAAGCGAAGAGGCGCTGCGGCACTGGTTGGGGCAGCTGGAGTGAACCTCACCAGCTGCTTCTTCGCCCTGCTGGTGTCTGTGGCGCCTGCGGACGCTGGGGCAAGTACTTAGAGGTTACTGGAAACTAGTAACAGTAGGTCACAAGTGCCTTATTAAGGTGATAAGTAGATATGGGAGTTCCCGAAAAAAGGTACCCCAATATAGTACTCTAAATAGTAGGATCCTTGTTATAAGGACCCCCAAAAAAGGTCCCCCCTGCAATTTTCGAAAACTACCAAGTTGCCATGGTTACCTTACTTATAACCCTACTTGCTCAGCCCCATGATCCTTTAAGTAGACCCTAAACCCTAAACCCTATAAGGAACCCTACCTACTAAGTCCCATGATCCTTTAAGTAGACCCTAAACCCTAGACCCGAAACCCCAAACCCTAGACTCTAAACCCTAAAGCCTTTTCCCTTTCAGGAGCCCTATGGGTCCCTTTAAGGAGCCCTTCAGGGAACTTAAGTCCCACGATCCCCCAAGTAGCAACTGGGCTTCAGTGCCGTTGCTGCGGGGGGGGAGGGTGTCGAAGATGAGGGGAGGGGTTTAGGGGTGTGGGGTTTAGGGGTTTGGGGGTTTTAGGGGTTTAGGGGTTTAGGTTTTAGGATGTAGGGAATTTAGGGAGTTGTTCTATGTCTCGGCTTCTACATATACTAAAGTCATAAACCCAAAGACTGCCTGGGGTTTAGGGTTCAGGAAGCCCGGCACCCAAACCAAAAAAACACCCAAACCGTGAAGGATTGTCGAGCTTCGACTGCTTGTAGGTTGTGGTGCTTCAATGTCAGAGTTCCACGTTAAGTTTCCCAGAGACTCCAATATCCCTTGATTAAGGAATACTCCTTATATCATATTAGGGGTCCTATTATAATTTAAGGGATATTGGAGTCTTTGGGTTCCTGCAGGTCACTGTAAGGGTTGGGTCCCTCCAAGGGTTGTCCCGCTTCCTGAAACGCCCACAGGGAGGATCCCCACAGCCCTGAACCGTGAAGCCTTGCGCGGTTAGTAGAAGCTGAGAAAGCAGTCCTATTTGGATCCGGGGACTCAGTAAGTTGGGTTAACACTATCAATAAGGTAGCTGTAGTTATATGTATTTATAACCCTACTTATGGTGCTTATAACCCTGCTTACTAAGTCCCCTGACCCCCCAAGCAAGGGAGCTTCCTGGGGAGCTCTGACCCGGGCTTGAGGTTTGTCGCCACTCGACTAAGTTTACAGGTTCGGGAAGCTACCGAGACCTTTGCGGCAGGCATTCCCAACTACCCGGGTGTAGGGTTTTAGGGTTTAGAGGTTTAGGGTTCAGAGTTTAGGGTTTAGGGTTTAGAGGTTTAGGGTTCAGAGTTTAGGGTTTAGGGTTTAGAGGTTTAGGGTTCAGAGTTTAGGGTTTAGGGTTTAGAGGTTTAGGGTTCAGAGTTTAGGGTTTAGGGTTTAGAGGTTTAGGGTTCAGAGTTTAGGGTTTAGGGTTTAGAGGTTTAGGGTTCAGAGTTTAGGGTTTAGGGTTTAGAGGTTTAGGGTTCAGAGTTTAGGGTTTAGGGTTTATGGAAACCACCTACACAGAGAGCCTAAGTTGCTCCGCTGTGAAAGACAAGCCAGGGCCTCTCTGAAACCTGTGCCAACCTACACCCCGGACCCGGAACCCTTGATTCCCTCCTTCTTGGAGGATCAGGGGATTAGTAAGTGGGGGTTTAAGTACCTTGATTAGGCGTCTATATATATATATATATATGTATGTATATGTACATAGATATACAATAAAATGTAAGTAGATGTAACTACAGTTACCTGACCCATACCCCTCCTTGCTAAGTCCCATGAAAGTCAAGTATAGACATCTGCATAGAAGATAGTATCTCCTCATAGTCCCTGCATGATCTGCCTCAAACTCGATTCCAAGCTCAGTCTACTGCACTTACTTAAGTCCCTTTACTACGAAGAGCCGGCCAAACACTAAACCCGAAATCCTGACAAAACACCCTCAATGCGAAACTTTAAAACCCTTCAATCCGAAACTCAAAACTTGAAAACATAAACTTTTCACCCTAAACCCTAACCCCAAACCCGAGCGAGGAATGCTACCTCCTCGACTTGCCTACAGCAGCTCCCAGAATGTTTTGTTCAAAGGACGCGAGGTTTTTTGTTAGGCTCTTTGGGGTTTAGGGAAAGGTTCGTGTCTCGTAATTTTTGTTTCAGAACACTTTTGAGTGAGAGGCTATGATTTGTTTTATTAGGGCTTTTTTGGGGGTCTGTTTAGGGTTCAGGGTTTAGGGTCCACGGTCCAGGGTTCAGTGTTTAGGGTTCGGGGTTTAGGGTGTAGAGTTCGGGATTCAGGGTTCAGGGTTCAGGGTCCAGGGTTCACGGTTTAGAATTCAGGGTTTAGGGTTTAGGATTTGGGGTCTGACGGGTTGAACAGTGAGTTTCCTAGGATGCCCAATAGTACCCTTATTCCCTTTTTGTAGTCCTAGGTTCCTTATAAAGTTACCCAATACCACAAAGGGAGCCCTTTTTATTCCTAGGTTACTGGGCATCCGAGTTTCTAGTGCCCCAACAGGTTTTGGTCAGGCTGTATAGGGCCTAGTGCTTCTCAGGGAGAGTCCTCGACAGTTCGGGGTAAATGAGATTTATATGAATTTTCTGTCGATCCCTAAATCTTAAGCCACGACTTTTGAACCCAATGCACCCAAAAGCCTGAACCGGTGCTTGGATTCCTGGTATTTCCGAGGCACTTTGTTCTGTTCTTCCACTGGTTCCCTTGACACTGGTCGCCAACGAGGCAAGATGGATCCTCGCAACATGGAAGGCACGGTGGGTTCCTTACGAGTTGCGATTCCCTTGCGAGTGCCTGTTTTGGATAGCTTTGCAAGGCTTCGCATATCCATTACTACCACTGCTACTAGTCGTCGTAGTAGCTTGGTAGTAGTAATATAGGGGCCTAAATAACTACCAATATTATAGTGGGGTTTCCTTATAATGAGTATAGTATAATTAATGGGCCCCAAAACCCTATTCTAACTATTAAGGCCCCTACATTAGTCGTCTCAGTGCTTGGGTAGTCGGTAGCAGTCGTATGTAGCCTTAAGTCATCGTACGTAGTCGTTAGTAGTCGTTAGTAGTCGTTAGTAGTCGGTAGTAGTCGGTAGTAGTCCTAGTAGTAGTAGTAGTAGTAGTAGTCGTCGTCGTCGTAGTAGTAGTAGTAGCAGCAGCAGTAGTAGTGGCAGCAATAGCAGCAGGAGCAGTAGTGGTAGTGGTAGTAGTAGCTACGAACACGACTCTACCTCAATCCTATTTGCACCGCAGAGCGTAGACAACAAACAGCCACATTGAATCCTAAACCCTAAAAACCCTAAACTCTAAGCCCCTAAACCCTACCCCCCCTTGAACCCCAAGGTCTAAGGTGCCCTCCCCCGCCCTGCTCTGCTCTGCCCCGCCCTCCCCGACGCAAGCGAACCCGAAAGCTTCAACCCCAAACGCAAAAGCCGGAACCTCAAGCCCTACTTGGAGGATCAGGCGACTTAGTAAGCAGGGTTATAAGTGAGGTAAGTATAGTTATATCTGCTTATACCCCATTAGGTACTGGGTCCTTAACCCTTGCTTACTAAAGCGATCCTCTAAGTAGACCCTAAACCCTAAATATCCTTTTGAGGAACCCTACAGATCCCTTTAAGGAACCCAAACCTTATAAACCCTAAACCCTATATATCCTTTGAAGGAGCCCTACAGATCCCTTTAAGGAACCCTTAAAGGAACCCCACTCCCCCTGCAAGGCTCACGAAGCAGTCCACGTGTTGATCTGGTCGACCTCCGGCTTGCGCATCCTCACCTTCCTCACCTGCGCCGCCTCTTGGTGTTCAGAGGATATCCCAACTTCGGCATATTTTTTAATTACAGTAGAAGCTTAAAAGTTGGAAACCCAATAGCCTCGATCCTTGAGAGTAATGTATAGGAATCCCAGCACTTTTGGCCTTAATGCGGTTTCCAACTTTATGGGGTTTACTTTAGGTACGGCCCCCACTCAGTAATAGTTGAATAATATTCAGAATATAGATATAGTAGGACCTTAGTAGTAGCCCTATTATAGACTCTTGCTGTATGGGGGCCGTACCTAAGGTTTACTGTAAGGGGTTTTGGAAGGTCTGCGTTCCTCACCCCCTGGTGCTTAGCAGCGAGGACGGGTTGAGGGGAGTATCATTGGGGACCTTAAGGGATTATCGTAGTGGGTTATGGGACTATTATTGGGGATTCTGTAGGGACTACTATAGGGATCCATTCCCACATTCCCTACTGAGCACAGGGGTTTGGGTGCGTTTTGGGTTTAGGGTTCAGGGGTTTAGGGTTTATGGGCTTTAGGGTTTAGGGGTTTAGGTGTTTAGGGGGTTTGGGGTGTTTAGGGGTTTGGGTGTTTCGTTTTAGAAACATATTTAGGGTTTATCCTCACATTCTGGCCAGTGCCGCCCCTTGGGTGTGTATGGGGGTTGGTTTTATAGGGTTCGGAGAGTCTTGCAGGGCTTATAAGGGTTCTGTAAGGGCTTACCTGTTAAAGGGTTCTTTCCTCACCACCTGCTCGGCGTTTGGTATTTTTGGGCTTTACAGGTTTTTTTTTGTGAAGAGTTCGATCGGTTTTTAGTTGATGAGGTTCTAGAAGGGTCCTGTAGTTGTTGCAAAAGCGTTTAGAAGGGTTTTGTGAGGATTTGCCCAGCAAAGTCCTACAAGAGCTCAGGGTTCTTAAGGTGTCGCTGGGCGGTTCATGAGGTTTTTGGGCTTAGAGATTGTATGGTAGGGGGTTCGTAACCCAACCCCTCTACTCACGAGGTTTCATAGCATTTTCGCTATAAGCATTCTGTGGGTGCCCTTTTTGGACGATCATGGGACTTAGTAAGTGGGTTTATAAGTACAATAAATCGAGCAATAGGTTAGAAATGAATATAACTATAGTTACTTTACTTACAACCCTACTTACTAAATCCCCTGACCCTCTAAGTACGAGGTTTATAGGGTTTCAGAGGATGCTGGGGATTCTAGAAGGGCCTCGTGTTTGGTTTTCGGAATGTTTAAGAAAACTTGGAACAAGGAACGCATGAAGAGCCCTAAACTTGAAAGCCTCAAAGCTCAACCCTAAAAACTACGGGTTCCTCTTGGGCTGGGTGCGTTGGTTTCGTTCCTTGTGCTCATGGTTTCGTTTTTCCCCTTCCTTACTGACAGAGCTCGAGGCCTCGGCAGTGTCCTTTGCGCACCTGGCGTGGAAGCCGACAGAAGACCTTCAGAGCTCTTGCCGCGCAGTGCACTGGAGCACCCTGAGTGTTTGCTTCCTTTGCGTTCCATTCTCGATTGCCTGCTGCCTAATTCGTGCCCGAAGTCCGCCCGGCAGGGAGAACGTTCCCTGCGAGGGGCTGGCGGAAAGCAATGGGGTAGAGACGGCAGAGCCCAATCTACCCCAACTCGGAGAAAGACGGCTTTAATGCCAACTGATGACACCACTTTGCTTCGAGAAATACGCTTCCTTTCTCAGAGATTGATAGCTCAGGACTTTATTGAGAGGGTGTAATATCCCCTATTATCCCCCTAACCCTAACTCCCAGGCCCCAATTCTGCGCAACTTTCGTCCCAAGATTCTCCATGCCCCACGTAGAGGATCATGAGACTTAGTAAGTACGGGAAAAAACTCTGGTAGCTGTAGCTATACCTACTTATCACCTTCATTGAGGTACTTATAACCTACTTACTAAAGTCCCAGGATCCTCTAAGTAAACCCTAAACCCTATAGATCCCTTTAAGGAAGCCCTTAGAGATCCCTTTAAGGAGCCCTGTAAGGAACCCTACTTACTAAAGTCCCAGGATCCTCTCAGTAAGCCCTAAACCCTAAACCTTGAAAGTACCTCTATAGATCCCTTATAGGGACCCTTATAACCCTCACTTAATTAAGTCCCCGGATCCTCTAAGTAAACCCTAAACCCTAAACTAAGTCTATAAACCCTAAACCCTAAACTGAGTCTATAAACCCTAAACCCTAAACTAAGTCTATAAACCCTAAACCCTAAACTAAGTCTATGAACCCTAAACCCTAAACTAAGTCTATAAACCCTAAACCCTAAACTAAGTCTATAAACCCTAAACCCTAAACTAAGTCTATAAACCCTAAACCCTAAACTAAGTCCATAAACCCTAAACCCTAAACTAAGTCTATGAACCCTAAACCTTAAACTAAGTCCATAAACCCTAAACCCTAATTTAAGTCTATACACCCTAAACCCTAAACTAAGTCTATAAACCTTAAACCCTAAACTAAGTCCATAAACCCTAAACCCTAAACTAAGTCTATAAACCCTAAACCCTAAACTAAGTCTATAAACCTTAAACCCTGCACTTTCCTGACTGCCCGCTGCCGTGACTCTTTTACCAGGTCCCGGGTTCGCAGAAAAGGAAATCCCAGGCCAGCCAGGCCCAGAGAGCCTAATACCCCTCAATTAAGGAATATTCCTGAAACTATGGTAGGATCCCTATTTTTGATTTAAGGAATATTCCTAAAACTATGGTAGGATCTCTAATATGATTTGAGGAATATGGATATTGGAGTCTCTGGGAAGACTTTTCAAGCGTATTGGAAGGCCTGGGGTTTAGGCCAGGGTCTAGAATCCCTAAACCCTAAACCCCGAAGCTCTAAACCCTAGTCCAGGGTGAAGGCTTCAGGGTTTAGGGTAAGCTGGCTTTAGGGCCGGCATGCTCTTCTTTGGGTTTGGGGTTTCACTGTTGCTTAGGTTTTTCATTTTCGGGTTGTTGATTTCACTGCCTGGGGTTTTAAAGGTTTTGGAGTTGTAACTGAAATGTTCGGGTTTGGGATGTCTGTCCCGTTATCCGCGCGATGTTTCCTGTACCTCAGCTGCGTGGTGCAGTTGGTCTCCTGTGCCCCATGGGGCACCTCCTTCCGTCTCAGGGACGGCGGCTTGAATTGGATTTATCAAGTACTGGGTGTTTTTCTGCCCCCTTTGGGACAGCTCGTCACTCTTGTGACTTATACGAACAGCTAGATCTGTTATTTGAATACAGGTTTTAGGCCGTAGCGAGCTTAGGCCAGTGAGCCGAGAAGAAGTCACCAAAAAACGGAATGCATATTGTCGACCAAATTGCTCAAACTACATAGGTGTACCCTAAACCCTTATATGCCCCTCGCAAAACTTTTGGGTAAACCTGTAAAGAACTTTGTAAAGCACCGTGTATGGAAACCCTAATTACTAAACCCCAACCCCCACTCACCATCAACCCCTGGTATTGTAGAACTCAGCCGAGGTGAGTTCATGCAGCCCATGGGGACCGCACCATCTCATTCTCTAGAGCCCTCCACCATCACGGCCCAAGGCTATCAGGGCTGCGGCGGCTTTGGGGCTTTAGGGTCGAGGACTTTAGGGTTAAGGGCTTTAGGGTTTTTGGTTGAGGGTCTAGGGTTTAGTGTTTAGGGCTTTAGGGTCTGGGGTCTAAAGCTTAAGGATTTGGGGTGTTGAGGTTTACGGTTTAGGGAGGTAGGGATTTTGCCCCCAAGTGCCCTTCTGAAAGATTTCAGAGACTCCGGGGGTCTTTCACAGCATGCAGCTGGGATTTTTGAATATAGCAGTTTCCGAAATTAGTGGTTCGGGTTCCTTGAAAGGGTTACTATCAGGGTACTATAAGGGTTCCTTTAAGGGGCTCTATAAGGGTTTGGGGTTTCCGAAATGAGGGGTACCTTATGTCGGGGTGCTTATAATAACAAAGATCCTTCTGTTTAGGGTGCTATATGAGAGTCCCCTTTTTTTCGCAAAATCCCATATGGAAGCTTGAAAAATGCGCGACAGTGCCCGTCAGGGTTCGTTGTGATGTTGTACGAAAGAATCATCCCAAAACCTAACTTCTGTATTTCGGGTTCAGGGGTTAGAGTTTAGAGAGCACACTACTATCGGGGCCTTATAATTACTATTTTGGGATTCCTTATTATAGTTATAGTATAATGGGCCCCAAAACCCTATTCTAATTGAAAAGCTGCGCGTCGTCCGCCTCGGCCCGGCTGTACGCGCATGCGGCGAGTGGCTACTATCTGCAGCAAGCTCTTGTAGGAAAAAGTAACAGTTGGAATCGCACTTATAGTAAAAGTAATGTTCATGGCAACACGAAGCAGGATGATTGTGAGTAGTATTAGTAGTGGTAGTATCAGTACGAATTTTGGTGTCGTCATTCCGAAACACTGGATACCAAGACTCTCGCAAGCGGCGGGATGCCTTAAGTATGGGCCGTTGAGGCTGTGGATTTCGTGGGCGTCTTGGTAGGGAAGCATCAGACCCTCTTCAACCACGTTACTCCGCCTATCCCACAATCCTATTAGGTAATCCCAAAAGGAACTACTTTGGGGCCTCTGGGTAGCTACTTGCTAAACCCCCGACCCTCGGTTAGGGATCAAATCGAAATTTTCCCTCCCAGACCCCGAACCCCAAACCCTCAACCCCTACTTGAAGGGTTCCTTAAAGGGCTCCTTAAAGGGATCTATAGGGTTCCTTAACGGGATGTATAGGGTTTAGGGTTTAGGGTCTACTTAGAGGATCATGGGACTTAGTAAGTAGGGTCATAAGCACCTTAATTAAGGTCATAAGTAGATGTATCTACAGTTGCCTTTCTTATAACCCTAGCTACTAAGTCCCTGACCCTCCAAACCCTAAACCCTAAACCGTGGCCTCTTTGGGTTGGAAGTCAGCCCTGGACCCGAAGGCCAGCTTGTGGCTGGTGCTTGGGCGACGAGCCTGGACAACTTACGGCAGAAGCTCTCCTACAACCTCCCGGTGGGAGAGTGGAAGAACAGGTCGGGGTTTTGAGGGTTTAGCGGTTCAGGTTATAGGGGTTAGGGGTCAGGGTTTATGGGTTGGGACTTTGAGGGTTTGGGGCTGAAGGGTTTTCACCCTCAGCTCTAAACCCTAGGTCTTGAGGAGTCTTCGCTGAAGCGGCTGAAGCGTCTTCGCTGTGGTTTTGTGAGGGTCTGTACTGACTTTAATTTAGGTGGTTAGGCAGATCGCGTTGGCGCTTGGTAAGGCGGTTCTAGGTGGAGTTTTGATTCTACTTATATAAGCCCCCTGTATCAGAGCCATGACATGATAAGCAATCCCAGACAGACCCTCAACCCCAGGCCCCAGACCCTATAAACCCTAAACCCTAAACCCTCAACCTGAACCCTAAACCCTACAAGCCCTAAACCCTAAACCCTAACCCCTAAACCCCATAAGCCCTAAACCCCAAACCCCTAAACCCGAAACTCGAGACCCTTAACTTCTAAACGCTGAACCCTAAACCCCTAAAGCTGCAGCCCCGGCAGGACGTCAAGACCTTTGGCCATGCGGCCCCTCAGGGACGGCCGTGTGGCCCTGGTCGGCTGGTCGTCGAACATGCGATGCCAGGCTGTCTTCATTTGTGACTTGGCTATATGGGAGTTTCCGAAAGTTGGGGGTACCTTATTTTGGGCTCCTTATAATAAGGATCCTACTATTTGGGGTTCTATATTAGGGTCCTCTATCGGAAATTCCTATATAGAGGTTAGGGAGCAGGGGATCAAGGGACGTAGTGAGTAGGCCTATGAGCTATAATTTTATCTACATCTAACCCGAAATGGTACTTTGTTACAAAGTCCCATGATCCTCCAAGCAAGGTTTAGGGGAGATTTCGAGCGGAGGCTTGAGGGTAGGGTTTCGGGGTGTAGGGTTTGGCCTACAGGACGTGACTTGAGCCAGGGTCTTAGGGTTTGGTGAACTGGGTTTCCTTTCATGGCTTTCAAGGGTTTGGGAGTTTTGGGATGTTGGAGATATGTAGGCCGCTGTGAAGAGCACTGGGTTCTGCAATGAGTGCATTCCGGATGGATGGCCGGCATTGGCGGACCTTAAACCCTAAACCCTAAACCTTAAGCCCTAAAGGGTACCTAATTTGTTTTGGTGCTTTTATTGTTTTACATCTGGCACTCTTTCTTATTCACCTTTACTTCTACGAGGAAATAATGAGAAAACCACACTCTCTCTCTCTGTATTTTAATAGGAAAACATCAGTTTTCTGTATAGAGACAAGAAGTATTATCATTGTTGGGTTTGTATCTTTTCCGATGTAAAGCCAAGAAAACGAACCAAAAAGAAATAGTTAATAGGAAATCCTACGAAAAGTAGTATGTATCCTATGCAAATATATAGGAAATATACCTTTTTCCTAGATCGAACCAAGAAAACTAAACAAAATGAACAAAATACATAAATATGCATATTTAGAGTTACAATATGACATGCGCAACAAAGAAAATCCTACGAAAAGTAGCAGAACCAAAGAACAATAATAAGAAACAAGCAAAGACAAGTACCCCCCAAAGCAGCTTCACTCGTTTGTTTTCCTACCGAAGCATGGAAGTACACATGGACAAAACAGGTTTATGGATATACATATGGACACATAGGGAAAATCATGGTTTTCCATTTCAAGACTAAATGGAAGAATGGCTTTTCTACGGGAATGTAAGCAAAAACAAGTTACCCCATGGGAATGTAGAGAACCCGGCTGCTTCAGGCCCTTAGAAGCTCCCTTTCAGGAAGCCTCTTGGGGCTCTCTTTGCCAGTGATAGGTCGTGTGGTTGTCATTGTTCGGGTCCCATTTTGGGTACCCTAGCTAGGTAGACCATTGGGACATTTCATATTTTCCCTTTTGGGCGTAGGAGGATACTATTTACGAATATTTTTCAGAGGCTTTAAAGGGCCAACATAGCTAAATATTAGTTGCCGTATTACTTTAAGTCAAACAGGAACCCTAATTTTGACAACCAGCCAAGTGTTTACACTTCGAGCGACCCGCACATTTGTTGGAAACCCTTGCTTCTCGTCGAGCGGCCGGCACAGGCCGCGAGGACCCGCGACCCAACACCGACACCGATCCATCGCAGTTGCTGTGAAACGGGGTCGTTTTAATGTAGATCTGCAAAGGTAAGCAAAGAGCAAGAGCACCCCCTTTAAGGGAGTTTGGGGGTGAACCCTAAACCCTGGTTGAGAATGGTCGGGGTTTGGGGTGGGACTACATGCTGACGCAGGCACGTGATAAATGGGTGCGCCCCTATTCCTAAAGGCGTACCCACCACGCACACACTGTATACAGACCCAAGCCTAAGCCCTAAACTGCGGAGAGCGCTGACCATTTGCATGGGCGTTTGAGGCTCCGACCAGGTTCTCGGCCGAGCGTCTCGACAGAACGGTGAAGGAGGGTAAACCGGTAGCGCTTCCCGCAAGACGAGGACTGTAGTGACGCCGCCCCATTCTTGACCTTTCTGCCGTCAGGCAGTAAAGAATTGGGACCACCATGGTTTGTTAGGTAATTTCCAGGACATGGGTGACCCGTCTTAGGGGGCGACCTGCCAAATTTCCATAAAAATGGGTCTTCAGCTTTAGGATAGCTATTTACATTTCGAGCGACCCTTATGCGTGGTTGTTCGTTGGAAACGCTTGCTTCTCGTGGAGCGGTCGGCACAGGCCGCGAGGACCCACAACCCGACACCAATCCATCTCAGCTGCGGTTTGCTGTGAGATGTGATCGGGGGTTTGGGGTGCACTTGAAGCCCTAATTGAGAATGGTTGGGGTGGTTGTGGCGGGACGGCATGCCCCTTCATAATTTCAAGGAGCCCTATCCTGGTTGCCAATGCCCCTGCTCCGAGGATCACGGGACCCAGTAAGTAGAGTTATAAATGCTTCGATTGTGGTTACAAGTGGATATAGCTGTAGCCTACTTACTAAGTCCTTGATGCTTTAAGTACCCCCCCTGCCAAAAAAAACACCGAACGAACCTTAAACGAACTTGCGAAACTGGGTATCAAACATTACGCAAGAGCCCCGAGTTGCCACAGCTTCGCGGGAGCACAGCGGAGCCACGAAAGATGGGGGTCAAAAAACTACTAGAGTTTTCCGCAAGGCTCATTTAAAAGGATCTATAGGGGATTCTTTCAAAGGTTCTTTTAAAGGAATCCTTAACAGAATATTCGAGTTCCCTTGAGGTTTCCATCTCAAAGGGTTTGGGATATTGTGAAGGTTGAGCATTGGGGCCTTTAGAATTACAAAAGGGTTTTGGTGTACATTATATTGGACTACAAACCCTAAACTCTCCTGGCCCTAATGTCCTTCCATTTAAGACCACGGGGTCGGATGGAAAAAGGACCCCTCACAACAAAACACTAAACACATAAACCCTGAATATACAACTGTAATCAGGAGCCCGGACTAGTATTACCAATTTCACAGGCCCTATCTTCGAGTCAGGCCATTGGTTTGGCCCCGTCTACGAGTTAGTATAGTGGCCGCAATAAATAGAATCGGGTTTTGGGGTATACCAGATTTCAACCATAAGAAGGAACCCACCAAAATTGTGGTTATTACTTAGGCCCCTGTATTGCGCCCGAAAGTGGAACTCAGTGTGGTCTCGGGGTGGGCTGCGACGGGTCTGAGAAGCCGGTGTTGGAACGAACCACACCTTAAGCTCTAAGGCTTGAGCCGTACTTGGAAAACCAGCGGACATAGCAAGGTGGGTTGTAAGCAGGGCGACTTTTGTCGTGGCCATTTGTAGCCCTAATTTCGGTATTTATCGCCCTGCTTAGTCCCCCCGCCCTCCAAGTAGGAAACCGGCGAGGTGGCGGCCCAGCAGCACAGGATTGCACCGACTTTGCCCAGGAGCTCCCCGTTGATTGTCTGGTAGACGAGCCCGCCAAGCTACATGAGTTGAGTAACTTGGCCGCAGTTCGGGATGATTCTCGGTTTGGGGTCTAGGGTTTACCATTTCGGATAAATTCGTTAGCTCCCTTAGAGTAGTACCCGTTTGCCCATTTTAGTTCGGGCTCTCCTTATTAAAGGGTACCCTTATTATTGAGGAGTTACTGGGGAACCTATCCAAGACCCTAAACCCGAAACCCTAAACCACCAAACCCTGAACCCTAAAATCTAAGCCCTCAAGGAGTTACATGTTGGGGGTTTTCAAAAAGCTACCGAGGAAATGGGCTCGCCTTGGTCTCCGCGACGAAGGTCCTCTTGTGGGATGCGGAAGCAATGCTTCCCGATTGTTCTCAAGGTGTTTTCAACCTTAGAAGCCCTGAACCCTAAACGCCAACAAGCTGTCTACTGAAGCTTCCTGTTCTGGAGATCAAGCCGCTTCAAACCGTAGCGAAACATCTATGAGACCTTGATTAAACCGTCGAGCCCTTCATAAGGCCCACACACACATATATATATATATATAGGTAAATAGAATTACAATGTATATATAGATATTGCATACACATATATACATGTATATGATATCATCATGACTGTGAAAAAACTATACATGCACATACATATATATATATATACATATGTAATATAATATGTATATATCTATATATATATATATATATATATATGGTACCCCCCGGAATCCACACCCTTAGTCTGCGCATGTCTAGTATGTCGGTATAATCCTAGTCTGCACACTTACCGCATGTCTGTGTACATTGTACATATACAATGCACAGGCATATACGAATGTACATGGTGAGGTACTTGTACCTGCGCATGCTGCAGAAGACAGACGTACATCCAGATCCAGCGCGCGTGTAATCCGTCAAACAAGAAGAGTCACCCTTCTCCTCGAGACAGTCCGCAATAAAACAAAGGCACCAAAACCCACAGACCAAAACATGAGCATATTCCTCGAGACGTTCCAAAAGAACAAAAGTACCAAAGATTTCCCAATCTATCGGAAATCTGAAGCGAGCATGTTTCTCGCATACTCCTCGAGACAGTCCCCAACAACAAAAACAAAAAAAACTCATGGGCCAAAGCATGGGCATATTCCTCGAGATAGTCCCCAGAACCCCAACATACCAGAGCATATTTCTCGAGACAATACCAAAACAAGAAGGTACAAAAATGGTTATACAAATATATATATATATATATATACACACACACATATGGTATCACCCCCTGTGCCCACCCTTTTCTTTCGATATATATATATATATATATATATTTTTTTTGGTATCTATCCTTCCTCGTGCCCACCCTTTTCTTTCGTATTTAAAGACAGGAGCAAATCTCTGACTTTCTGATGCGGTCAAGAAAGCAGCTGTGCAGTCAGCCCCCCCGCGACCCTTCAAATTACAGTCCCTCACAAGTGCCGACAAGGGGACATCTATCCACATTCGCGTTGTAGATAGTGTGGCATTGAAATGTGGCTTACAAACGATCGCCATTCCTACAAAATCCAAAGATCCGTTACTTCCGCAGAGATGCAAGGATCATTCTTGGATTCATGGATTTTTGGAAATTGTGATTTCCAGTAGAATCTAAAAGTCAACAACTCCATAGATCCAAAAATCCATAATTGTTTCTCGCATCTCCGCGAAAATGTTGGACTTTGGATTTGCGATGATTTTTGCTTTCTGTGGCTGCGCGTGCTTCCCACCTGGCTCCGCTTGCGCACCGGGGTCGGCATGAGGTTTCTCGGCCGCGTACGCACCACGAAGGCGCACTACGAGGCATTTTTGATTTACACAAGACTTTGTCCAACATTTTGTCTAAAGAGCATATACGGGTGTGGTTTTCAAGAGTGGGCACTTAAACCCTGCATTCTAAACCCTATCGGCCCTATCGGACTGCTGATCATTTCGCATTATACCTGCCGTAAGACACTATGTACGATACGTGGATTTGTGCAATATTTCATGTTGTCTGCAATTACTGCATATACATTTCACTTCAGCAAATACTTCCTACTCAGAAAATATTGATTGAATGTTTGTTTATACAGAAAATTGTATACATATATTCATAGTAAAACTGTCTAGCTAACATTGGGTTGACATTAGCCCACTGCAATGAAGGTTGAGGTGATATAGAGTGTTTTTATGTACCTCATCAAATACAGCGTACTTAGACAACTTCTTGTTGAACCTTCAGTATTCACTAAGTATTGGTTCATAGTGAAACTAACATTGTGGCTTGACACTTGCCTACTGTATAATCAACTTCAGTCAGTATAGACGGTATTAAGGTAACGGACAGCTGATGTTTGGATGGTCTGTAGGCAGTTGGATTTCGCCATTTTTGCATGCATATCTACTCAGAGTTTGTTTTGAATCATTCAATATTGAAAAGAGTCCGAACACTTGTCTAAAGTTTCAAATAGCGACTGTAGGTTACTGCACTGGGAAGGAGATAGCAGTAAGTACGAAACGCCCATGAAGTATCCATTAAACCACGGAGTCATAGCATGTTATATACAATATCTCAACAATACGTATACAAGTATTGTTTCAATCGTAGTGGGCTATGCATAAAAGATTATGTAGATACTGGCTTACATGCCGAGAGAATATTCATCGAATTAAACTAAGTAGAAATTGAACACTGTTGAAATATCAGTTACATATGACCGAGCTTTAACCAACTATGTGCTAGATATAAGTTGCCGTAGCTGTTACTTGTGAAAAGAAACCATCAAACTGTTAAACAAACACTGCTGACAGGCCGATTGAATATTACGTGAACATTGATATAAGCAAATGCAAGCTGCACATTAACTGTATTATCAAATGTGTTTTCATGCTTGTTAACAACGCTCAGTAAACATAGCTACATGACCCGTGTATGAACGTCAACTAAATAATTAGGCATCAAACGATCGCGTAGACAATAGTTAGCTACATTTTAACTTTTACGATACCGAATTTCTTAATCTATGATACCGACATTTTACCTACAGACTTTGTCTGTCAGTATTGGATGCCAAGCAAATGTTCGTTAGATATCAGTAATTAGTGTAAAGTTAGTCTCTCTCTCTCTCTCTCTCTCTCTCTCTCTCTCCCTCTCTCGAACCTAGTCCCACTGCCACAAGCAAAACGCAACAACTTTAGCAACTGGGAGTATTGCTGAGCGCGGTGTGGTTTTGGTCTGGAGGTACTACTACCAAACAAAACGTGCAGAAAAATTATCCTTTCCACGAATAGTGATAGCATATGTGACATGCTTTGGATTTAAGCATGCTTATGTTCCCAGGTCACGACAGTCCCCTTTCCACGATTATGATGGCAACAACCATGCATATGTGGCATGGGCTCTCAGCATTTCCTGCCTTTGGTATTGACTATCATGCCTGCGTCCACCTCGTTGAACACAATCTTATGCTGGCCACACGAGCTAGAGTGCCAGAGTAACAACGCCAACATAAGCGACACTAGACCTCATCGACATTTGCATCACATCCTCGGCATAAACATATGGAATCACGTTCAGTTCATATTGCACCAAAAAGAAAGAACACCACGTCAGACACTGGATATTACAGGCAGTGAGGGTGTCATGGTAAATGGCAATGCTAAAGCACGTCGGTGTGATATGAGCATTATACCGCCCTCTCTTCGATCAGGACACGCTGGAAACTACATATTAACGGGGTCAGTCATGGCTCTAATGTGCAGAAGTCAGCGTGTCATGGGAGAGGGATGTGAGTTACATCGCAAATCTACAGAACCCCGCCCTTGCTCACGCATTTGAGTTAGGGCTGTGGTATGTTGTTTCCCGAAAACAGACCGAACGGTGGGCACATGAGGGGGGGGGGGGTAGCATAAACATAATAAACATATATACATATATATATATATATACATATGTGCATATTCATTTATGTGATTATTTGGTCTTATTTGCATTTATATTTGTTTTCATTGAGCAAGAACCCAGGCTTTGGGGCCGCCGTCCCGTCGCGCAGTGGCCAGGAAACTTCACTCATTCCGTGGCGCTTTCAGAAGGCAACCCCTGATTTGGGGTCTAGAGTTTAGGGTGTAGGGACCTATGGACCTAGCAAAGAAGCCCTGCTTGGAGGGTCGGGGGACTTAGTAAGTAAGATGGTGTACTTATAACTCTATGACCTTTTTCGGGTTCTGATGTAATACCCTCCTCACCTTTCTTGAGGGGGGAGGAGGGGTCTACTGATCAGAACTGAATAGCACGAATTATGGCGGTATTGGGGAATGCGCCAAAATGGTAGTATCCACATTGTAAGGAGCCCAGAACAAGAAACCCCTATGATTTCCCAACAAGATCGCACAAAAAGGTCTTGCATTGAGAAGCTGCAATGCGACTTGGGGTTCGTGCAGTTTCATTGTCCTGCATGCGGTCGTGTCTCAACTCGGCACCTACCTTTGGATGCAACCGCTTCGGTATGTCAGCCCGCCCGGTGAAGGCAACCTCAAGGCAAAGCCAGCAGCGCTGCAGGATGGCGGCTTGGCCATTGTCTCCCGGTTTGGACGGAGAGGTTCGTGTTCTCTTGAAGTCGTCCTGTTCGCACCATCTGCACTGTCGAGTGGGACATCCGTGCCTGCAAATGCATCTGGACGTACGCAAGAATTGCTACCACCGTCCGATCCTTGCGAAGATGGCCTGGACATGATCGTGGAGACAGTGGTGCACAACGGATCCGAATTCTTGCTCGTTTTCTCAGACACCGCCATTCATCGATTTCTGGTGGCTTCTGGAACATTAGGACCCATGAGCTCTCAGGTGTTTCCGCTGTCGGAACTGCCCATCCAGCCAACAGCTGTAGCGGCTTTACCAGAGAATGTGCTCGCCGTGGCAACGAGCGAAGCCATACGCCTTATGCACTTCAGGGATGGCCCTCTTTCCTGGTTAGGAATGCCACTTAAGGTGAGGCATGGTGGCCTTGCCGTTGCTGAAATGCTACCCTGGGGCAGGAGCGGTCTTTGCGTGCGCGATGATACTCGGCCTTGAACATGCAATATACTCCTGGTTTAGTCTACTCTTAAGGCGGAGCATGAACCCTAAACCCTTAACCTGGGCGCTCCAAGAAAATTGTCGAGGATACGTATTACTTCTTCAACTACTCGGTTGCAACTTTGGATTCCGCTGTTCTGTGGCAGACAACCCTGGAGGCAGCACCGAACCTGCAGGAGTCTCGGGTAGCCTAAACCCTAAACTCTAAACCCCGAACCCTAAACCCCAAACCCTAAACCCTAACCCCAACCAATCAACCCTTAACCCCAATTCCCAAACTCCAAACCCTAAACCGTAACCCAGACAGTCAACCCTAAACCCCAATCCCTAAACCCTAAACCCCAAATCCTAAAAGTCTGCAGGAGTCGCGGGTCACGAGTCTGGTGGGGATCGCCGGTGGCGTTGCTGCCTTCGTCCTAACGGAAGCTGGGTTCTGGAGTAATGCACCCCAAACCTCAAACCCTCAACCCCTAAACGCTAAACCCCTAAACCCCTAAACCCCTACACTCCTAAACCCTAAATTTTAATCCCTAAACCTCTAAACACTAAACCCCTAAACCCTAAACCCCTAGACCCCTAAATTTCTAAAGCCCTGAACCCTACACCCCCTTGAACCTCAAACCCTCCATAGTTTGTGTCAGGCACACTCGTGCGGGGATCGGGGTTCCCGATCAAAAGCACGATGGAATTCGACGTATGGCAGTACAAAAGGGGCTTCAATACGGTTGGTGATATAAATCCTGCATTGCCCGTCATAAGGAGAATACCATATTGCGGTAATTCAGGATCTATATCATCAACCGTAGGTACCTATACTGTTTGGGGGGCTCCTTGATATAGTTACAATAGTTATTAAGGCCTTTATAGTACCCCCTATGTCTCCTCATAACCCTTGACATGTCGATTGCTCTAAGTTGAAGCTGAACACCAGGGGGAAAAGAGTAATATAGGGGTCTAAATAATTGCCGCAGACTATTCTGGGGTTCCTTATCATGATTATAGTATAGTGGGCCCCAAAACCATATTGTAATTGTTAAGGCCCTTATATTACGCTTACTATTCAAGCCAGTGCCTCAGAGCCCAGGAGAATGCGACTGACCTGGTCTTCTTGAGGAATTCCACCCCTCATGGTGATTCTTAGGGGCACTTGGAAAAGATGTTTGCTTTTTGGCTACTATAATCCCGAAGAAACAGCTAACAGTTCAACTTGTGCACGCGTTCTGTAAGGCTCCATGTCCCCATATAGTAGGTAGCCAGGCCTTGAAGTACCTATTTGAATATAGCGACCCCTACAAGGCCTAAGTATGGGCACATGGAGCCTTAGGGGTTCGCTGAAGGATTGGACGAGGGTGGTGCTGCGTTCAATGGAAACGGGAAGCGCACCTTTCGCCAGCATGGTTGCAGTGCCTGGGTAAAAACCGGAAGCCAGTTGCTGGGTTCTGGAGTACCATACGGTTTAGGGTTTAGGGTTTAGGGCATACCTTAATAATCTTAATACTGCTTTTTTGGGGGAACCTGCTTCTTAAAGGAAAAGCGATGAAACCCAGGTGTACTCTTTTTCCTCACGGGTTATTTCAATGCCCAGGTTGTGCTTTTGGAGGGAAAGAGATACTTAAAGCGCTCCTTAAAGGGATCTGTAGGGTTTAGGGTTTAGGCTCTACTTAGAGGGTCATGAGACTTAGTAAGTAGGGTTCCTTTAAGGTATTCTTTTAGTGAGTTAACTATTGCAATATCTATTTATAGCCTTAATTAAGGTGCTTATAACACTACTTAGTAAGTCCCATGATCCTCCAAGTAGGGTTCAGTAGGGCTGCTAGGAGCTTGAGCTTACGGTTTAGGATCGCGTTCCTACTAGACACCAAACCCGAATTCTCAAGGCGTGATGGCTGTTGATCCAGCTATGAGGGCCTAGAGCCAGCCCTAGCTTTGAGATGGGGTTTGGTTTAGGGTCTGGTGTTTAGGGGTTTTGGGGTTTTAGGGGTTGAGGGTTTAGGTTGAGGGTTTAGGGGTTTAGGGTTTAGGGGTTTATTTAGGGTTTAGGGTTTACGGGTTGAGGGTTGAGGGTTTAGGGGTTTAGGGGTTGGGGTTTGGTGCATGGTTTAGGGTGAGTTTACCAAACCCAGGAACCCGGAACCCGAAAGTCCGAACCTCAACCGGCTTGTCCTTTGGGATCTTTTTTAATTTCCCCTACTGTTTTGTAGACGGCCGTAATAGTAAATAATTACCAATGGGCTTAAAGGACAACTCAGTCAAACTCTCTGAAACGCAACCCTAAATCGCTGCTGCCGAAGAAGCCCGAAACCTCAACCCAGGTGTCAAACACTATTTTGGCCTTCTGCACTGGAAAGGCAGGGGCTCCGACGTTTCATAATTTCAGGACCCAGACATGGCAACTTAGGTGTTCGGGGGGGGGGGGGGGTGCCGAGCTTTGTCTAGGGTTCAGGAGTTTGGGGTTAGAGTTTAGGGTTGAGGGGTTGGGGTCTAAGTGTTCTTATTGGCGGTAAACTCAACTTTTCAACTTTTGGGGTTCTTTTTCGTTAGTCGGTTCTGATAGTCCTTGGGTTTGGGGCCAGCGGGTTCTAGATTTTGGGGTTAGGCCTAGGGTAGTGGCTAGGATGCCCAGTGGTACCTTTATTCCCTTTTGGGGTCCTCGGCTCCTTATAAAGTTACCCAATACCAAAAAGGGAGCTCGTTTTATTCCTAGGATACCGGGCATCCTCGGTGGGGGTTTGCTACACCCCCAAGGGGAAGCCTGAAGCGCGACATGGAGGATCATGGGACTTAGTAAGTAGGGTTATAAGTACCCTATTCGGGGTTATTAGCAGTTATAGGTATAGTTACCTTATTTCTAACCCTACTTACTAGGTCCCCTGAACCTCCAAGTAGGCCCAACAATCCTTTACCTCCCCTGAATCTCCACGTACGCACATATACGGGGGTGGGCTTGTGCTTTATGGGATTCATTTAGGGTTTAGGTTTAAGGTTTCGGTTCGGGATCGAAGGTTTACGGTTTAGAGTAGTACCTACTTTGAGGTTTAAGGATGAAAGTTAACTGATCGTGGGTGCTTTCGGCTACGCTTGAGGGTCAGTAACCCACGAATTCTGCTTTCCAGGATCTTATTAAGAGGGTCATGGGACTGAGGAAGTAGGGTTATAAGTAAAGTAACTATAGTTATATATCTACGTATAACCCCAATTAATTAAGGTACCTATAACCCTACTTAGAGTCCCATGATCCTCTAAGTATACCTTAAGCCGTAAACCCTACAGATCCATATCAGGAACCCTATAGATCCCTTTAAGGAGCGCTTTAAGGAACCCTACTTGCAAAGTCCAACCCTAAACCCGTAAAGTACCTCTATATATTCCATAAAGGAACCCTCAACCCCTACTTGCTAAATCCCATGATCCTTAGAGCCCTAAACCTTATAGAACCCTTACAGAGCCCTTGAAGAAACCCTACTAAGTCCCGTGAGCCCCAGAACCCTAAACCTTATAGAACCCTCTAAGGAACCCTTAAAGGGACTCACCCCCCGGAGCCCTAAACCCTCTAAGCCCCTGAACCCTTAAATATTAAACCGCTAAATCTTAAATACCCTAAACCCCCTAAGCCCTAAATCCTAAACCCTTAACCCTAAACTTTATAGATCCCTTGTAGATCCCTCCGCGACCCTTTAAGGAAACCTACTCCTAAACCTGTTAGATCCCTTATAGAACCCTTTAAGGGACCCTGTTTACTTAGGGAATTAGTAAGTAGGGTTATAAGTACTTCAATTAAGGTTATAAGTAGATATAGCTATAGTTACCTTGCTTATAACCCTACTTACTAAATCCCCTGATCCTCCAAGTAGACCCACCAACCTTTTAAGGAACCCTTTTCAGAACCCTGAACCTTATAGATGCCTTAGGAACCCTGTTTTTGGAACCCTAACCCTTATAGATCCCTTATAGAACCCTTATAGAACCCTTATAGAACCCTTATAGATCCCTTATAGATCCCTTATAGAACCCTTATAGAACCCTTATAGATCCCTTATAAAACCCTTATAGAACCCTTATAGATCCCTTATAGAACTCTTCAAGGGACCCTCCCGGAGAGGAGCCTGGGCTATGAGCTCCGCCTGACCCAGAAGCCCGAAGTCAGAAAGCCCAATCCCCAAGGGTTTAGGGTTTAGGGTTTAGGGTTTAGGGTTTAGGGTTTAGGGAAGCACATAAGCAACAAATAAGATAGGGATATCCCATATATAAATTCCTTACAATTGAAGCCCATTTATGGTAGGGATATCCCGATAACATGCTTATGCTTGTGTGCTTTTTGGGCCCCTAAGAATAGGGTTTGGGCTTTCTGGGTGTTGGGGGTTTCCTTTAAAGGTTTCTTTTCAGGGCTCCTGTAAGGGGTCTATACGATTTTAGGGTTTAGGGGTGTAGGGTTTGGGGGTTTGGTGGGGTTTAGGGGTTAGGGTCCGAAACCACTAAACCCAAAACTGCCCCCCAAAATGCTCTAAATGTTCAGCCCCTTGCTGCCCGAAGCCCTAACTTTTTCAGCCCTAAACCCTAAACCCTGAGCCCTAAACCCTAAGCCCTAAACCCATGTCTTTTTGTTTTGTCCCTGAACCCTTAAATATTAAACCGCTAAACCCTAAACCCTACGGATCCCTTGTAGATCCCTTCGAGACCCTTTAAGGAAACCTATTCCTAAACCTTCTGGATCCCTTATAGAACTCTTTAAGGAACTTGTTTTCTGAGAGGATCAGAGGACTTAGTAAGTAGGTTTTTAAGCACCTATCCCCTTAACCCTAAAGTCGTCTAGATCCCTTATAGGAGCCCTTAAATAGGAGCCTTTAAAGGAAGCCCTAAACCCACGTCTTTTTGCTCTGTGCGGCCAGGGCGGGAACTGGAGTTTCTGGGACCTCTCCGAGCCTCTGCACAGAAGATCGGAGAACTCGTCGGTGAGGGCCCCGGAGAGGGGCCTGTCGATTTTCACGGAGGTCCTTATGGGTTTTGGGATTCCTTTAAAGGGATCTATAAGGGCTCCTTAAAGAGATCTATAATAGGGTAACGGTATAGGGGTTGAGAGATTGAGGGTTTTGGGTTTCGGGATGTAGGGTTTCGGGATGTAGGGTTTCAGGGTTCAGGGGTTTCAGGGTTTGAAATTGGGATTTCAGGGTTTAGGGTTTCTGTAAAGGATCAGGAGGCTTAGTACGTGGGGCTTATACATAGGGCAGCTTATGTAATATCCACTTAGAACCAGTATTCAGCTAGTCTCATGATCCTCTAAGTAGGATTGTAGAGTGTGAAGGTTGGGGTTTCAAGTTTTGGGAACCTTCCCACATGTACAGTTATTGTTACGGTCCAGCTCCAAGAATGTATTCAGAACCGTCCAGAGTCCTATGGTTCTAGGATGACTCTTCTTTCTACTCCATGAGAGGTTCGTGAGGGTGTGGGTTCAGGGCTTTAGACTTTCACTGAAGCCACTTTGTCGCTTAGTGTTCTATGAGAGTTTGTTCATTTGTTGTTTAAGGGTTGGGCGATTAAGGGTTTTGAGATTTTAGGGGGTTCAGGGCTGCAGTTTGGAGGCTTGAGGTTTCGCACTCCAGGGTGTAGGTTTCAGGCTTCAATGCTTGGAGTTGGTAGAATTCGAGGTACAGGGAACTCCACAAAGCCTCCGCCCAGCAAGTCCTAGAACACAGAGGTCCGAATATTCACCAGCAGTATCCCCTGATAAGTCTCTACATCATTATACAACTACACATACCCCCCCGCCCCCAAAAAAGCATTACTTCCCCTTCATTGCGCCCTGTGATGCCCGTTGACACTGCTTTCGAGGGGAGACCCGAAACCCTAACCTCAACCCTACACCTTAAACTCTAAGCCCCAAGCCGAAGCCGGTTTCACTCATCAGCCCTCGAAGCACATTGGTGGTTGTCAAACTTAGGATCCCTTTTGGGGTCCTTATTATAATACGGCACCTAATATTTAGGGTACCCAAAAAGGGACCATAATTTTGACAACCACCCACATGCCTCGCCTGGATTGTCCGAGTGCGAGCGCCGAGACCGAAGCCCTCAAACCAAAACTAGGTTCTAAACCCTAAACTCCAAAATCTCTAAACCCTAAACTCTAAACTCCCTGCTGCAGTCGGAATACCTAGTAGGTAGTGCCTGTTACAGGGAGGAAAAGGGCCTTAACAAAAAAAATGTACTCCAGAAGCTGTAAACCGCAAGTCCTTCATCCATTAACCCTACTTGGAGGGTCGGTGGACTTAGTAAGTAGTTCTTTCATAGAGTTGTAAGTACCCTCTCCCCACTTAAGATCCGTTGCAGGGCACTTGTAATTCTACTTACTAACTCCCCCGCCCCTAAACCCTAAACCCATAAGTACCCTAAAAGGAACTCTAAACCCTAAACCCGAGAGGTTGAGATTGAGGGTGAACTGGGTGACGACCTGAGGGTAAGCCTTTATAGGCAAGACAGACCTCTGCGGAGAGAAAGTCCGATGCCCTGTAACCCTAAACCCGAAACCCTAGACCCTAAACCCTAAAAGGAACCCTAAACCCTATATCCTAAGCATCACTAAGCCCTCGGGAGGAGGCCCTCGATGCCTTCTGCACGCTTCCGGCGCCCGTTCGAACGCCAAATGCGGGCCGATTGCTCGGTGCCACCGGCCAGGGTGGTCTGCGCCTCCTCTGCTGGTTTGGGGTTTAGGGTTTAGGGTTTAGGATCCGGGCTTTACGGTTTAAGATTCAGTGTTAAGGTTTGAGGGTTCCGGTTCTAGGGTTTAGGCTTCGGGCAATGTTTGGGGTTTAAGGTGAAGAGAGCCCAAGACCCCTCAATTAAGGAGTATAGCTTAAATCGTAATATGAAGCCCTTTATGATTTAAGCCATATTCCTTCATTCAGGGGTGTTGGGCTCTCTGGGGAAGACTGCACAGAGTAGGGTGGCGCAGGCCGCCGGGATTGTAGACTATGCTTAGATTTAAGAGTTGAAACTGCAAGATATCACTTGTATAGCTTCTCCTGTAATCTTTCGGGTTTTTGTGCTTGACAGCGCTTGGGAATCCCTAATCTGCTAGGCCGCTAGGCCTTCCACAAGCGATTGCATCCTGATATGGCTTGGGAAGTGAAGTGATATAGGGGCCTCAATGATTAGAACAGGGGGTAATTACTTGGGGTAGGGTCTTCTTCATTTCAACTGTCGGGAACCCGAAACCAGGGTCGTGGCCAATGCATCCGGGCTCTTGGTTCTTCCTGCCGCGGGCATTCGACGCTGTGACCTGTCGTACCTGCTGCAAATGCACCTTAGCCATATTGGCTGTAAACTCAACTTTTCAATTTTTGGTGTTTTATAAGATAGTTATTTCCCTGGTTTTGGGCCAGTTACAGTAGCTGCATGAGTACACGCTACACTTTTTTTGGGGTGATCTTTTACCTGTAGAACTGAAAGTTTACTACAGGGGCCTAAATAATTAACACTACTATTTTGGGGGGTTCCTCTTTGATATAGTATTATGGGGCCCCAAAACCTTCTTCTAACTATAAAGGCCTCTATATCATAGTACCCTACAATAGATCCCTTATAGTAGACCTTTGACGGACCCCTTTAAAGGGAACCCTATTCTTAAGTCATCTAGGAACTCAGCAACTCAGGCACTCACCTGACTCCGCCAGAGTCGCTTGTTTGCAGCTTCCCAGGGAATGGACCTTAAATTATAGTAGGATCCCTTATATGATTTAAGGAATATTGTTTAATCAAGGGATATTGGAGTCGCTGGGTTCATCCAAAAGCCACCTTGCATGGTTACTTGGAGGATCAGGGGACTCAGTAAGTGGGGTTCCTTAAAGGGTTCCTTAAAGGTCTACTTGGAGGATCTTAGGTCTGAGTAAGTAAGGTTTATACGAAAGGTAATTGTAGCTATATCTACTTATATCCTGATATAAGGTACTTAGAACCCCTAGCACTAAGTCCTATGATCCTCTAAGTAGAACTAGGCGGGTCCGCGCAGTAGAGCTCCAAATCTCGGTAGGGCTTCACTAAGCCCTAACCCTAAACAACCCTAAACCTTAAACTCCCTAAACCCTAAAACGTAAACCTTAAGCCCCAAACCCAAATCCTAAATCCCGGAAAAAGAGCTCGAGGCCTATACGCCGTTTGTAGGGATGCGGCCGGGACGTCGCGCTGTTCCCTGCTGTGGAGGTGGGTTCGCCGTTGTTCCTTGGTCTTTAAACCCTAAACCCTAAATTACGTTGCAGGGTTAAGGGTTTAGGGTTCAGGGTTTATAGGGGTCAAGGTTCAGAGTCCTCTCGGCCATTTCTATCAAGGGACGAAGAAAGGATTCTTAAATATTAATTAGGGCCTTTGAGTTTGGTTCCGTAGGGTTCCTTGTTGTAAGTATGTCAAAACATCTGACATATGCCAAAACCGCTGAAACAACTAAGGCCCCTATATCAGCACCTCTAGGTCTACTGCTACCACCATGCTTGCCTAGAATGAGGTACTAGTGACTAGGGTCTGCAATAAACATGTTATATAATCGCCTTCGTATTGAGAAGGAGAGCTGCAGAAACGTGAGTGCAGAGTTGTTCAGTTGCGGTTTGTTTTTTAAGCGCCGCGGTGTGCTGTTCAGTGGCTTTTTTGCAAGAGGAATCGTAACAATGGCCAAGCCAGGCCTTACCGTAACCTACCAAACCCTACTTTTTTGTAGGTTCTTAATATAAACCCTAATATGAAATTTATAGGGACCCTACAAAATAGTAGGTTTTGGTAGGTCAAGGTACTGTTCCTAAGGGTTTAGGGTGTACGGTTCCTGAACCCTTCATGTCCCAAACCCCGAACCCATTGCATGGTCTAAGCATGCCGGAGGTCTGATTTTTCTGGGAACCAAAAACCGTACACACCTGATAAGAGCCACAAGTAATTAGGTTTGGGTTGGGTTCGAGAAGCCCTCCCGCCCCTTCCACTTTCCAGCAAGAAAGACAATCAACGCAGTTTTTCAGCTTAAATTCTTAGAGCCTTCAAAACCTGAAGCTGAAACCCAACCCTAAACCCTAAACCCTAAACCCCCAAAACCAGGTTCACTCAGGCGTTCGTTCCAGCCCGGGTCTGCAACCCTGGGACCAGATACTGGGCTTTGGAGTACCATGTTTTAATACTTAGGGTTTAGGGTTTAGGGTTTAGGGTTAAAGGAGCCATTATGAGACCCTAAACCCCAAATCCTAAACCCTAAACCCCGAAAACCACTAAGCCCCTAAACCATAAACCCTAAACCCCTAAACCCCTAAGCCCTAAACGCTAAACTCTCCTTGTTAAAACCAAAACTCTCCTTGGTTAAGAGCCCAGGATGTCTTTGTTCAACGCCTCGGCGGCCATTCGCGGTGGCGAGCCGTTCGCCGAGCTGAAGGCGGGGTGTAGTCGTGTTTAGGGTTTAGGGGCTTAGTGGTTTTCGGGGTTTAGGGGTTTAGTGGGTGAGGATTTAAGGTTTAGGGGTTTAGGTTTCTGATTTAGGGTTTAGGGTTTTAGGGTTTAGGGGCTTAGTGGGTTTGGTGTTTTTTTAGGGCTTTTGGTTTTGCTGGTGTAGGGTTTAGGGTTTTTTTTCTTTTTTTTTATAGTTTAGCTTTCTGGTTTAGGGTTTAAGGGTTAGGGGTTCAGGGTTTAGGGGCTTGGTGGTTGTCCGGATGCAGGGTGAGCTCGGGTGGGTGGCGTTGTTGTTACATCAGTCAGGAGTTAAGAGTTTTGTGCAGGCTTCTTGCAATTTCTGTACAGATTTTTGTTGCGGCTGTACCCAAAGATCCCAATACCCCTTAATTAAGGATTAGACCTTAAATTATAGGGGGCTTAGTACTATGATTTGAGCTATATTCCTTAGAAGCTGCCCCCACCCTGCAATAGTGGTATAATGGGAATATAATAGGGCCCTAATATAATCCTATATAATCCTTATGGTCACGATTACAGGGTGGGGGCCCCTTCTACCATATTCCTTAATTAAGGGGTATTGGGTTCTCTGATGCCTCAAGCCTCAGACCCGAAACCCTAAACTCAAAGTCTAAAGGGAACTCCAGAAAGTTGGAATATGGATGAATGGTAGGATCCCCTATAATTTACCTTAAAGGGGTTACGATAATGATATTCCAACTTTCTGGCTTCTACTCTACAGCCCCAAACCCTGAACCCAAAACCAGAAACCCGAAACCAAAACACACCCACACACACACACATACAACAGTTGGTCGCCTTGGCCCTCAAACGTAGACCTCAGTTTTGTGAGGGCTTTCTGGGCTCTGTCAATGAACTTGCCAAAATGTGATCTATAGTGCATGATTGGGTTTCCCAATTGTGGTAACTGAGCGTAAATCCCCTACGTGACGGATCATGGAATGTAGCAAGACGGGCTTTAATAAGTACCTTAATCACGGTCATAAGTAGGTATAAGTATAGTTACCTTACTTGTAGACCTACTTAGTACTCTCTAAGTCCCATGATCCTCTAAGAAGAGCACAGTTTTGGGTGTGGCCAGTTCGACAGCGACTGGAATCTCATCACTTCCCTGTTCCCGCTGGAAGCTGCCGGGCTAAACACTCAGGGTCGTACGGCCTCAGGCCTTAGGGATTAGGGTCTTCGGGTTTAAAGTGCTGGAACCATATATTGAGGTGAAGGTGTCAGATTTCAAAACGTCTTACGATGGTTAGCAGCACCCTTGTGAATGTTTTCGTCTGGTTGTTGTCATCATGCCGCAATGTCGCCAGCGGCGACTTAGCATTCTTAAAGGCAGTCTTGCTCCAGGTGTTGTGTCTCCGGCCGCCCGATATTCCTCAGCTGGTAAATGGGTTCGGGTAACTCCTCTTGCGACTCCGGCCGAAGGTTTGCTCTGATCTTTGGTGTTGTCGGTGGCGCCTCAATCAGTCATACTCAGTGTTGAAGTTTCGGCGCCTCATCACGGAATCCCCGTTGTCGCTTATTTCGGGCGGTTCGGTGTCTTTGCGTGTTGATGTCCAATTGTCCCTGTCTTGCGGCGATAAGCAGAGAGGTAGGCAGGCAGCCAGACAGACACATAGATAATTAGGTAGATGGGTATGTGTATAAAGATACATGTGTACGTATGTGTTTATATACATACAGAGAGAGAGAGAGAGAGAGAGAGAGAGAGAGAGAGAGAGAGAGAGAGAGAGAGAGAGAGAGAGAGAGAGAGAGAGAGAGAGAGAGAGATAGAGAGAGAGAGAGAGAGAGATAGAGAGAGAGAGAGAGCCAGAGCGAGAGCCAAGCGAGAGACACTGAGCAGCAGCTGCAGCAGCTGCAGCAGCAGCAGCAGCGGAGGCCGGCTCTTCCCCATTGGAGAGTCCCCTCCATCCTGGAAAAGGAAAGCGGGAGAGAGGGAGAGAGAGAGAGAGAGAGGGAGAGAGCGAGTGAGCAGGAAGAAAAATCTGGCTAGTTGCACATGGGTTGAGCCCCCACCCTTAATCTCTAACTTTGAATGAATCTTGACATGGGTCTCACCCCGAACCTTGCGCCCGAAATTCGAAACCCTAAACCGGAAACCTTAAACCGGAAACAAGGTGCTCAAGGTCAAGCTCAAGTGAAAAGCCCTCGGCTCCACCTCCTCTCGTTGCTTAGAGGATGGAACCGGGTCATGATGAAAGCCCACCGGGTCTGGGTGCGGCGAGAACCGAGGTTGGCATGGACCTTGATATACTTCGTGGGCTACTCGAGGCTCAGTCGGAGCTGATACAGCGATCGAGCAATCAGGTTTTGAGTGACGGGTTGACGAGGATGCAAGGTGCGTGGGAAAGGGCCTATGAACAGATCGAGGACAAACTTGCAGCACAGCGGGTGGCCATGCAACGACTCACTGATCGGTGCTGCATGCTTCAAGACAAGCTACAGCTCCTGGAGGAAGGACGCAATGAAGGGAGTGCACCTATTATGGTAGCGGCTCAGGACCAAGGGCAAGAAGAGAAGGGGTGAAGAAATCAACGGGCTGAAGTGGCAGCTCCCTGCAATGAGGCGTGTTCAACACTACAGGTTCCTGTGAAGACGGACATTGCTGCCGAGGAGGAGGGAGACAGAGCTCAGGTTGGGATAGGAGCGGAGGACCACGATGTACCTGGTATTTCCGCTGACTTGCAACCTGATGAATGGGCCCGGTCTTGTTGGACTTGATGCAGGCCCGTGCTCTTCTCAGGGGTTCGTTCGTGGAAAGACACCAGCTGGTATGCACCTGACGGGTAAAGAAAAAAGGGGTATGAGCGTTCCTGGAAACAGGTCCACGGTGGGGACATGGAATGCAATAGCCGGAAACAAAAGGATATAGCAGGCACTGGCACGACTCTGACAGGTCGTCGGTGCATGAATGAACGGTCGGGCAGGCTCGGGAACTCAAGCAAAGAAGTATGGTTTTCTGCCGACTGTGGCTGCAGATGGTGCTGTGTTACTGCTGTGTTACTGGGCCCCGGGTTATTGTGAACGTTGTCCGAAAGGGGTGCTGCCACAATGAGTTTGCTGTGATCACCGGAGTTGATGTGAAATGCTGAAGGGTTTGCGACGGTCGTCTAACATGGATGGCTTGCCGACTTGACTTACGGTTTACTTTTCGTTCTAGGTTCTTTTGTTTGCGGTGTTGAGAATCTTCAGCCACTGTGCATGGCTCAGTCTGTGATGGCTGTGGTTCGGTTTTGGCTACGCTTTTCCTTTCCTGAATGTGATGGTGCGCAAAAGGGCCGAAGTCGCTCGCTTCCCGTGGGCTTTTGTAGGCCGCAAGTCGTGCCGACGGAAAAGAACCTTCAAACAAAACCGAAACCCTAAACCCCGAACCCTTAAACCCTAAACCCAAACCTCTAAAACTGTAAACCCTAAACCCAAACCCCTAGACGGTCAAAGCGCCGCCATCCAAGAGCAAAGGATGGGGCCTTCCTAGCGGGAGCCACATCCAAGAAAGTCTACCGATACGAGCAAGCCCAGGTGCTTCTTGGTTTTAGGGTTGAGGGTTTAACACCTTAGATTAAGGGATCTATAACGGATTATAGGGTTTAGGGTTGAAATGTGATGCCTAAGGCTTTAGGGCTCCCGGTTTGGTGTTCAATTTTTTCAACAACTGGCGGGACGGCGGGGCGGGGTTAGGGCTTTTGCTTTTGGGGTTGAGGTTCTAAAGTGCGGGAAGCAAGGGGTGGAAGCAGGGATGAGCGTACAGGTATGCTATGGTAATTGCGACGGTGATGATGGCACGATGATGATGATGTTAATATGATGCTCATGCCGGTGATGTTGTTGGTGATGGTTAGAAGGCGTTCCACAATTTTCTGAAACCTTCAGCTTTAGGAAGCCTACCGATATCTCGATCCCAAGTTCCTTCGGCCCTTATGCTGGCAGGTACGAGGGCTCGTCGTGCTGAACGCTTCGACTGCCCTGCTGGCAGCATTGGGTAGGTTTTCATACACGAGCTTTTTTATGGATACTATTTTTGAACAGGGTATGTGGTGTCAGTATTATTAAAGGTAAGGTAGGCCGGTAGGGAGGATCGACCGATCAGTACATAGACAGACCGAAAGAAAGACATATAGACAGATAGAAAACTGATAGATAGATAGATAGGTAGATGAGTATAAAACCCGGCAGACAGGCAGACGGACAGACAGGTGGGTTTAAATATCTATAAAGCTAGATAGATAGCTAGGTAGATAGGTAGAGATTTAGACACATAGATAAACAGGTCATTTGTTTGGCTTTGTTTGTCTTCTTACGGCACCATGCTTGCATAAACTCGTCGAGGATCTGTACCCTGAGGTTTTGATTTGAGAAGACCTGGATGACCAAACCCGTAATATATCGGAATTATTTGTAACAGTATCCCCTCACAGCCCCTCTATGAGACCACCATAACATACCGCAAAACCCCTATCTAATTGTGTATGTGCCCCTATAGGTGCAAGCTGCACTTAATTTTGAATAATCTCTAAGCCCTAATCCCTAAGCCTTAAACCCAAACCCAACACCCTATAGATCCCGTATAGATGCCTTAATTTAGGGTCTTAAACCATCAAAATAGGTCTTAAACCCTCAAAAACCCAACAAGTTGCGGCTAGTTTTGAAAGCGCACTGAAAGGCTTTATAGATCCCTTATAGATCTCTTATGGATCCCTTATAGATCCCTTTTTTGCGGTCTTAAACATTAGCACTGAAAGGCCTTCGAGATGGAGTCAGTTCCCTGGTCTCTGGCCTCCTGGTGCCTTGGTTGAGTTTAGGGTTCAGGGTTTCAGGGTTCAGGGTTTCAGGGTTTGGGGTTTCAGGGTTTGGGGGTTAGGGGTGTAGGGGTTAGGGGTTTAGGGGTTAGGGGTTTGGGGGTTAGGGGTGTAGGGGTTAGGTGGGGTTTAGGGTTTCAGGGTTTGTGGGCTAGGGCTGTAGGGGTTAGGGGTTTAGCGGATCAGGGTTTAGGGTTTAATGTGGGAGCCTGATTAAGAAAACTTGGGCCTTTATTCCAAAAATGAACCCTGCTATTTTGGTGTTATATGCCCAGGGTTTCTTAATCAGGTTCCTACATTAGGGGTTCAGGGTTTAGGGTTTAGGAGTTTGCAGTCTAGGTGTAGTTTAGGGTGAAAGGTTTTGAGTTTAGGTGTCCAGGAAATGCTGGGTTTGAAAGTTAAGGTCCAGGGTTTAGGATTAGGTTCCTGAGGAGTACCCTTTTGCACTTTTTGTTTTAGGGTCCCCTTATCAACACCGAAGAGTAGGAAAAAGGGTACCCTTATGGGACCAAGAGGGCGTTCCCGGAAGCCCCGGTCACAGGCATCCAAAGGTCAAGTCAGCTCGGGTTGAGGGCTCTGGCATACCATACCCTCCCAGCTACATTGTGCCGAGATGGCCAAGTCTGTACTAACTTGATCAAACATCGGCCCTCGTTTCCCGGCACACTGTACTCCGTGCTGCTGCTACTGCTACTGCTACTGATACTGCTACTGCTACTGATACTGATACTGCTACTGCCACTACTACTGCTGCTGCTGCTGCCCAGAGGCTCCGATATCCCTCATTTATTTAAGGAATATTCCCTAATTGAGGCATATTGGCGTCTCTGGGTACTTTGAATGAAGGACCCAGAGAGCTGAATACCCCTTAGTTAAGGAATATAGCTTAAATCATAGTATGAAGCCCTATATACTTTAAGCTATACTCCTTCGTTAAGGGGTATTGGGCTCTTTGGGGAGGCCAGTTTGGGCTAAGGTCGGGGGGCCCCGGTGGCAGCGCGCTGCCGGAGATCGTCGTTGCCGATCAGGTGGGAGTTTCCGAAAATTATCGGGGCACCTTAGGGCTCTTTTAAAGGATTACTACAAGGGTACTATAAGGGTCTATAGGGGTTTGGAGTTTCCGAAAAACTTATTAAAGGATCCTAAAGGGTACTGCAGGAACCTGACTAAGAAACCCTGGGCCTATAACGTCAAAATCGTAGGATTCATAGAAGGAGCCCTAGTAAAGGCCCAAGGTTTCTTAATCAGGTTCCTACATTACTATATTAGAACCCCCTATTCTCGAAAATTCTCAGGTGGGCGGTCTGAGGCTTGTGGAATCTTTAGGGTTTAGTTCGGCTTTGGTTTAGGGTTTAGGGTTTAGGGGTTCAGGGTTTAGGGTGTAGGGTACCCAGAGAGCCCAATACCCCTTAACGAAGGAGTATAGCTTAAATAATATAGGGCTTCATACTATGACTTAAGCTATATTCCTTAACTAAGGGGTATTGGGCTCTCTGGGTTAGGGTATAAGGCTTGGAGAAATTGGTAAAGGGTGTAGGTTCAAGGCCTGCAGCGTCAGCGTATAGGGCTTCGGGTTTACCGTCTGGGGGTTGAGGGCCGTAGATTGGCAGCACAGGTGGTTATTTCGAGTTCTAGAGGATCATGGGACTTAGTAAGTATGGTTCTGAATACCCTAATTAAGGCTATAAGTAGATATAACTATAGTTACCTTACTTGTATCCCTACTTACTAAGTCCCCTGATCCTCCAAGTAAGGTGCACCCAGACCTGTTCGTTTAAACCCCGAGATTCGCCGGCCGAGCAGGTGGTCTACCGTGCCCAGCGCTGTCCGGAAATGACGTGCCTCGGACGTCTTACCGGGCCCCAATGCACCCCCTTGCTACGGTTGCTGAGAGGATCATGGGACTTCGTAAGTAGGTTTATAAGTAAGGTATCTAAAGTTGTATCTACTTACAGCCACAATTGAGGTACTTGTAACGCTACTTACTAAGTCCCATGCTCCTTCAAGTAGGGTTTAGGAGCTTAGGAGTAAAGCGCTCAGGCTTGAGGGTTTGCAGTCTGGGGCTTTAGGGGGGCTTGGAGTCAACGTATCTTGCGTTATCCACTGTTTTAGAACATGCTCTGGTCTTGGCTTCCAGGAAAGTTAGGGGACTAAATGTAGAAAGTTTGCGAAGCCGAGCTTGGTTATGAGAAACTCTACACAAGGCACGCTGACTGTTCAGCATCCCCACTATTGAAAATGAAACTCAGTATCAAGCCCCCCAAATTCACCCCGCGGGGCTTGGAGTGACCTTAATCTCTAAACCTTATACCCTAAACCCTACACTCTAAACCCTAAACCCTGAACCCGGTGGAGTCGAAGTTTGCGGAATCCTTTGCCCCGAAGGAGCCACCTTCAACTCCCAAATCCCGTTACCCACAAAAGCTTCGATCTTCCTCCCTACTTCGAACCCGCGAGAGCCCAATACCCCTTAGTTAAGGAATATAGCTCAAATCATAATATGAAGCCCTATATAATTTAAGCAATACTCCTTCGTTAAGGGGTATTGGGCTCTCTGGGAATTCTAAACCCTAATTGCCAAACCCTACTTGGACAATCACCGGACCTGGTAAGTGAAGTTGCAAATGGGTTAGCTATAGTTATATCGACTGGTAACCTTAATGTAAGTACATATAACCCTACGTACTTAGTCCCATGATCCTCTGACTAAATCCGTAAGCCCTAAACCCTAACCTCCAAACCCTGACGTATCAACCGCAAGTGAGGTACGGCCACTGGGGCAATTGTATCGATTGCCCGGACTTCACCTTGTCCATCCAGGGCGCAAAAGCCTGCAACTTCAGGTGGGGCTAAGGGCTTAAGGGATAGGCCCTAAGCCTGAAACCATAAACCTTAAACCCTCAAGCAAATTGCAGATGGAAATTGTATGTCCTTCCAAAATAGTTTGTAGTTGCATCAGCTACAACCGTTTATAGTTGCATCAGCTGCAACCAATTTCAAAACTAGAAACTTGCTCTTGAAGCCGAAGGCCCAAACCCTAATGCCCCCGAAATTCCCGTAGACCGTGCTTCTAGGACCATCTGTACAGCCCTCCATGAAACGAGGATCTTGTTTCCATTGCTTTGACTACCCATGAACCTTTAAGCAGGAGCTTTAAACATCTTATGTCTCAGGGGTACTTGGAAATGATCTCCTGTTTGATTTCAGGTTACTATGATCAAAATGTAATTTTCGCAAGGGTGTCAAGTTAAGTTCAAGAATGCAACCCTCTCAAGCCCTTGTGAAACCCTCAGGAGATCCTTTAGAATGCTTTGTGTGAAATTCGGAAGGGAGCCCTCTTCTTATAACATGTAAAAGCCATATGAAACCCGCCCCTGACCCCCCTCAGCTGCCTGAGCCCCCTGAACCAGCTGAACCTCCTGAACCCTAAACCCTGAACCCTGAACCCTTACCCCTAAACCCCAAACCCTAAACCCTATGAACCTCCTGAACCCTTACCCCGAAACCCTAAACCCCTAGACCCTATGAACCTCCTGAACCCTTGCCCCTAAACCCCTAAACCCTAAACCCTATGAACCTCCTGAACCCTTACCCCTAAACCCTAAACCCCAAACCCTAAACCCTCTGAACCTCCTGAACCCTTACCCCTAAACCATGAACCCCTAAACGCCTAAACCCTCTGAACCTCCAAGCCCAACCCTCGACCCTTGCCCCTAAACCCACAAACCCCTAAACCCACAAACCCCTAAACCCTATGAACCTCCTGAACCCTAAGCTCTAAACCCTTACCCCTAAACCCCTAAACCCTATGTGGTGACTACTACACTTTAAAAAAACGCCCTCTGAACCTCCTGAACCCTAAACCCTAAACCCTAAACCCAATACCCAAAACCCTAAACCATTACTCCTAAACCCAAAACCCTAAACCCCTAAACCCTATGAACCTCCTGAACCCCTAAACCCTAAACCCTCTGAACCTCCTGAACCCTAAGCCCCAACCCATCGACCAGGCCTGGGAACCGCACAGCGATGGCTTTGCTCCTGGGCTTTGCCCTGGTGGCTGTCGCCCTCCTAGCGGGGAGGAGCAACCCATCTGAAAGGACTCAGGGTTTAGGGGCTTAAGGTTTTATGGTTTTGGGGCTTAGGGACTTAAGGTTTGAGGGTTTTGTGATTAGGGTTTTGAGGTTTTGGGGTTTTGGGATTTGGGATTTAGGGTATAGGGGCAGGGTTTCAGGCATTATAGTAGAAGCCTTATGCTTTACCTTAAAGGCATGAGCATGCTGATGTTCCAACTTTCTGGCTTCTACTATGAGGGTTTGGGAGTTTGGGGCGCAGGGTGTGGCGTTGGGCTCACAGCAACCCGTCGTAAAGGACTCTCTGAGACTTTTGGCAAAGTGCTGTTCTTTTAGGGCTGCAACCCATTTTCCTATGGAGCTGCAATTCGTCTGAAAGGACTTACACGATTTAAGCTCTGGGCTTTGGGGTTTAACGGTCTGGTGCAGACTTGGTGGTTTAGGCTTTCTCTTGGAAGAGTTCTTACGGTCCTACACGGCTTCAGATTGCCAGGTTCAGGTGTTTGTTGAATACGTCTTCGGGTGTAAAGTCTGACACCCAGGCAGGCCAAGACACTGCAATTCAGCCACGTGCCTTAAACCACTGTTAATTCTGTTCCTTCTACCGTCTGGTTCTTAGTAGGGAATGGGGGAATGGACTATGGCGACTATTGTTGGGAGTTAGATAGGGACTACTATAGAGATCCATTCCCCCATTCCCTACTAAGCACCAGACAGTCAATGGTTCAAGAAAGGCTTGGAGACAACGGCAGGCTCATGGGCCAGACAGAAGATTACGTGAACAAAGCCCAAACTGCTAAGATGCCTGCCGCTGTGAGTGAGAGAGCAACCCTAAACCCTAAACTCTGAACCCTACACCCTAAATCTGCGGCGTCCACGGCGCAACCAAAACAAGCATAACACTTGGGGTAGTTCTCTATGTTGGGGTCCCTGTTTAGAATCCCAAAATCAGGCGGGGTTTAGGGTTTAGGGTCACGCTTATAAAAAGGACCCCCAAAAAGGGACTCAAATCTAGAGAGCTATACCCACTTCCCCTGCCCTTTTGTTCTTTGCTCGTAGCTGGTCTCTGCTTGGACTGCCCCATCCCCCCAACAGGAACCGGAAAGTGTGTTTACTATAAAGGGGTATTTTTTTTTCGACTGTCACTTTTGAGGGCTCTTGCTCTCGCGCCAGCGCGGGCTTTTGCTCCTGCTCCTGCTGCATCTCTCGCTCTGGCTCTCGCTCCTGTGCCTGCTCTTCGTCTTGCTGTTGCTCCTGCTCTTCCTCCTGCTTTTTCTCTTACTCTTGCCCTTGCTTTGGCTTTACTCCAGCTCTTGCTCCTGCTCTTGCTCCGGGCCCCCCCTACTGCAAATTAGGTTAGGTTTCCTTTTGGAGGGCGTATTTTTTCAGTCCCTTTTTTTGGTACTTTTTGTATTTTTCGCTGGGGTCCCTTCGAATGCAGGGAAGGAAGGAAGGAAGGAATGAAGAATGAACGAAGGAAGGAAGGAAAGAAGCAAGGAAGGAAGGCACGAAGGAAAGAAGGAAGGAAGGAAGGAAGAAGGAACGAAGGAAGGAAGGAAGGAAGGTACCATGCTAGCATCCTGATTGGCTGCCCCCCTTAACCCCCCCCCCCCCCCCCCCCGCATATGATTTTGTTGTAAACCAGCGAGGCGAGCATCGTGATTGCGTTTGCAAGCTTGCGTGACAGCATAGGAGTCGTTTTTGAAACCCACCCTGCGTAATATGTGCATTTTTGAAACAATGCCATTCACCCTGCAAAAAATGTGTTTGCAAATGGGAAGCCTGTCCCGCACGTGCGAGAGTGGCAAGCTTGCTTGACAGCAAAAATGCGTTTTGTTTAAAACCAACCATGCGAGCATCCTGATTGGCTGCCCCCAATAACCCCCCCCCGCCCCCCATATGAGTTTGTTGTAAACCAGCCATGCGAGCATCGTGATTGCAAATGTGAGGGGGGGGGGGGGGGGGCTGCACCGCAACTACAACAACAACAACAACAACAACAACAACAACAACAACAACAACAACAACAACAACAACCACAACAACAACAACCACAACAACAACAACAACAACAACAACAACAACAACAACAACAACAACAACAACAACAACAACAACAACAACCAACAACAACAACAACAACAACAACAACAACAACAACAACAACAACAACAACAACAACAACAACAACAACAACAACAACAACAACAACAACAACAACAACAACAACAACAACAACAACAACAACAACAACAACAACAACAAAACAACAACAACAACAACAACAACAACAACAACAACAACAACAACAACAACAACAACAACAACAACAACAACAACAACAACAACAACAACCACAACCAAACAACAACAACAACAACAACAACAACAACAACAACAACAACAACAACAACAACAACAACAACAACAACAACAACAACAACAACAACAACAACAACAACAACAACAACAACAACAACAACAGCAACAGCAACAGCAGCAAGTGTAAATGACAGCCGCCAACGAGCAGTGAACACCGCGCCACAGCAGGAGACAGACGCAGCCAGCATCTTGTGCGGAAAAGGACAAAAGAACTGACCGAAATAAAACTCCACCCTTTTAACCTTTTAAAAGGCCGGCGTGCTTTCGAGAGGATTGGCCTCGGCTCGTTTTGATGTTTAGGTGGGTGTTTAGTAAGGGTGTGATTACTCATCGGTTGAAGTGTTTCAAAAGCCATCAAAAGCTGCAATTCCCTTTCCACCCTGCTCCAAAATCCTAAGCCCTAAAACCCGAAACTTCAATCCTAAGCCTTAAACGAACCCTAAAGCCCCCACCCCATACCTTCGACCCCTGCAGCCGCAAACCTTAAACTGGGCATTGGAGTGTTTGTTGGCGTACCTGGAACTTAAAAGGAGCCATTATGAAATCTGTATGTTTTTTTCTTCCTGGTTACGTCTAGGCCCAATAAACACCAAAGCCTAAGCTCAAGAACCCTAGATCCCTAGAACCCCAAAATCCAAAAGCCCTAAACCCTAAATATCAACGCTAAATCCTAAGCCCCTAAACCCTTAAACCCTGAACCCTATACCTGCCCCCCAAATACCCTCTAATATACCCCAAATACCCACTATTAAGGGCCATAAGGGCTCTATTAAAGGGCCTTTGGGGGGGGTCCTGGTAGATCCCTTAAAGATTCCCCAGTTTTTTGTTTTTTGGACCCCCAAAGCCCCCGAGGCTTGGAGACGAAGCTACTAAGTCCCCCAAACCGCAACCCCTTAAAAAGGAACCCATAAAGGAACCCAGAAACCCTAAACCTAGATCGGATAACCCTACCAGCATAGAAGCTCTAAAGGAACCCGAACCCCCTACAAAGGAGCCCATTAACCCTCAAAGCCCCTAAACCCTAAACACAAAACCCTAAACCCCAAACCCCAAACCCTAATCCCTAAACCCCAAACCCTAATCCCTAAACCCCAAACCCCAAACCCTAAACCCCAAACCCTAAACCCTAAACCGCCCAAGGCCTGGAGCCCAAGTTGCTGCACTCTGCGCCGGTGGGCCTCCAGGTCCTTAGGGCTCTGGCCTTGGCTTGCGCTCTTCTCCCCGTCTTTGCAGGACTCCCGGGGTTTTGGGTCCTTAAGGGGATCGAAAGGCTTCCTTAGAGGGATCTATAGGGAATTAGGGTTTAGGGGTTTAGGCTTACGCTCTTTCCCTATCTTGGCATCTTGGGAGGGCTCCTGGGGGTTTCAGATCTATAAGGGCTCCTTTAAGGGATCCTACGAAGAATCTATAGGGTTTAGGGCTTTGGGCTTGCGCTCTTCTCTCCATCTTGGGAGGACTGCTGGGCTTTGAGGGTTTAGGGAGCTTTGGGGGTTTAGGGAGCTTTGGGGGTTTAGGGAGCTTTGGGGGTTTAGGGAGCTTTGGGGGTTTAGGGGGTTTGTCCCTTAAACCCTAAACCCCTCAACACCCCCAACCCCAAAAGTGCAGACCCCTAAATCCAACAGAAAGAAGCTCCCAGGAGTGGTCGAAGGAATCTTTGGACCAGCCTGGTTCGCATCACTTCTGGTCTTCTTGGCACTGGTAGGCTTGGCTATCGAGCACCTTGGCAAGTTGTTCTCGGGCTTAAGGGTTTCGGGGTATAGGGTTTAGGGATTAGGGGCTTTTGTGACAGGTTGTCAGAACGGAGCCAAGCGTGTTAATTTGAAAGGGCCTTCGGTTTTGATCTAACTGTTTGAGGCCCTTCCTGATGCTAGACTAGGAGCAAAACATCAGTTTCAAAGTAGACCTCAAGAGGAGCCCACCTAAACCCAAACTCCCAGACCCCGGAACCCTACACTGCAAGCTTTAAACCTTCAAACCCTACAGCCTACATGCCCAACACCTAAGGCACTGGATGTGGCGGCGACAGGGGCTGGTGGAGATGCCTGCGTTTACTGGGCTGCTCTTGTGGATGGCCTGCAGTGCCCTCGTGATCTTGGGCCATTGAAAGTGGGGATTGAGGCTTCGGGGTTTTGGGGGTTTAGGGGTTGAGGGCTTGGGGGTTCAGGGGTTCGGGGGCTGAGGGTTCAGGGTTTGGTGGTTGAGGTTGAGGTGTTTAGGGTTGAGAGTCTGCGTGTAAGGGGTTGAGGGGTTTAGGGGTTGAGGGTTTTTGTTTGAGGGGTTCAGCGGAGTTGGGGGGTTTGGGGCTTAAAGGCCTAGACGGCTTTGGGTGAAGTGGTTAATTACGGGGTTCAGGGTTTTAGGGAGTGGGAGGGTTTGGGAGGGTTTAGGGGTTCGGGGGGCCTGTGGGATGTGGGTTTACGGTTTCAGGGTTTAGGGGTTGACGATTTCAAGTTTAGGATTTGGAGGGCTTGGGCGAAAGATTCCCCTGGTAACCATACAGTGTTCCCTGCTTCAGGGTAAAAGGATCATGTCGCTGTTTGTGCGAAGCATCCCAACAGGCGCGCACGGCTGTTCCGCGGCTCCGGCTGTGGTGCGGTTCACATTTCGATATTTTGTTGAAAACATCGCATCCCGTGGGACGCCGAGTTGACTGCAATACGCAATACGTTGGCTTGGTCCTAGTTTAGTTAGTGCATCGAACTCCCAACAAATGTCGTCCAGATTTCATGGCGTTCTGAAATGTAAATCATGCTCCGGCTACAGTCCCGTGCAGTTCTTTGACAATCTCTTGAAGTTCGTAAAGTAGAGGCAAACACACCCTGTTCGACTCCCCACGTCTCGTCGGCAGGATGTTGCGAGCTCCTGCCATTCTTAAGGGTTTGGATTGTTTTCTCGAAGTTTGTAATCGTGCTCCGCCACAGTGCCGGGTGTGTTTTGGGATGTGACTCGAGCCCCAGCCACAGAGTTGCTGGCATACTGGAGGTGGTGTCAGGCGGAACCTTTGTAGCTAGGTTGGATTGTTGGATGGTCTTTCATTGTTCGCGGTCTACGCTTTCGTAAGTCTTCAGTTTTGTACAGTTTCAAAAAAGGATCAAACAAGGTAACGGCGCATGTAATGTGCCTTGTGTTTTTGCATATAGCTTACTGTTGCACGTCGCCAAAACCCAGGGAAAAAGCCCTATTTATAGCAAAGCACATCAAGCAGAAGGGTCAACAAACCCGAACAGAACATGCTTTTTGAGGTTTACAGTGCTAAACACAGTTGGCGGCAGTGTTGTCGTGCAGACTCCCAACGAAACTTTGTGTCAGGCCTTACACTTCCTGCAGAGGCCGGCCAAGGATTTATACGGTTTAGGGTTTAGGGTTTACGCGTCTTGTTCCACTACTTGCACTGTATGTTGTACAAATGAGCAAAAACCGCTGTCGACGCCAGTGTTTTGGGCATGGTCGCCAAAAGCATGGATGCTTGTGACAACGTGTCTTGCTCCACATCCTTGTGCAGTATGTTGTACAAAGAAGCAAAAACGCTGTAGATACCAGTGTTTTGAGCATGGTCGCCAAAGGCAGTGACATGAACAAATCCAAAACTAGCCTGAACGCACGGCGCGTTAGGGCTCAGGGTCGCCGTCACCTCAAACAATGCCCCCGAAGCTACCTAGACCCTAAATCCTAAACCCTAAAGGGCTCCACCTAAAACCGCAATCCCAAGCAGCCCAGGATCAGCTTCATGCTTGTACTTGACACGGCAGATCTTCGAGATCCTAGGTTCTTGTTAGCGAGTGTAATTTAAGTTACAATAATAGGGGTCTAGAGTGTTTAATTAATTTAATACGGTTTCGTTATTATAGTAGCTTACATTAAATCCCTTGACAAGAACTCAGGATCGTCACCCGCAGCTGACAATGCTGGGCCTGGACAAAGGGGAGAGCAGCCAGGTTGCACGCGTGAGGCTCTTCTTTGGGTTCAACGAGGGTTCGATAAGGCTCAAGGGTTCTATTAGGGTTTAGGGTGCAAGCTCGAGGGTTTACCCAGAGACTCCAATATCCCTTAATTAGGGAATATTCCCTAAATTATGGTAAGATTCCCAATATGATTTAAGGAATATTCCTTAATTAAGGGATATTGGAGTCTCTGGGTAGGGTCAAGGATGGTGGTAAATTCCTCTTTTTGGTGTCTTGGAGAGGAACCCCATTATCGATCATGTGGGGTCCATTCACCTGCCACCTTGTTGTGTTTTAGCAGTATTTTAGTTGCGATATGTTTGCGTTGTGGTGCCCGAAATTGAAGACACAGCCTCGTCAGTTTCTATCAGGCAGTCCGGTGTGACAAGTGAGAATATGAGTGGAAATATGGCACAGAGGGTTTACAACATGCTTGCAGATTGTGTTTCGGTTGACAAAGCATCCATGACATCTCTCCGAATCGCGGCAATGAAGATGCATGTGAGAAGCTGCTGCAAGTGCGTCACCCGTGCAGCTAAGTTGTTGAAGGTCGTACGAATATGTTTCGTTGCATGGATGCTTTAGCCAAAGGATGCACTGCTCATCTCGCCTATGAAGAAGAAAGAACAACCCAGTGTCCTGCTTTGTCATTTTCGGCCTCGACAAAATATAGAAAATAGAAGCCTGAATCATTAGCATCATGTTACTCCTTGGGATCGTTACTGCAACTCTGTACATTATAGTGTACCACAAACCCCTGTTCAAACTGTAAATTTAAGTAAATTAAGGCCCCAAACTGCAACACAGCGCAGGAACCACGACAGCAAACACGAAGGACAGACCCAAACACAACACATAGCACTTTGAAAGCTCGCAGAACACGTGTGTGGCAGACCAAGAGCAAAACGGATCCCGAGGGTATGTTGGCTGCTTGTCTTAAGTACGTTATAGGTTCTAGTTTAATAGAACTCCATATAGGCCAGAGAAAAGTGTCGGCAGACGTTATACAAACATATGAACCTTTACAAGGGCTTGTGCAGCCCAGGCAGGTGGTTCTGCATTCTGGTCTTGGCCACCCAGCCCGTCGTGATCGTCGCTGCCACAGCGTGGCAAGCAAAGGTGCGAAAGAACGCCCCGCGTCGCCCTCTGTCACGAGGGTTTCTGGGTTCTTGTTGAGAAGTATGTTTCGGTTGCCACATAGGGACCTATGGTAAGTACTACGGTTTCCTCAGTATGTTAATCCAAACTCCCCAACAAGAACGCAGGCTTCTCTACACCGAGCCTGACGGCCGTGACAATTTCAACTACTGGCCGCACTACCGATGCATGCAGAGGTGTGGGTGCCGGGCCGTTTCCGGCTGTTTCGAAAGAATGCGCAGATTGCTCAAGAGCTGGGAAGGCCGCCACTGGATCATGGTCGTGACTATGCCCTTTGCGACAGTAGTTTTTGATTCTGGAAGGTTTACGGTTCAGGATTTCGGTTTCGGGCCTAGCCGAGAGTGCAGAGATTCTAGTATAGCATACTCGTACCAAGAAGCGAAGAAGCGTTGTGTTTCAAGAGGCCTGCAAGAATGGACCAGGTGAATGCCAGCATCAGTGCCACAGTGTGCTTGTATCAATACGTGCAATCGAACAGCGGCCCGCGAGAGTCCGTGCTGGCTGTGGTGCTTTGCTTTGGGCTGCTGTCAATGTTTACAGGTATCTTAGCTTTGTCATCTGACGCTTTGCGGCTGCCAGAGAAGCTGGATCGGCACTTTCGCTGGAGCGTCCTGTGGAAAGTCGATATGCTGGCCTTCAAGGTGGTATTGCTGGCCATACCGCAAGCCAGCTCAGTGGTGCAGATGGACTCCATCTTGAGCTGTGGTTTCGATGCTTTCTGTCCTAGTGACTGCGTGAGTCAAGATGGATACTGCACACGCTTTGGCAATTCTGGCAGTCCGGTGTGCAAGTGCAGCATGCCGGAGGTGAATTGGGCCGTGTCTGGGTTCTTGTTAAGGAGTTTCAGTTATATAGTATTCTGAAGCAAATGATGTTGTTTCCTTATTAGGGTATCTTAAACCACAAGAACCCAGGTGTACATCCTGACTGCCATCACCAGCTTTCTTCTCTGCATGCTCACGTTGATACTCGGATGACCGTGAGGTCAGATGATCCAAAAATAAGTCATCCAACCCTACGGTCCATGACATAAATCCTGCATCACTAGTAATAAGGAATATTCCGCAATTCCCATGGTCTGGGGTCATTAACGTAATGCAGGATTTTTATCAGCAACCCTCTAACTTTGTAATCCTTCTCTTTCCAAGTGCAAGAAGACGTCCGTGATCATTCTGCCGTTGGGTTATGGCACAGAGACTATCAAAACCCGAGTACCGGCAGAAGTTATGATTCACGGTTTGGGCGGACCCTAAACCCTAAAACCTTACATCTAGAATTGGGTGTAGTTTACTGCTCGGGTGTATCTGTAGCATGCCCTCTCAAACCACTGCGGCCTATTGTCAGTGACTTGCAAGATTAGGGTTTAGGGTTTCGGGTGCTGGGTTCTTGTTACGGAATTTAGTTGCAGTTGCCACTAAATAATCTGGTTTGCTTAGTCTGGCAACTTAAATTAAACCCCTGAACAGAAACAAAAAAAACGGCCCTCAAGCCGTGAGCCCCAACATTTGGGTTATAAGTAGATCAAGCTATAGTTACCTTACCTATAACCCTACTTACTACCCTAAACCCTACACCCTCAACCCTAAACCCTAAACCCATGATCCTGCAAGCAGGCCGGCCCATGAAGCTCAGACCACGAGAATGGCCCACACTCAGTAATAGTTGAATGAGATTCATCCTATAGAGATATTAGGACCTTAATAGTAGCCCTATTATAGACTCTTACTGTAAGGTGGCAGTACCTAAGTCATGCCCCTTAATGCAATTAATCTAGGGGCTTAAATAGTCAGAATAGGGTTCGGGGTTAGGTATACTACAGTGGTAATACGGCACCCCCAAAACCCTATTCTGATCATTAAGGCCCCTACATTAATCTGATCCGGAATGATGAGAAACGCAGGAGAATTATGAGTTCTCTTGGGAGCGTGCAGAATAGAAGCATTAGAAGCAGCAGAAGCAAAAGCAGCCATGCAAGATTGCTAGGCGGAGTCGTGGAGTTGTGGGTGTGTCGCCGGTGGCGCCTGTCGTGGGAACAGTGGCTAGTGGTCGTAGTAGTGGTAGTAGTCGTAGTAGTGGTCGTAGTAGTAGTAGTAGTAGTAGTAGTAGTAGTAGTAGTAGTAGTAGTAGTAGTAGTAGTAGTAGTAGTAGCAGTATTAGTAGTAGTAGTAGTAGTAGTAGTAGTAGTAGTAGTAGTAGTAGTAGTAGTAGTAGTAGTAGTAGTAGTGGTGTCTGTGGTGTTGGAGCAGGACGATGAGAAGTAGAAGAAGTGGGAGGAAGAGGAGGAGGAGATGCGAGAAGACTGATTGCGACAGCAATGATGACTGTGACACTGGTAAGATGGACCAGGATAGAATAGATGATGATAATCATAAGGATGGCAGTTCCTGTGGGATCTGCGACGACGGTCCTAGCAATAATTGAGTACCCCAAACCGTCAACCCCAAGCACTAAGCCAGCTGCGAACTTCAAGCCCTAAACCCTGAACCTTGAACCTTGAGCCGCAAGCTCACCCCTTAACTTCCCTAAACTTTCAAAAAGGAACCCCAAACTTCAAAGTGCAAGAAGCAACCGTCTAGGAGCGACCTGGCTGCCTTCTGGTCAGCCCGCCTCACACCTTGGCGTGAATCCGGGTTACGCCGTCTCAGAGGCCCAGAACTGTCGACCCAATGGAGGGATAGGGGTTCAGGGTTTAGGATTTACAGGTTTAGGGTTTTTAGAGGCCCTGAACTCTCGACCCAAAGGGCGGTTTAGGGTTCCTTTTTAGGGTGCCTTCGAGGGATCCTTCTGGGATCCTTTAAGGGGCTAGTTGGTTCAGGGTTTTAGGGTGGTGAAGGGTTTAAGCTAGGGGTGAGGGTTGGGTGAGGGTTTGAGGGTTTGGAGTTGAGGGTGAGGGTTTAGGGTTTGGAGTTTAGGGGTCAGACTGAGAGTTCAGGGTTTAGGGACGTAAGGAACCCCGAACCCCATGTCCTACACCTTAAACCCTAAGTACCTGGGAGTCACCTCCGGTTTCAGAGAATTGATACTGCGGCCCTGTCGAAGGAGAGTTAAGCTCAGTAGAGGGTTCAGGGTTTAGGGGTTCAGGGTTTAGGGTGGGTACATGACTTCCTATAAACACCCAAAGTCAACTTTTATAAGGTTTGAGACTTGCCAGGGCCGCAACGATTTTCGGGTCTTAGCCGAACGATCCCCGACAGAACTCTGACAAGGGCCTTCAGCCCATACATACTGATGCTGCTTCCACGCTGCAACAGTTGGATAATATTTATACTATTTTTTACATAGGCATATACATGGACCCCCAATATAGACTGTTACAGGGTGGGGTAGTGCCCAAGAACACTGGAACGTTTTGGGTTGGGCGGGCACAATAGGGGCCGAAATAGTTCCCATAACTATCTGCAGGGTTCCTTATTCTATCGCGACAGCTAGCGTAGCGAAGCTTTCGTGTCTATCTGCATTCCAAGAGCCCAATACCCCTTAATAAAGGAATATAACTTAAATCATGGCATGAAGCCTTATATAATCTTAGCCATACGCATTAATTCCCTTATAGAACCCTTACAGATCTCTTTAAGGAACCTCTAGGCCTTAAGCCATATTCCCTAATTAAGGGTTATTGGGCTCTCTCTGGGCCGGGATCGCCGGCCCAGACGCAAATCCTCATGCGGTTCTGGTTGCATGTGTTCATAGGGACCCTTATGGGGGCAGGCGTTTGGGGTTTAGGGTTTAGGGTTTAGGTAGGGGGAGGGGGGTAGGGGACTATACTTCTTGAACTAGGCCTTATTAAGTCCTTATTATAGGTATTAATCGGTATTAAGGCCCCCTACCCCCCGAAGGGTCTTTATCTTTATGATTTGTGGATGCCTGAGGCCCACCTCGGCCCTAATCTAGGAACCTGATTAAGAAACCCTGGCCCTGTAACTCAAATATACAAGAATACATAGAAAGAACCTTAAAAAGGACCCAGGTTTCTTAATCAGGTTCCTGCATTAGATCTTGAACCGTAAACCCAGATTTGTTTCTGCTGCATTGCTCATCGCTCGCCTCGTCAGCTCTGTTTGCCTTCCGTTGCTGATGTGGTTGGATGTGATGATGCTTGGAGCCCGCCTCGCCAGCTCTGTGTCGCTTGCCGCCCCTCCAGCCTACTTGGAGGGTCGGGGGACTTAGTATCTGGTTATTGTAGGGACTTATAAGTACCATAACCCCAATTAGGGTCCCTTTTAGGGTACTTATAAGTCTACTTACTACCTACTTACTAAGTCCCAGTCTAGCTTTCGTTCCCCTGGCCCAGCCCCTCAAGTTTCTGGTGTTTCTGTGTGTCAGGGCTCCGTCTCTTCGACCCCCAATACCCAACCTTTAAACTTTCCGTGCTCTTATAGTTTGGTAGGCATCGGAAAGTTTAACCTTCTATTTCTGTGGCTTGTTGGGGTAGTACTTAGAGGATCATGGGACTTAGTAAATGGGTTATAAGTAAGGCAACTATAGTTATATCTACTTATAACCCCGATTAAGGTACAAAGAACAATATTGTCTAAGTCCCATGATCCTCTAAGTAAGTTCTCCCGAGTTCCAAGAAGGTGCCTTGGGATTGGTCGGAGCAGCTGGTGTCTGGGCAAAGAGTAAGCCAGAGAGCCCAATACCCTTTAATTAAGGAATTTGGCTTAAGGCTTATAGGGGTTCCTGAAAGGGCTCCTTAAAGGGATCTATAAGGGTTCGATAAAGGAATTAAGGCGTATGGCTAAAAGTATATGAGGCTTCATATTATGATTTAAGCTATATTCCTTAATCAAGGGGTATTGGGCTCTCTGGGTAAGTAGGCAATCAGTAGAAGTTATAGGGACGCAATAGGGGATCCTAATTAGGTTTGTGATACTTATAAATCGAGCCCTATAACCCTAAACCCAGATCGTCCTTGAGTTTCGGGTTTGAAGGCACAGGCCCAGAGCGCCCAATAGCCCTTAACCAAGGAATATGGCTTAAGATATAAAGGGCTTCATGTTATGATTTAAGCTATATTCCTTAATTGAGGGGTATTGGGCTCTCTGGGGGGTTTCAAGGTTTAGGGTTTAGCGTTGAGGGTTGTTGGGTTAGGGTGGAGCGTTTAGGGACTTCAGGCTCTGGAGGCTTTGGGAATGGATCTTTCGATTTTTGTACGGACTCCATGAGAAGACAGGGTTTGGGGCAGTTTAGGGTTTAGGGTTTAGGGGTACGGACTCCATAAGAAGACAGGGTTTAGGGTTTAGTGATGTAGGATTTGGGCCATTTGGGGTTTAGGGTTCGGGCGCAGTGATTACAAAGTCCCTTTAGAAAGTTGTCGAGATTTGTCTCAAGGAATCTTCACAGTTTTTGGATCGTTGTGATCTACGACAACCTTACACAACCCTATTGAAATTTCTTATTCAAGTTCTAGAAAAACCCTATGGTTGAAACTACACAACCTATAAAACCTAATTCAAGCTCTAGAAAACCACCCTGTAGCAATTTTGATTTCAGGCCTTAAAACCCGACCCTTTAGAGGACCCTAAACCTTAAGAAGTACCCTGGTAGATCCCTGTAAAAGTAAACTCTAAAAGTACCCTTATACAAATAGAGTCTTTTAAGGCCTTAATTTATACCGGATCTCAGAGAATCGAGCCCCAAACCCTGAACCCTAAACCCTAACCCCAAACCCAGAGAATCGAGCTCTAAACCCTAAGCCCTTAACCCCAAACCCAGAGAATCGAGCTCTAAACCCTAAGCCCTTAACCCAGAGAATCGAGCCTAACCCCTAAACCCTAAACCCAGAGAATCGAGGTCTAAACCCTAAACCACCTAAATCCTAACCCTCGACCCTAAACCCTAAACCCAGAGAGTCGAGCTCAGGAGTGAACCTCACAAGCCTCTTCTTCGCGCTGCTGGTCTCCGTGGCGCCGGCGGATGCTCGGGGGAAGCGGGGTTCGATTTCTTTAGGGCTTGGGGTTTAGGGGTTTGGGGCTTAGGGTTTAGGGGTTTAGGGGTTTGGGGCTTAGGGTTTCGGGGTTTAGGGTTTAGGGTTTTGAGGTTTTGGGGCGTAGGGTTTAGGACATCTCATGATGCTCCTCTCGTGAAGAACACCATGAAAGCCCTGGACCTTGAGAAACCCCATAAGCCTCACCAGCACGCCTGTTAAAGACCTTAATAAAAGCACCATCAAATCCTCTACAACCGCCCAGAGAGCCCAATGCCCCTTAAAAAAGAACATAGCTTAAGTCACAATATGAAGCCCATGATATTTTAAGCCATATTCCTTGATGAAGGGGTATTGGGCTCTCTGGGCCTCTCAAGTGACACAAGCGTCAGTCTCCTGCACAAGCCCAGGAAACCCCAAGCTCGTATCAACCCCCCAAGGGCCACCTTGGGCTCCCCAAACCCTAAACCCTAAACCCGTAAACCCTAAACCCTAAACCCTAAACACCAAACCGCCAAACTCAAAGACTCCAAAGACCCTTAGTTCAGGAATATACCTTAAATCATATTAGGGCTCCTATTGGGGAGTTTCCGCAAGTAGGGGACCCTAATATGGCACCCGAAATAGTAGGATCCTTGCTGTAAGGACCTCCAATATAAGGTACCCCTCATTTTCGGAAACTCCCATGTTTTGTTTAGGGATACTCCTTAAATTAGGGATTTTGGAGTTTGCGGGAACCCTTAACCCCAAACCCTTAGCCTTAGCCCTAGACCCAAGACCCCGGACCCCAGGAATGCTACCTCCTCGACCTGTCCACCGTGGCTCCGCAGAGTTTATGTTTGGTTTTAGTTAGGCGTACTTGGAAGTCATTCTAATTTTCGGTTACTATATAATCCTTAAGAGACAGCTATTTTTCGCAAGGGTGCCAAGTTCAGTAAAGTTCAGGAGTCGATCAGTGTTAAAGGTGCCTGGTGTTGAAATTGTCTTTAAGGGGTAGACCCTAAACCCTTAAACCCTAAACCCTTAAACCCTAAACCCTTAAACCCTAAACCCTAGACCCTAAACCCCTAAACCCTAAATCCTAAAACCCCTAAATCCTAAGCCCTAAAGATCTGTTTGGATGGTTTGTGGTTTGTTTAGGGGCTTGCGGTGTGATGTTTTTCATGGAAATTTAGGGACTTGCGAGCGGTTTTTCGGGTCTTTCTGGTTTAGGGCCGTTGGGTTTTTCAGGCGAGACCCTAAACCCTAAACCCTGGCTCAAGCCCCAAGGCTCAAGCCCTCAAGCTCTTAGAGGCCTCCCAGGGCGCCGTCCTCCAGGGGCAGCCACCGTCATGTCAGGGCGCTCGCGTGCCGCGGCACACACAGATCTCGGCGCTGATCTACTCGATCTACATGCCGGCAATGCCACGCGACCCAAAGCAGCAGGACCGGCACATGTACCTGTACCAGCTCACTTCGACCCCGACCTCGACGGCACCCGGCCCATAGCAGAAGGAGACATGGCGGTCGACAGCACCGGGGCCTACTCGGCGGGCAAGCGACCCGGGCCGGGGGTGACCAACAGCCCTTCCCCCACTCGCCCACGAGGCGAAGCACGTGGCATCTCCCTCGAAGACATCCGCGAGCTGCTGAACGCGCAGACCCAGCAACTCCAAGATAGCCACGCCCAGGACCTCCAGGATTTGAAGACCGCTACCTTTAAGGAACTTGGACACCTAAAAAAGGACGTGCGTAAGCAAGGAGACCACATCGAACAACTCCGTGACCAGCAAGATCGAATGGAAAGCCGCCTCCGCGCGTTGGAAGACAAGGACCACTTGCCCTCCACGACCGCCTCCGACCCGGGACGACCTAACCTCCTGATCCTCGCAGGTTGGCCGCAAGACACTCCCAAGACGGACCTGATCAATGAACTTACCCAGTGTCTTCAGGAACTCGGACTGTCGGATGCATTTGAGGACATATTCTGCACCGGCCCCCGCAGGGGGTTCGCCATGGCCTTCCTGAAAATGGATCCAACGGAGTCAGGAAGCCAACTTAAAAGGAGGATGATCCAGATCGCGCAGACCATCCAACGGGCAGCAGTCCGTGGAAGCAGCATGGAGCCGGGGAAGACTCTCCGTGCCACACTCGGAAAGAGCCGCGAAGAGCGCCTGATCAGCAACCACACGGGCAAGACGAAGAGGCTCATCCTTACCATTAACTCAGCCTTGAAACCCTACCTGGAGACAGAGTACGCCGCAGGGAATGTCTGGTGCAAAGACCACCTGATTGCATCGGCTACAAGACCCCCGCCGCATCCCCAGTGTAAGCAAGGCCGAGCACCACGGAGCTGGATTGACCTCCAGACCCTCAGCACAATGCTGCGCGCATCAGTGGATCAGCTCGACCAACAGTGGACCGAGCTCATGACGTACTGAGAAGACACAGACGAAGCTGAGCCGAAATTGGTCGAAGACCCATGCAGGCGACCTACTCGGTCACACATGCAACCTAATTCGAGCACGCAGGAGAGAACACCTCTTCAACATGCGGCGGAACGGCCTGTGGACACACCTCCCCAGGCTACACCAACCCTCATTTTGCCTGGCGCGGCTGCTAGCTCTACAACAGCCGAGCAGGGACCGATTCAAAGCGAACTGCCCCCTTGCAACGCAGGAGCCGAGATGGCAAGTGCAAACTCCACACTAAACAATCCACCTGGCAAAGCCACCTACGAGCCAGTTTCCTTGTTCAGCTGGAACATCGGGGGAACCAGCGTCCAAGACGCTTTGAAGTCTACCCGACTTTCGGCGGAGAGAAAAGTAGACATCTTCGCCATCCAGGAAATGCCGCGCAGGCCAGTGGGATGGCACAGCGACACCATTGACGACATGGCCGTGGTGCAGTACCGGCACGATGAAACGCAATGGCATGCCATAGCATACTCGGCAGCTTTCCAGGTCATACGGCGACGAGGAGGAAAGCATGGCATCTGGCTTAGACTGAGGCACCTACCAACTGGCAACGAGTTCTGGGCCGGCAGCCTCAGACTCAGCACAGGAGTCACGAGCGATGTCACGGCCGAAGAAATCCAGAGCATGTGCTCACTTCTGCCTGCCACGCTGTTGCCGGTAGTCCTACTAGGAGACTGGAACACGCAGCTGAAATGGAGTAGGGTCTCAGGAACGAAAGCCGACCTTCGGCCGATCGAAGCAAGATCGGAGTACCTAGTGTCGCAACTAGGCAGCTGCGGAATGCAAATGCAGGCCCCCAGCCCTGCACAGTGGGATGCACCCACCAGCCGACCGAGGCGCGCGAGAGCGCGGGGCAGGCAGATCGACGGAGTAGCCTACAAACAAGTCAGGGTGGACCCCGTGAGCATACATGTTGACAGCTACAAACAGATAGTCAAGGGCGATCATGAACGCATCTCGACCCAGCTCCTGCTACGCGTAGGGGAAAGGCCGCCGCCTTAGAGGACACCCACGCAACCAAGGATCGTAGTGAAGCAACCGCCTCAGGCAGACTATCTAGACCAGGAGACGATAGGTCGCCTCGCAGTAGAATGCACAAAGCCCAAGCCCAGTGCGAGATACAGGGACCCGCCGGATGTCAGGAAGCTGTACCAGATTGCTAAGCATCTAGGCACGGAAGACGACTGGAAACGCGCACATAAGGCCAGAAGGAGAGCACAGATAGCATGGCGAACTGCTAAGACCGAAAAAGCTGCAGCATGCCACTGGCAGGACTTCAGAGACCTCAAAACCAAGGGTGGGTCAGAGTGGACAGTGCACTACGTCCAGGCTGCAGAAGAACAAGGCAAGGACCCCATGCGGTGGACCATTACCCACTTCAGGAACCTCTTCCAAGCACCGGAGCCCCGGGACCCTCCGAGGTGGACTAAGGACATCGATACAGGAGAACACTTCAGTAAGGACGAGCTGAGACATGCCCTCCAGCGGGGTCGCCGAAACAAAGCAGTCGGAGAAGACCTTGTCTCCTTCGAGCTCATCAGTGCACTATGCGAAGACCCACCACAGAGGAAGCCTTCCTGCAATGGATGGAGCGACTAAGGTGCGGCGAGGAACTGCCCACAGAGTGGCTACGGACACTCGTCACCCTACTGCCGAAGACGGAACAACCCAGAGGACCGGGTGACCTTCGCCCCATTAGCGTCGGCGCCGCAGCGTCAACAATTTTCGGTACCATGCTGCTCATGCGCACACGGCGCTACCTGACCCCGCTTGGCCCCGCTCAGTGCGCCCACAACGGGCGCCAAACCTGCGACTACTTGTTCTCTGCCGTCAAGCTCTTCACCTTAGATACAGAGTGGCACTTGGGCCTCTGCTGGTGCAAGCTCGATATCAGGAAGGCCTTTGACACATTGGCGCGAGACAAGACATTGGGCATACTACGGGATCGCCTACCTCCTCACATGTTCCAGGAGTACCGCTGCTGGGAAAGACTCTTTTACCAGGGTACAGCCGTCCTCAAGACCCCGTGGGGAGACGCCGAGGTACCCCAAGGCCGCGGTATCCGGCAAGGCGCAGTGGAGAGCCCTTTCCTCTTTGCTATCGCCATATAGAGACGGCCCTCTATGATGCAATGAAACAGCAATCCTGGCCGAAGACCATTCCAGCAGCTCCACAGCTCCCCATTGCAGAATTACTGTTCATGGACGATACGCTACTCGCGGCCTCGTCCCGGGAAACTATGGTCCAGAAGTACAACCTGCTCCGCCTTGAACTTGGGAAGTGGGGTTTGCAAGTCAACCCGGAGAAGACAGCTTACTACTGCTCACCACACTCGACGACCAGAGGGCCTATCCAGCTCGAAGACACGGTGATCCACGAAAGCGATAACCTCCTCGTCTTTGGCATACCCCTCAGCGTGCCTTTTAGACCAACTGCTATCATGGATACAGCCATGTCGAAGGCCACTAGGAAATTTTATGCCAATAAGCATGTCTTCCTGGCAGAGGCACCCCTCAAGAGTAAACTCAAGATGTTCCGATCTGTGGTAGGAGGAAGTTTGCTGTGGTACAGCTCAGCTGTCTCCCCGAACGCACAAGCCATGAGCAGCATCAATGCACTACAGTGCGAACTAGTAGCCAAAATGGCAGGCTTCCGACGAAAGACTGAGGAGACCTGGCTCGACTGGCGACTAAGGTCACTGAGAGCAGCACGCAACATCCTGCACACACATGGTGTAGACAGATGGTCGACATGTTGGCTCAAACGCTTCTGGGCCTATAAAGGCCACATTGCACGAGCACTCAGGCGAGAGGCCCCACCAGCGAGCTCCCACCTGGACTCCTACAGGACCCTCACATGGTGGAGAGAGCAACAACGGCTCACAGACGGCATTTCCCACAAGGGCAGCTTTTACCCTTACCACACTAAGGAAGAAGAGTCCCTCAACCAGAGTTGCAACTCAGCAGATTGGAGACTAGTGGCTCAAGACCCCGCAACATGGAAACAACACGAGGCCACATGGGTCGCCCGAATGGACGTCCAATGGGCCTCAGGCAGACAACAAGCATTACCATCTATGTAACAGTGAATGTACAGCATGCCAATCATTACCGTTTGACCCTCTGGTCGCCGAGGTGAAGCCCCGGCTGAGCGACGACCCGAGTACCGAAACGTTAAAAGGCCCACTGTATCCCCCTAAAAGCCTCTCACACCATGCATGCATCCGCAGTGTTTTTCTTTGGAACCCGATTTGGAACACGCAGGCCCCTGTAAGCCCGGCCTTTTCATGACCATGGGCATCGACCCCATCGTGACGATCCTGCTCTATGCCCACATTGCTGCCAGTCTCAACCCAGAGCCCAACGGCAAGTATGCGATGACCAACGGCAGCATCCACCTAGGTGGAAACAAATTCGAAGCCGCTGGTGAGCGGCCGCTCGAGCCTGCCCGACAGCGGCCGAGTGAACTCAACAAGGACCCGCAAGCGGCAAGCTCCTGGCACTACGAACTGCCACAACCGGGACTACCCGAACATCAGCCGCAAGATCCTCGCCCAGAACACCGTCAAGACCCTGCATACCTGCAACGGCACGTCCCGGCACAGCCCCTACGTCAAGATCACCATGGGGCAACTACGGCAGCACAGCCTCAACCTGCCGTGCACGGCCCCCATAATACCGCTGACCGCAACGGCAACCTCGGCACCGAGATCAACATCACCATGACAGAGAGTGGCGGACAGGCACCTAAACTTGAACCGCCGGAGCACCCGCCGCAAGATCTGCGCCGTCTTCGAGCTCGAGACCCTGTCCATCACCCGCGGCGTGACCCTGCACAGCCTCCACTACCTGACCGCCGGCCCCTACCGGAAGGAAAAGCACAGCGACGAGACTCAACCGACGAGAAGGCAACAGAGGAACACATGCAGAAGGCCATGGGAGATGGCACTACGGGCATTGAGACCAAAAGAATCGAGACAGGACAAGACGAGGCCTCGAACTACGACCCGGAACTACCTGTACCTTCGCCGCAAGATCCAGGCCGCCTCCGACCTCCTCCCCCCGGACACCGCCCAGGGCGCGATCCAGCACAACGTCTACTACACGAGCACCGACCCCAACCAGGGCCTCAGCACCTGTTACCGGGGGAAAAACCACAGCGACGAGACACAACCGACGAGAAGGCAGCAGAGGAACACATGCAGAGAGCCATGGGAGATGGCACTACTGGCAGCGAGACCAAAAGAATCGAGACAGGACAAGAAGAGGCATCGAACTACGACCCGGAACTACCTGTACCTTCGCCGCAAGACCCAGGCCGCCACCGACCTCCTTCCCCCGGACACCGTCCCGGGCGCGATCCTGCACAGAGTCTACGGCACGATCACCGACTCCAACCAGGGTCAGAGCACCTGCTTCAAAACGAGGCCGATCGGGAAGGGGATGGAGGAAGCCAGCAGACTGCCCCTCCCGAACTACCAGTGCAGGAAGCCACGGATGCAACGAGCCTCCTCGTCCTGCCCAAGCTTGCCCTCCTCAGCCTGGCGGCCGCCTGGGATGAACCTTTCCTTGCGCACAACGCGCCTCAGTGGTTCTGGACGACCTTCGACAAGGGCGCGGAGTACGTTGCAAGAGGCGCATGCTGGAAGATGATGGCACGGCTGCTGGAACAAGCATTCCGGCAACAAGGCCAAGGGGAGGACCACAGCGATTCCTTCTGGACGGACACAGAACTCATCCGGAACCATTACGCTACGAGATGGTGGAGACATGCCCAGCGGCGAGAACAACGAGGCGAACATGTACCAGGCACGCCCCCAACAGTGGAGGAGCTCCAGAGGCTAGTCAACAAGATCGCCGACCTGGTCTTCCGAGCATGGTGGAGAAAACGCACCACAATCCTGACAGGAGGAGGCCGCCTCAAGCCTTGTGGGTGCCTAGACATTACGGATGCGGAGACCTCATCGGACGAAGAGAGCTGCAGTTCCACGCCTACGCCCAGGGCGACAATGAGATCAAGATCGCCTAGAAACAGGCGTCCTTTCGACGCGCACCTCAAGGCGAATACCGACCCCGACAAGGCTATTGACGTCGACGAACAGCACGAGGATGAAGATGACTCCGACATCCACTCCCTCATGGAGCACAAACACAAAGAGGTGCCCATGAACAAAAGAAGTCCTACGCGCCTATGGAAAGAGCTACCGCCTGAGCGAAAATCAAGCTCTGTCAGACGCTTGCTACCACCATGGAAGAAAGGGGGCAATCCTGCTCTTCGACCCCGACCTCCGAGCCGATCGCCACCACGCGCGCCGAAAGCCAAAGCAAGACCGCAAGTACCACCGAAATGCCAAGAAGAAGTCCCTGCACCGACCACACCGACAGCTCCGGCATCCTCCTCTACCGACCGTCCAGACACCACGACCAATGCAGAGTTGACCCCGGATGACGCCATCGCGATATGGCAGGCAATCTTCGAATGGGAGGCCCAGGAGTCCCTGGATCCATCGACAGTCCCATTGCTGCTGACTCACATCTCCGACAGTATCGTGGAGACCCTGGCAGATAAGACAGAGACAGAACACAGCCTCATGGTTGACATCCTACCACAGTTTCTCGCAAGGATCCAGACCGACCTGGCTGAAGCTCTACTACGTGCACGTGCTCTCAGGAACAGGCTCACCCCAGATGACCCCAGAACGGCACCTACAGGCAAGAAGCGGCCAGCAGAACCATATGAGACAGAAGAAGATGATGACAACGACGAGTCCGTGTACATGCAGACCGCTCAAAGCCGCAGCTCTACGCCCCCCAGATCAATGCAGCCTAACAACATCCTCTGCGACCTGCATGCAGCGTTTGGGCAACTCCAGCCCAAAAGAGCGACGAGTCGGGCAATCCGGCTCATGCAGCGGCTCCAAGACCACGATGGGCATCTTGAAGTCGATCGCCAAGCACTGGAAAGCCTGCTCATCGCTATATCAGGCGATGTCCCTCCAGAGCCAGAAGGTGATGCTCTTATCCTGGAAATGGGCTGGGTCGGCACATGGTGGGGAAGACTTACAGGCACCCAGCCGTTGGGGCCCCAGCCAATCGACCTCGACCTGGAGTTCATGGAAAAGCACACGGGCAACGACGCCACCCACAGTGCCGAGGAAGCTGACGAGGCTGCCCGGGAGGAAGCATACCAACGGTGGGCCAACGATGCAGGAGCGACCCACATGGAGGAACTGGAGGCTGCAAAAGCAAAGGCCGAAGACGAAGACACGCTCAGAGAGGCGATGGGCTACTCATGGGAACCGCCCACCAAGCGGCTGTGCATAGGGATATGCATAGACGACGGCCGACGAGCGAAAGCCTGGGAGTGGGAGTTGGACAAGGGCGCCACCATCCAAGTGCACATCAAAGCCGAAAAGAAGGAGTTCAGCGGGAGATGGCTACGAGAAGGTCGACCCATCCGAGAAGACGAAGTGCCAGAACTCCTCAGACACCGCCAAGAAGACAAAGCACCCGCCGTCGCCGTACCGCTCCCGGCCATCGACCTTGCAAAGCCAGCGACGCGGGAACTATACTCCCGCTGGAGTCTCAACAAGGTGTCCGACCAGGCCGTGGTACAAATCGGAGGAATCGCCCTGCTCATGGCCTTCAAGGAGGAACTTTTCCCGCGAGAATGCCAACAAGAGCTGGACATGCGGGACACGTACGATGTCAGCAAGTACGACAACAACCTCAGCAACCCGGGGAACACTCCAGGACAACCTTCAGGTCACAATGAGCCGGCTCACCTTCCCGAAACACACCATGAAGAAAATGGAGGCAACGGCCTGACGACGGAACCGACGGACACGATGCTCAGCGAGGCCACCACGGTAGCAGTACACCAAGCAGAAGCTCCCCACCACCCGAGCAACATGGACATTACGGCCGACAACCAGGGCACGATCGGCGAAGAAGAGGACATGATCAGCAACCCCGACTCCTATTACAACGGCCGCATCTTCTATGAGAAACATGGCCGCGGAGACGATGAGGGTACTGAGCGAGGCAGTGACAGCACATAAGGTTGGGACCTTCCGTATGCTGAATCAGGGAGAGACACCTTAGGGTTGCAAGGGGTCATCCGTACATGAGCAGACAGTGTCATCACGGCTGAGTAGAGAAAGCCACAGTGACTCAGACTCTGCGCCTCTGAAAAGCCCGAAAAGCCTGGGTCGTGGTACTGTAACATGTAACAGGGAACTTCTCTCTTTGCCGCTGCAGGGCCTACAGAGGACGAACAGAGACAGGTGCAAGTACAGCCGCGCCACACTCTAGGCAGGGGCCCAGAAACAGTCAGGAGTACCTTGGTGTATCTTAACTAAAACTGCCTCTCAGCACTGGGCCCCTCCTACAGGCTCCACCTGGTAAGGTATTCCGCTGGTAATGCAGATGGAAAAGGGCCCGCAAAAAAAAAAAAAACCTAATTTATAGTATCCTTATGGGAGGGGGCTCCAAGGGGGGTAGGCAACCTACTAATCCCTAGTTCTCTCCAGTGCTCCCCAAGGCTCCCTAAGGATCCCTTGTACCCTCCCCCCTTGAACCACCCTCCCTTAAGGACCCTATAACTAATGCCGATCTGAAGAAGATTGCAACGGGTGTTCAACAAGGTTTTGTTTGGGTTTTCGAGTTTCGAAGAAGCGGGGTTTCTAGAGTTTACCAGGTCGTTGCGAGATCCTCGGGGATGTGCCGCGTTGGGGGACGGTCGTTGTTCAGGGATCCGTAAGACGAGTAGAACCTTACAGTATGACAAGACTGCATAGAAGGGTGTCCAAGTGCATATCTCCGCAACCTTAAATCCAAACCCCTAAACGCAATCCTGAATTGCGGTATTGTTTGCAGTTTTCTGCGTATTCTTCGTGCTGGCTTGAGTTAGGAAAGTAGAGTCGCGAGAGGGAGGTCGAACCCTAAACCCGAAAGCATCCGAAAGCCTATGGTATGGGGGCCTTAGCTTTTAGAATAGTCTCGCATTTGGAAGAGGGAACCCCCAAACATAGTGTTACTAATTATTCCTATATGATGGGAGTATGAACGGAGAGACGAAGAAGCAGACGGTTATAGGATAAGTTGCTGAGGCGCTGGTTTCCGTTCTTCCACTGGTTCCCTTGACACTGGTCGCAAACGAGGCAAGATGGATCCTCGCAACATGGAAGGCGCAGAGGAGTCCCGAATGACTAATATAGGGGCCTTAATCAAGTCATGGGCCCTACACCCTATTCTAATTATGAAGGCCACTATACTAAATGTCAGGCTCACGAAGCACAGCACGTCTTGATTTGGTCATCTTCCGGCCTGCGGATCCTCACCTTTCTCACCTGCGCTGCCTCTTGGTCTTTAGGGGTTTAGGGGTTCCTAGGGCTTATCATACGAGAACTATGGAGTCATACAGGGGTTCGTTGTGCGGGCAGGGGTTGGAGTCATAGAGGGTTCAGAGACCAAGGCGTCAGCAGCCTCCACCGTGCACTTGGCACGGAAGCCAACCCAGGGCCTTTCGGAAACCTGCCGCGCTGTGCATTGGAGCACCCTTGGCGTTTGCTTCCTTTGCGCCCCCTTCTCATTGGCCTGCAGCCTAATTCGTGCCCGAAACCCGCCTAGCTCGCAGAACCCTATCTGTGAGGGTGTGGCAGACATCAACACAGGCTAGAGACGGCAGAGCCGAATCTACCCGAACCAGGAATAGGACAGTTTTAATTTCAATCTTACTTGGTGGATCATTGGACCTGGTAGATAGGGTTATAAGTAACCTAATTAGGGTTATGAATAATTATATAACAGCTGTAACTATAGTCGTAACTACAGTTACCTGACTTATAACCCTACTTACTCAGTCATACTAAGTCCAATGATTCAATGATCCTCTAAGTGAGCCGTAAACTCTTAAACCATAAGCAGACACCAGTTGAGTTTTAGCCAGAAGTTCCCTTTCAGTGGAGCATGGGGCTGCCTGAGAGGACTGCATGATGGTGCAGCTTCCGGAGAAAAGGTCGTCCCTGTTGCATCACAAGCCTATAATCCCTTCAACCCCAACCCTAAACCCTAAACTAAACTCAAAGCCCTGAACCCCTACCCAAACCCAAGCCCTAAACCTTTGAACCCTTTGATCCCCAACCCTAAACCCTAAACCCCTACCCAAACCCAAGCCCTTTTCGCTTTGAACCCTTTGATCCCAATCCTGAACCCTCAAACCCCTAAGACCTAAGCCGGTATTCTGAGCTTGACGGGATGAGCCTCGGGGGTTAGCGCTTCTTGCATCCACATTTGGGCGGAAGGTGGTTGTTGGTAGCCACGGAGCCGCAGCACAGTTTTGCAAAGAGCTTCTACCAAGGACCCTCGTCGGATTTTATCCCCAGAGCCTAGAGCTCAGGAGTCGTACTCGACTACTCAGAGTTCGGGAGTTGAGGTTGAGACTTTATGGTTTGATGCTTAGGGCTTAGGGTTTAGATTTCAGGGTTTGAGGTAGCGAGTTTTGTGCTCTTTCTGCCGGCAGGTCGGGATGCACACGACCGAGAACCAGCTCAATTACAGGACAGATCTTTTGTGAAATACTGGGTTCTTGTTAAAGGATTTAAGTCAAGTCACAATGGTAAGTAAGCCCAGATTATTTAATGGAGATCCCTATTATGTAACTTAAATTAAACTCCTCAACAATAAGAACCCGGAATAGGTGGGGATGAGTGATTCAGGGCTGAAGTCTTTTAAGGATGTAGAGGGCTCATCATGTATTATGTTGAGTTTCGCAGCTCGAGGGGTAAACTGCTGCAGACCAGAACAGCAGTTGTGATCCCAGACCCCTCTTGAGGAGGTATTCTACACTACATGTCGGCAACACAAGTGCCTGTATGAGGGCCCTCGATTTTCTGAAACTCTCGTATCCCAAGACATGCGACCTATGTACACACCCCGAGCAGTATGGAGCACCCTATGTGGCCCTATGTTTGCTCTCCGCCTAAAACAACTGACCCTGCTTAGTACAGCTTGAGCAGGACCCCAAACTCAGTAAGCCCATCGTCTCACTCGCTAATACCTACACCATGCGCACTGAAGCTCAAACATCTTGAGCCCGAGGCTCTCAAGCCCACACGCCCCATACCCTAAAGCCTGAACGGATGGAGCCAAAGGCCCCACCTCCTAAACTCCAGACCCTAGATCCTAAACCCCAAACCCTGTCCTCCTAACCCTAAACCCCTAAACCCCTAAACTCCTAAACCCCTGGCCTACTGCTTCAGGACCCCAAACCGTGAGTTTCTAGTCTCGGCCGGCAGCTTCTTGGCTCTGTGGCCAAGGATTCGCATAGCACAGAGGTCGGAACACGTAACAGTAGCAACAAGTACACCAGCTCATGAGCAGATAAAAAAGTATAGCTGCTGCAATAACAGCCTGAGTTACTAAGCCCCATAATACCTACACCAATACGAACGGTGGCACCAGTAACAATGGTTCTAGTAATATCTCTTTATAATCTCCAATATACTTGTACTTGTGGAATTGACCCGAAAGTGCTGCTGTTTTATGATGGTTTTGTTCAACTTGTAGTAGGTTTATGCAGGGACCGGAGCTCGGGCAGTAGACCTCAGAAGCCAGAAGACCCACCAGCTGCCAGAACGCTCCAGAAATTCGTTGAGTTTCCACATACTTGGGTGGCGTTGCATGGCCCAGGTCTTCCCCTGATTTCAGCCCCAAAAATCTTCTGAACTTCATGGTTTTTGCATGTTCCAAGGTTTTATGAACTTCTTCGGTTTCGTCTGTTTTTAGGGTTTCGCAGGCTGAGGGTCCGGTCAGGGCTGGGAGCCTCCTGCGCCATGGCGAGCTCCGGCCCCAATGGAACAGGCTCGGCTTACTGGGCTTTGCCCAGAGAGCCCAATACTCCTTAATTAAGCAATATGGCTTAAATTATATAAGGCTTCATATTATGATTTTTAAGCTATGTTCCTTAATTAAGGGGTATTGGGCTCTCTGGGCTTACTGGGCTTTGGGACTGGGCAGCCTCCCCAAACCCTCCAGGGTTTAGGGTTTATGGTTTCGGGTTAAGGGTTTTGGGTGAAGTGTTTAGGCTTTATAGGGTCTATAAGGGATACTATGAGGGTACTATAAGAAAGGGGCTTCAGTAATTGCCAATACTGTTTTGGTGTTCCTTATGATAGTTCTAGTAGAACACCAAGAACCCTATTCTAATTATTCAGGCCCCTAAAGTAAACCCTAATCCCGAAACCCTAAGCTCAAGGCATAGGCTGGCTACCCTGAAAGGAATAGGTTTGGGTGGTTCGGCAGTCTTTAATTATACGGCGTGGGGTGGGGGAGAGGGAAAGAAATGCCTCCAGTCGCCTGCTCGCAATTCCACGGCAAGCCCCAAGCCTTAAACCCTAATCCCTAAAATGTAATGGCGGGTGAGTTTAGGTCTACGGTGTCGGGGGTTTAAGGGTACTTGGTGTTTAAGGTACATCAACCCCCTGCGCTACTACTCCTGCTCCAAATCGTTGAACTCCACGGAGACCCTGCCTCAGGCCCAAGCTGCAGGCCCGAAAGCCCTCAACCCTGAAGCCCCAACACCCAAGGCCCCACAGTCCGCCATTCTTTGGGTTTAGGCTTTCGGGTAGGGTTGGTTTGTGTAGACTGTCCATCATGCTTCAATCCAAGAATGCACTCCGCCAAGGGTACTGGGCTCATTGCTGCCCGTCTCCGAAACCTTCCTTTTCCCCAAACGCCCTACTTTTCGAACTAGTTTAGGGGTTCGGGTTCGGGCAAGTGTGGCCGCGTTAGTCTGCCGTACTTGGGTCTTCATCTTAACACCCACGTTGGAAGGCTGAGAATCTAAACCTCTATGAACCCCTTGGAAACCCAATCCTAAAACCCCTGCAGAAAAATCATACCAACACCAGAGTCCGCAGCCCTAATCATTGGGCCCTAAAGCCAACGGCACAAACGCACGCAGGGGCGCCGCAGCTGGCTATCATAGGCCCCGACAGACAGCTGATTCTTTAAACAGCCGGACAGGTGATGATTTTGCGTTCAGGCTTGGGTCTATTGT